GAAACTTTTGGTCCAGCAAAAAGTACTATTAAAAAAAATTTATTTATTGTACTGCAGTACTGGGGTTTGCTAGGTAGGTGCTCTACCCGTGAGTCACTCCCTCAGCCCCCAAAATATACTATTATCGAGTGAAAATACACACAAAAAATTGAAAACAGCTGGGTGCCAGTGGCTCACACCTATAGCCCTAGCTACTTGGAGACGCAGAAATCAGGAGGATCTAGGTTTGAAGCCAGCCTGGGCAAATAGTTTGTGAGACCCTGTCACAAAAAAGGGCTGGTGGAGTGGCTCAAAGTGAAGGCCCTGAGAGTTCAAACCCCAGTACTGCAAAAAATAAAAAAATTAAAAAATTGAAAACATAATTTTGCAACATATCCAACAAAAATATACTTGTAAAGAGTTGCAGTATGTCATTAAGTAACCCAGTAGAATAAGCAACGTTTATAAAAAGAGAATTCTTGGGCCTGGGTCATGGCTCAAGTGGTAGAGCACCTGCCTAACAAGCAGGTTCGAACTAGAGTTCAAACCCTAGTATTGTCAAGAAAAAAGGACATTTAAAAAAACAAAAAATGGCCAATAAACCTATAATATTCAATCTGATTTATAATCTAAAAATGCATCCTCTGAACATTCCCACAAATATTCAAAGGTGTACCTTAAAAAATTTACTGTTGCATTATCAGCAAAATATTGTAAATACTGTAAACAATATTGAAAAATGTAGTAGAATACTGTTCAGCCATTGAGAAGAATAATTAGATTGCAAATACTAACATAGAAAGTACAGTATTAAACTGGGCACCAGTGACTCACGCCTGTAATCCTAGCTGCTCAGGAGGCAACTATTGCAAATAGCTCGGAAAACCCTATCTTGAAAAACGCATCACAAAAAAAGCTGGTGAAGTGGCTCAAGGTGAAGGCCCTGAGTTCAAAAAAAAAAAAAAAAAGGGGGGAAGCAAACCTTTCAGCTTGATCTAATCTTACAGCTTCATTCTATTGCCCTTTTCCCATTTAGTGTTTTAGAAGACCAAAAGGAGTAGAAAAAAAATCCTGTGTTTAGACAGCTGTCACTCTCTCCCCACACTCCAATATAAACATTCTAGCTAGATTCCTGGTAATTTACAACGTGGCCAACACTCTTATTTACTAAGAATATAAAGTAGCTCTGTAATAAAGAACTATTTATAAATACTTCCCTTTAACAAAAGAATTTAATCTTAAACATTTTGAAGTCAATTTATATAATTAGTCAAATGACTATTATATTAGTCTATTAAATTAGAGGAACAAGAATTTTTCCTAAATCCTGAAAAAATCAAAACAAAAAACACAGGTATGTGAAAATATACAGGGCTTGCTGAAACTGAGTCATGCCTTCCAACCTACTTGGGCACTAAAAAACTGTGAGAATGGCCTTGTTGATTTTGCCTACTTGCTAGTAATCTGCAAACTGCAAGACCGAAACCTCAAATGATTCCAGCAGAACACTTGAGAAATAAAAAAATCAACTAGGAGCAAGTCTTGGTCACTAGAAAGTATTCAGTTCTTTTATCCACTCGAGGAAATGCAGTGTTTTTGAAAAAGAAGAAATAAGTCTTTGTACTCTACTAGAAAGGGCAGTGCCTTCTTTCCACTTACCTACTGAAGATGACAAAGAGGTGGCCTTGTTGTAGCAACCTGTGCTACACTTGACATTCCTTTTAACCCGAGGCAGATTATAAACAGTTCTCCACATGCACAGGTGCGTCCTGAGTACAAGTGTTTGGTTATTACCTCACCTCCCCACACCTGGAGACTGTCACGGCACTGACAAGCCCAACATTCTTCTCCTAATAATCAAATACAGCAAACAGAACGCATTTAAAAATTGAGCAACGGGCATCCTGTGCTTAGGCCCTTCCATTTAAAATTATCTTCTCAATTTGATAAAAAAATAAAAATCTCTTGGGGCCAGAAGAGGTGGTATACAGCTCTATCCCAGCATTCAGGAGGTGAAGGCAGAAGGATTTCAAGTTCAAAGCCATGCCTACATGGAAAATTCTCAGAAAAAAAAAAAAATCTTGTGAAGTGCCAGTGGCTCACACCTGTAATCCAAAGTACTCTGGAGGCAGAGTTCAGGAGGATTGCAGTTCGAAACCAGCCCAGGCAAATAAGTCTTGAAACCCTTTCTCAAAAAACCAAGACTGTATGAGTGGTTCAAGTGGGAAAGTACCTGCCTAGTAAGTGTGAGGTCCTGAGTTCAAACCCCATACTGCCAAAATAAGGTCTTTCGGTGGGAGTGATTTCACATGGGTAATTTTTTTTTTTTTTTGAATTGACTCCCACTATGTATCCCAGGCTGGCCTCAAACTTGCAATAGTCCTCTTCAGCCTCCTGAGTGGTGGGATTACAGGTGTCATGATGCCCAGCTAGCTCCCAATGGAAAATCTTGAGCAGATCCATTTTTCTACTAAATTCAAACCTCACAGCAAAGCAATCTAGAGTTCTTAGCATCAATGAACAAGTTTTTACCAGCCTACATTTCTCTAGGGCCCAGCTGTTATATTCACGCCATTTCCTGAACATTTTAGGGTGAATTTTGTCTATGGGATCCTCCTACCCCTACTTTAGGAATTGCTCAAGTATTCTGTTTCCTGCAATCTTCAAATTCCTTCCAAATGAATATTAAACCAGTGCCCCTGGTAGTCTGCAGGCAGTCGTCCTCTCTAGATGATTCTCCACCCCCCCCATGACCATCTCTTTCCTCTCATTAAGGGTAAGTAGCCTACACTGGCCTTAAACTCTTGATCCTCCTGTCTCAGCCTCCTCAGATTACAGGTGTAGAACACCACACCCAGTCATTAGGTCTTTTTATTACTCAAAAGCACATAGAACACTTAACACAAGCATGCCCTCAGAAGGAATTGAACAAATGAAATAGAAGCCTATTTTTGAGAAACCAATGCCTTTATAGTAAATGTGAAATGACATAACATACAAAAATGCTTTAACCTGATTCTGGCATACCCCAGCACTCAAGTGCTCCATCACTTCATGCCCACCTCCTTTTGCTTATTTTTCAGATAGGGTTATGCTTTTGCCGGGGCTCAGACCTGATCCTCGTACCCTTAGTAGCTGGGATTACAGATGTGAACCACCATGCCTGGTTTGTTTTGAGATAAATCTGGCTAATTTTTTGCTCAGGGTGGTCTGGAACTGTGATCCTAACTCTGCCATCAAAGTAGTGGGATTTACAGGATGACACTCCATCTGGTCCCAATGCCAATAATTAAAAGGCGGCAATTAAACAATTACTCCTATGATTTAGGGAATGGTCAAATCTTTAATTGAAGATTGTGCTTTTTTTTTTTTTTTTTTTTTCTCAAGACAGTGTTCTGCTACATAGCCAGGCTGGCTTGAATTTTGTGATTCTCCTGCCTAGGCCTCCCAAGTGCTGGGATTACAGGTACACCTGACTTGAAGATGGCCTTTCAAGAAACACATCTTGCCAGGTGTGGGGAGCCAATTCTGTAATCTCAGCACCTGGGAGGCTGGGCAGGTAAATCCAAGTTTGGGGCCCGCTGGGTTGTTGTAAGTCCTTTCACCTGTCTATCGCTCCTGATTTTTTTACATGGTGGTGTGAGCCCATGGAATCTGAGGAAGCTACCAGAGAAAGTGCTGTGAACTCTGTGAGGATCGCTTTACTATGCATTTAACTCAGAGGGAAAAAAAAGTTTATATCTAGCACACGCTCATGAGGGCCTTAAAATTAATTCTCCTTTAGTGTAATATTCTTCCCTTTTATTATTTATAGGAAGCTAATTTTGATTTACTCAAGTTCTCAAAAATGGAAAGTAAATACACAATGTGTCTACTTTGCTCCCTCTGCTGGCCTGGGAGCAGGCTAGCACTATCTGAGACTCCTAAATCAGTTATCTAATGTTTACTTTGGTGACTTGACCAAGTAGAAAGACATAGTAACATTCGCATAAAAGAAAAAACACAGGTTAGCCTCTATCTTAAACAGCTGACATTGAAAGCAATTTGGAATGTGGACTTTTATTTTTTAACTATTATCTGGTTCAAATCCAGAGTATTATTTTTGTACAAAGGCTAGCTGCCCTCCATTTTTTTCACAATAATTACTTTAAAGCTAAAATCAGCTGAAAACACAATTTGAATTTCTTTTTTGTTTTGTGGTACTGGAGTTTGAACTCAGATCTACACCTTAAGTCACTCCACCAAGGTGTGGAGTTTGTTTTCAAACTAGGGTCTCACAGAACTATTTGCCAGGGCTGGCTTCAAACTATGATCCTTTGATCTCTGCTCCTGAGTAGTCAAGATTACAGGCGTGAGCACTGGCACCTGGCTTGAAATTTCTTGTTTCCTTTGCTACCACTAATTTTGTGCAATCACATAATTTTTTTTTTCAAACTTAAAGGTATAATTTACTGTACATCACTTTTTATATTCAAAGCCTTAGATATTATTATGAAAACTATTTATTAAACCTCTGTACACAAGGTGACATACCTGTAGAGTAAGCTTATATGAAGAACGAAGTTACAAAAAATAAAAAGTGTTATTAATTAAAAATTGGCATGTGGTAAATCTTACAAAAATACCCAAGGTGGGATGGGCTGCTCATCGCTGATTTTTGCTCATTTGGTTGTTCGGAGATGAAATACGAATTTAAAATGGTTGAATTTTTTCTTTAAAAAGTGACATATGAAACTTATATACCAGAATAATTAGAAATGTAGAAAGGGAAAACAATGTTTACAAAGACAGATAAAAACATCACTCTTTACAGACATTCACATCCAAAAGTATTAAACCAACAAACCTTCTCTAAATCAGCTCATCTACACCGCTCAGGTCTGTGTCGGTGAGAATAAATGCAGCATTCATTAAACAGGCTTGATTGAGACCACCGGGAGAGCCAGGTGAAAACAATTTTTCTGTTATTTAGTACTGATTAACAGAACACAAAGTTCTAGACAGTTAATAGCTCTCCAGTGTTATGTCAAGCAGCTATTCGGAAGCCTTTTTTGTTTCTGCTGATTTCGGGAGAGTTCTTTAACAAGCTTCTTATTCTGATGTAACATTCCAGTGGATTCTGCCATGTTCTCAAACTCAAATGGTGTTATTCCAGTTGCAAACTTGCTCACATCAGGTGAGCTGTGAGCTTTAGTGCTGCTGAAGGACGAGTGTCTCCAGAAGGGAGCATCTGGCTGCCTCCATTCCTCGATGTCACAGTCTGACACTCCTTTTGCACATTATGTGAAGGGCACCATCAGGGTCCACCTCTGCAGATTCTTCCTCCTCCTTCTGACCAAGCAGTGTGGCCTAGGAGCTGGGCTCGAGGGATGGCAACTTCGGCTGTCTGTTACATATGTTCTGGCACCATGGTATCTAGTATCAGTTTCTCAGATGCTTTTCCCTCTGTGAAAGGGAGGTCGAGCTCATTGGGACAAGGTGATGAGGCAACTGAGTTTCCAGTTAAAGGTGTGTCCACAGGACGTCAGAAATTCACTGTTGGCACTCTCAGCCTGCTCGAGTGCTGCCCAGATCCGCCTTGTTGCTCTTCAAGTCCTCCAGTGTCAGGGCGTCCTCGTCCATGGCTGCGGATGCAGGCCGGGTCTGAGGTGAGCACTGGGAGTCAGTGGTGGAGTGCCCTTGGGGTGGAGGGGTGAAGAGAGGAGGAGTGCCAGGAGCAATGGTGGTTGAAAGTGAAAAGCTTCACTGCTCTGGAACCATGCGGCATCTCTGCATCTGCAACAAGAGTTAAAAACAGTTTTACAAAATCTGGCTTTACAAAAATTTATTTCTAGACTCAGGATTATCCAGAGATTCAATGACCAAAAACAACTGGTTTTGAAAAGGGGAAAAGTGTGTGTTCTCAAATGCCATGACCGTGACCTCCCGTCCTCCATCCACCTAAGAACATCTTGTGCAAGGAGAGCTGAAGGGTCTTCTGGTGCTCAGAACTTGAAAATCCTCTGGCAGCTGTTCCCACACCATGTGCACGGTTTCAGATGGCGGCAACATGAACATGGAGCTGGGGAGTGGTTTCAAGGGAGGGTGCTATCACTGAAGGTAGGGTTCCTGGCAGGCACACTAGGAACTTTGGAAGAGCAGGTGGGCCACTGAGTGGGGAAGGCTGAAGGACAGGACGTGAGGATGGAGTAGGAAGACCCCTGAGGTCTTTCCCATTTCTGTATCTCTATTCTAGACTGCTTGCTCACCTGTCTAACCTTACTGTTATCACCACTTATGTGTCCTGTCCGGCAGACACAAGCTGTCTATAACGAAGTTTTGAACTCTGGACTTTTATCCTATCTGCTAACAGCGCCACTACTGCTTGAATGCATCTCCCAGATGGAAGCCTCCCTTTTACTGGAGAGTCCTCTCTTTCCTTGCCCCACCTCCAGGCCCTGAGCTGTCTGGGGTCTACTTTCATGTACACTGCCACAGGCACCACCTAATTTCAGGCCCATTACCACTTGCCAAGAATACTGGAGTCATCCTTTCTTCTGGATGGTCTTCCTTGTACGTGTCCTCCTAACTAGCCAGATTCATCTTTCTAAAACACCAATCTGGCCCTATCAACCTTCCCATGTCAACTAACAGTTTTTCTGCTTCCACCCAATGACCTCTCACACCCTGGCAGTCATGCTGTTGTTGGTGCATTTTCCACCATCTCAAATGCCTGCTCTGACCCTGCTGTCTTCCCTGGAAAATACCTGAATTCATCCCTCAAAATATACCTCAAGCCAGGCATGGCAGGCCACACCTGTGATCTTAGCTACTCGGCAGGGGGACTGCAAGTTTGAGAATAGTCCAGGCAAAATCAGTGAATCCTAGCTCAAAAACAAAATATAAAAATGACAAGGGCTGAGGATAAGACTCAAGAAGTAGAGCACTGCCCTACCTGGTCTCTAAGAATAGGGAGCTTTATCCTTATTGACTTAGCGTACAGATTCCTCCTGCTTTCTCAACGAAAGCAAAGCCACATAACAGGACCTACCAGAGTCAAGATCCATGTCAGCAGGGGAGGCTGCCGAGCTGCTGGCCTTCCTTTGCTTCTTTGGACTACTGGGGCTGGACTGAGATGAAGGCCGTTTACTGCTAGACTTTATGCTTGCCTAAAGGAGTAACCAAATCAAACGCAAGTTACACGGAACAAACAGAATTCAACTCCAACCTGCACTTAACTGAAATATGATATAACTGGCCTAGCATGCAGGAAGCCCTGGGCTTAATCCTCAGTACCATAAAAAAAGTTAAATATGATGTAGAAGACCAGTCTAGAGCCATGTCAGGGTAACTGGTGAATTCAGCTCCTATTTGTCTTTTGATTCACCAGGTAACAGTGTCTTAGACACAAAGCAAGAAAGAGCAGTAATCCAGGCACTGGTGGCTCACACCTGCAATCCTAGCTACTCAGGAGGCAAAGGTCAAGGGGGTCAAGGTTTGAATCCAGCAGGGGCAAATAGTTCAAGAGACCCTATCTTGTTCCTTCATAAAAAAAATAGAGCTGGTAGAAAGGGCTCAAGCTGAAGGCCATGGGTTCAAGCCCAGGTACTGCCAAAAAAAAAAAAAACATAGCTAACACAAAAACGGGCTGGTGGAGTGGCTCAAGTGGTAGAGCACCTGCCTAGCAAGTAAGAGGCTCCAAGTTCAAACCCCAGTACCACCAAAAACAATAAATAAATAAATAAAAATAAGGGTAGTAAGATGCTAATGAGTTGTAAAATCTCACAGCTATCTGCCATAAACATGTATAAATCACACCCTCAAAATCTACTTACTGACTGGAAGTTAGAAGAAAGGTAATTGGCAAACACATCCTTCTGCTGACATGCCTGCATAGGTATGGAACCAAACATCCTCCATTCCTGACAACGGAAAGATAAATGTGTATTGGGAAAATAACACCTTTCGAGATTTTTCTCAAGAGAGATGGGGTGGGAATCTCAAACTACATTTTTGCTTCTTACATGACTTTTCCTGTAGTGGAAAATAACTAGTGTTGAAGGAAAAATAATGAAGAAAAAACTCTGCTTGCAAAATGATGAGGACTGAATACTGAAAAACTACTTGATGAAAATCACTTGGCCCAAAAAGGTTCTGTCTGTTGTGGGAAGTTGTAGGACTGATGTGGCCTCCCATGGGCCTCCCAGGTGCTTATCTGTCTTTCACCATGCACTGTTCTAACGAACTGCTCATTGCTCACTTCTCCTAATGTAATACCAAATTTCTGGTCCTCCGTCCTTTCCCTTTCTCAATGGAGTAGAGTGCTATCTTTAAGGTTCAACAATGCTTGTTTCTTGCTCATCTCCAATAGCGCACTGATCACTGGTTGTACATTGCCTTCTGTGAATTCATCACTTAATTTATCTGTTCACTAGACTCTTCAGCTCAAATCTATGGCTTCATTCCTACTGCTCAGTTCGTAAGGACACTAGCAACGCAGCTTTTATGAAAACAACAATAATGTAGTTAACTGTTCAATCTGGAAACTTTAAGTAAGATGAAAGTTGCACTGGGTGCCTGTGGCTTATGCCTGTAATCCTAGGTACTTGGGAGGCTGAGATCAGGAAGATAGAAGTTCGAGGCCAGCCTAGGCAAACAGTTTGAGACCCCTATCTCCAAAATAACCAGAGCAAAATAGACTTGAGATGTGGCTCAAGTAGTAGAGAGTTGCTTTGCAAGTACGAAACTCTGAGTTCAAAATCCAGTGCCAGCTGGGCGCTAGTGGCTCACACCTATAATTCCAGCTACCCAGGAGGCAGAGATCAGGAGGATCATGGTTCAAACCCAGTCTGGGCAAATAGTTTGCTAGACCCTACCCTGAAAAAAATCCATCACAAAAAAAGGGTTGGCAGAGTGGCTCAAGTGGTAAGAGTGCCTGCCTAGCAAGTATGAGGCCCTGAGTATGAGCCCCAGTGCTGCCAAAAAAACCAACCAAACAAAAACAAAAAAACCCAAAACCAGTGCCAAAAACAAAAAGCAAAAGTAGTATAAGACTTAGGTCTATGCCAGATGTTGGCAAATAATTCTCAAGACCCTATCTCGAAAAAACCCAGTACAAAAAACAGCTGGTGGAGTGGTTCAAGGTTCAAACCCCAGTATCACAAAACAAAAAACAAAACAAACAACAACAACAAAAAAACTTAGGTCTATTACAGACAGAAATTTATTCTCAAGGACATGTAAATTTATAATATTGCATCAGACTCATCCCATATTAAAAATAAAATTATAACCTGGGAGTGGTGGCTCATGCCTATCATCTCAGCACTCATGAGGCTGTAGGATTGTGAGTTTGAGGCCAGTCTGTGCTGCAGAGTGAATCTGAGGTTAGGCTGGGCTACACAGCACAATCATGCCTCAAAGATCAAAACAAAATTAAAAACAACCAGCCAACAAACAACCCACCCTTCCCCCCAAAAAAGAAAAAACTTCCAGTTTTAGATTTACAGAACCTAACCAATCTATTTCAGCCCCTTTGCTTAGGCATTAACTCAGGAAAAAAATGCTTATGAGGAATATGATATTTCACTTAGGATTCCAGTCCAGAGCTGGAGGAGGATAAAGTGGTGAATCCCTTGCCTAGGAACCACAAGGCCCTGAGGTCAAACTGCAGAGTCTTGTCAGTAAGAGGGAAGTGAGGGCTGGGATGCAGCTCAGCGGTAGAACCCTGGGTTCAATCTCCAGCATTGCCATAACAACAAAAGGAAATTAAAAAGTTAAACATGCAACAAATTTACTTTCTTATGGAACAGTAACTGCTGTATAAGTTAATATTTTAAATAATGTAATACCCTCACATTGCAGGAAAAAACAAAAACAGAAACATAAGCAACAAAAAATATACTCACATCTGGAATTCCTCTGGGAGTAGATATATTAAAACCTGGATAGTTTACCAATTTTGAGAGATCGTAAGTGACACTTTTATTCTGTTGTACTTCTCCAGCTTCTGTTTCTCCATCAGCATCATCTATTAGAGAAGGTCAAAAGTGTTAACACACCAGATGCTAATATGTCCCTCCCATATCAGATGCATAGCCAGAAAGAGCTTGTATTTAGGGTTGGCAGTGGTAGAGCACCTGCCTGATAAGCCCAAGGCCCTGAGTTCAAACCCCAGTATACCGAAGGAGAAAAAAAAAGGTACTTATGTTCATGGTAACAGAAGTAGTCTGGAAATGACTTTAATTAAATTTTTTTGTGAGCCATTATAATTTTTAATATACGTGGAGATATTTCTGGGGTAAAAAATATTTAAAATTTTGGAACTTGGTTCTTCTATGGATTGCTCAAGAGTCTACTCTGTAGCGATCTTATGATTTACCCACTGCCCTCGTACAGTACTCTTATTTCATTTAACAAACATTTATGTGGTGCTCACTGTGTGCCAGATAGCATTTTTTTCCAGATATTTTTCTTTTTTTGTGTATAGTACTAGGGATTTAACCTAAGAGCTCCCCTTTGTTAGGCAAGTGCTCTATCACTGAGCAAAAACTCTAGTTCTTTAAAAAAATTTTTTTTTTTGGTGAGACTGGGGTTCAAATTCAGAGCTTCACAAGCAGGTGCTCTGCCTTTTGAGCTATACCTCCAGTCCATCTTGCTCTGGTTATTTTTGGAGATGGGGTCTCATCTCCAGGATGAGACACTATTTGCCCAGGATGGCCTCGAACCTCAATCCTCCCACTCAGTCTCCCAAGTAGCTAGGATAACAAGTGTGAACCACTGGTGCCTGGCTTTTTGGGGTTTTTAATTATTATTTTTACTTTGAGGCAGGGTCTCACTAAGTTGCTCCAGCTTGACTCAAACTGGCAATCCTCCAGCCTCAGGCTCCCAAGTAGCTGGGATTACACAAGTGAGCCACCACACCCAACTAGACAGTGTTTTTATCTTTTTTTTTTTTTTTTGGCAGTACTGAGGTTTGAACTCAGGGCTTTACACTTATAAGGTAAGTGCTCAACCTCCAGCCTGAGACTGGGATTTGAACTCAGGGCTTTATGCTTGCAAAGTAGGTGCTTTACTGCTTGAGCCATGTCTCCATTACATTTTGCTCTGTTTATTTTGGAGAAGGGGTCTTGCAAACTATTTGCCTGGGCTGGTTTCAAACATCGATCCTCCCAAATCTCAGATTCCCAAATTGCTAGGATTACACTTGTGAACCACTGGTTCTTGGCTGCTTTAATCTTTTTTTTTTTTTGTGGTGCTGGGATTTAAACTTAGGGTCTACAACTTAAGCCTCTCTGCCAGCCCCTTTTTTGTGTTGGGTGTTTTCAAGATAGTGTCTTGTGAACTATTTGCCCAGGCTGGCTTTGAACCAAGATGTTCCTGATCTCTGCCTCCTGAGTAGTTAGAATTACAGGTATAGTCACCAGTGCCCAGCTGCTTTAATCTTCTTAATGACACTAAGAATAACATACACCTTTAAAGATGAGAGTAGTTTTTGAAGGATATTTGGGAACTACTTTATCTAATTTTGAAAACAACTAAATAAAACTAGTATTTATTTTGCATCTCCAAAAATGTCTTTATACTAAGGGTACTAAGTAATCCCTTCCTCTTCCTCTCTCCTTCTCTCTTGCTCTGTGTGTGTGTGTGTGGTGCTGGGGACCAAAACCAGCCCTTGTACATGTCAGGCAAGTGCTCTACCACTGAGCTACATCCCCAGCCTGGAATTTTCTCTTCATATAAGTATTCTAATTAATAATCCCAGAGGTAATGTTAAGAGAGAACCCTGTATTAATTACAGATACAAACAGAAATCACTAATGGCTGATTCCTTGACAAGTCACAGGCAATAAATAAAGAGAGAGAAAACATACTAAGTAACACCATGGAGCTGCATGAACAAAATCTCAAGAACTCTATAGGACAAAGTTCAGTTTTGCTAAAAATAAGAAAAGGGAAACTGTAGACAGATTAAAAGAGACTTCAGGGAGTATCGATTTCAGGGACTGTATTCTTTTAAGTACAGACTCTATTCATCACTGGCAAAGTAGCTAAAGTAGTAGAGGGCTTGCCTAGTAAGGCTAAATTCAACAGCCTCTTCCAGTATCATCAAAAAGAGAAAAAAACGCTATTGAAACAAACAAAAATACAAAACAAAAGCAAAAACAGGGCTGTGGATATAGCTCAGTGGTAGACCATGCACTTAGCATGGCAAGGCCCTGTGTTTGAGCCCCAGACTGCAAAACAAAAACAGGATGAAAAATTAACAGAGATGGAATCAATAACAGGAGTATGTCCAGGTGTCAGTGGCTCATGCCTGTAATCCTAAGTACTCAGAAATCAGGAGGATCGAGGTTCAAAGCTAGCCTGGGCAAATAGTTTGAGACCCTATCTTGAAAATATCCAACACAAAACAGGGCTGGTGGAGTGACTCAAGTGGTAAAGTGCCTACCTAGTGCTCTGAGTGTAAGGTTCTGAGTTCAAGCCCCAGTACTGCCAAAAAAAAAAGGAGTGGAATGAGCTACAGAAAATGGTTAAGAACAACAACTTGAATATTAGCATGACTCAAGGGTATACTAATGATCATGCCAAATATTTCTTTGGCACTATTGGGAAGGAGTGAGATTGGTGGTTTTATTAAAAAAAAAAAATTACCTAAGAAACACATAGAAACATTTTCATTAAAAGACATTTAGAGCTGCATCGACAGTCAGGAGGTGGAGGCAGGAGGATCCAGAGTTCAAGGCCAGCCTGGGCTACACAGTGAGTTCAAGGCCAGCGTGGGCTATGCAGCAAGTTCAAGGCCAGCCTGGGTAACATAGTGAAATCCTGTCTCAAAAAAAAAACAAAACAGAAAAAAACAAAACAAAAAGACATTTAGAACATTAGAATTAAAATTAAAGTCTTTAGCCTAATCCTCTTTCCCGTCCCAGGAGTAACCATTGCTGAATTTGCTTTATATTAAGACAGTTTTTAATTAAAAATTTTAAAAAATCATGTACCACAGCCAGGCACGGTGCTACGTGCCAGGGGTATACTGGTGAGTAAAATAGGCATGCTTTTAGCAGTTATAAAGCTTATGAGTTAATCAGAAAAACAGAATACTCTAGCACTTTAACAGGTCCTCCCCTAGCAGTGGCCCTAGTATTTGGTAGCTGGTGCTGAGAGAAAACTCTGACTGCATTCTTGCCTTGGAACTGTACCAGTGGCAGCTGTCACTCAGTGGAAGAGAAGAAAAAAAAAAAAGAGACAATACTCAAGTAAAATAAATACATAATACAAAATCAATGCAGCTGGGTGTGGTGGTTCACCCCTGTAATGCCAGCTATGTGGGAGGTCTTTGTGGGAAGTTCTCTGGCAAAAAAGTTAGTGAGGCCTTATCTCAAAAAACAATCTGGGGGGGTGGGTAGGTGGAGTGGCTCAAGTGGTAAAGTGCCTGCCTAGCAAGTGCTAGGTCCTGAGTTCAAGCCCCAGTACCACCAAAAAGGGAAAAAAAAATGTATACAAATTGTGACAGGCTATGAAGGGTTAGGTTGACAAGGGAAGAGACACATTTAAATAAGGTGTCCAGGGAAGCAAGTGCAAGTTAAACCCTGGAATTTTTTGTTTGTTTGTTTTTTGATAGAACTAGGGTATGGACTCAGGGCTTTGCACTTGCAAAGCAAGGACTCTACCACTTGAGCCACACCTCCAGTACATTTTGCTCCGGTTATTTTGGAGATGGGGTCTCCAAACTATTTGTTCGGGCTGACCTTGAACATTGATCCATCCTATTTCAGCCTCCCAAGTAGCTAAGTCAGGCATGAGCCACTAGGGCCTGCCAATCCTAGAGTCTTGATGGTTCCTGATTAAGACCTTTCAAAAATACTTTTTATACACCTAAGTCCTCAGAGAAAACAGATCATTATTCAGTCATGTGGCCTTTTCATTAGTGTACTTTATCCAGAAGCTTGCTTTTTATAACTCAGTAGTGCACAAAGATTTTTGCCATGTTGACTCATCTAGACTTACCCCACTGTTAAGTGTTACAGGCGTTCCACAGCCAAGACCTATGAGTTTACTTAGTCATTCCATTGAGGGCCTTAATGTTACTTGAAAATTTTCACTATCAAATGCAATGCCCTAACAACTCCCTGTACACACAATTTCCTCCTGCACCTGTGTGAGTCTCTTTCTAGGATGAATAGCTAGGATAGGAAAAAAAAAAAAAAATATATATATATATATATTTACATATTTATATATTTATATACCGTCAAGAGCTTCTGAGGACTACTAAAGAGTTCATACTCTAGCCCAGATGTTCACTGAGCAAGTCTAGACAACCTTTTTTTTTTTTTTGGCGGGCGGCACTGGTGTTTAAACTCAGGGCCTCACACTTGCTAGGGAGGCGTTCTTAACTGCTTGGGCCACTCTACCAGTCCTATACAACTATTTAATATATGTTCACACACACACAGCTCTTTTTTAAGATAATAGCCCAGGCTAGCCACAAATTAGCAATTCTCCTGCCTCAGCCTCCCCAGAGCTGGGATTATAGGCACTGTGTTGGGCTTACCCACCTGATGATTCTATGAATGCACTGAAGCTTTAGTTCCTTCCATGTAAAACAAAGCAAATGATCACCACTTTTTTTTAGGTGGTATTGGGATCTCAACTGAGGGCCCTATGCTTCTTCCTAAGCAAGTGCTCTATCATTTAAGCCACACCTCAGCTCATCATATTTTTAGCTAATGTAGGACACGTTAAGTAAGCCAGCTATTCTTATCACATTTTGTTGCGATTCTTTTCTTCTCTTAAAAGAGAAAAAAACGTGTGGGTGCAGGAGTTCACACTTGTAATCCCAGCTATTCAGGACGTGGATTGTGAGAATCATAGTTTAAGGTCAGTCTGGGCAAAAAATAAGACAAAACTTAGCAAGACTTCATCTCAATCAATAAGCCAGGAATGGGGGAAAGACAGCGCTGATGGACTGGCTCAAGTGGTAGAGCGCCTGCCTAGCAAGCACAAGGTTCTGAGTTTAAACCCCAATACAGTAAAAAACAACAAAAAGTAACACTTAAACTGACTCATCTAACCTAGCATATGATACCTTTTCCATCATAGAGGGCAAGCCCCGAATTCTCCAATTCAGCCTCCTTGAGCCACCCTGGTGGGTATCCCAGCTGGCGCATCCGGTAGATGAAAGGGGGAAGACTCTTGTCTGTCACACCAAGTGCGTCTTGAAGTTCCTCACTAAATGAAAATGAGAAAGGGAAAAATGCTTGATTCTTGTTCATATGAAAGCATATAATGTGGTATTTTAAACATTTTTGTGTTGTACTACATAGCATATAGTATGGAGCCTACCAAACCCATAGTAAAGATTCCAGTAACTGTTGTTTGAATGAACTGATGTATGTTACAGAGGCTGTGGTAGGGCATACCTACATCCTAATAATCACCCTGAAAAGACACTTGTAATCCTAGCTACTTGGGAGGTCTCAGGAAGGTAAAAATGACATCCTAGGCAGAAATGACAGCAGTACCTAATAACTCCTGGTTTGAATCTTCCAAATCTTTCTTCTACTTCTTCTGCATGATATCGCTGTTGGAAATTCTGATTGTTTGCCTCTCCACAGGCATCCATATACTCTTTTCTCTTTTCACTTATCCGAGCAGCATTCCGGGGCTAAACCATATTTAAAAAGAATGGTATCAAGCAATTTAGAAAGATTTCAGAAATTAAATAATAGGTTTCTCAGGTAAAACAAACATTGTTTTAGCTTTAATGTACAAAACAAACATAAAAGAGGGTGGATATTTTTGAAAAGTAAGCAAGAAGAAGCAGTCACCTTAATTTCTGATTAACTCAGTGCTGTCATGACTACATTTTTAGAATAAACTTTAAAAATTAACACTCTCATGTTTCATTCATCTCAAATACAGGCTACTATAATTTTTTCTTAAGAAATCTAATGTGTTAAAATACTTCCAGTTAAAGTGCAACATGAAAATCACACAGAAAACAGTGCCATAAATGTGTAAAATACATCAACAAGCTCTTGTTCAAAGCTGAAAGACATTGTTTTATGTGAGAGAAATTTACCATTGGGCACTCTTTCATTTGATGTTCTTCAGACCCACAATTGAAACAGTGAGGCCTTGGCCTATTCAGGAAAACAAATAAAACAGACAAAAAAAAAACACAAAATTTTCATAATGTAGATGAAAGCATAAGAGCAAATCAATAAAATTCTAAATGACGGCCAAGTTTCAGAGACAAGAAAGCAAGTGGATCGCAGATCACTATTATCTGTAATACAGTACACTGATGTCTTCTGACTCAGTTTTTTAAACAAACAACAACACTACCCAGTGTTTTAACCAAGAACCATTCTGTTTCTAACTGATCTATTACCCCTTGTCAGTTTTCTCAGTGGTTAATAACAGAAGAATCTAAGCAAACAGAAGGCAGATGGTTGGTTACAAGACAGTGATCAAATCCACAGCAATTATCACTTTTTTCCACCCTCCCAGGCCCATTAGGCGTGAACCAATGAATTCCAAGAAATGGATGATCAGTTTAAATATGTAATAGGTTTAGATAGGAGAATTCTAGTTCAGTCTGCAATTTACGTTACATTAAACCAGCAATAGAGAATATTAACTTTTCAAGCTAAACAGGTTGATGCTTTTGGTATTGAAAAAACAAAAACTCCCCACACAAACCTTTTTGCCTTTACTTGTATTTCTTGCCCTTCTAGAGAAACAATGTGGCTGAAGACTTGCTGGTACCTTTAGTGAATTTGATTAAGGAATAGTTATCATAGTCTGCAAAATTTGGAAAACTTTTTAAAAGGTGAACTTAGTGGCAGGATGAATAAAAGGTCTTCATTCACTATGTAGGATACTTGGGTATTTCCCATCCTTCCGTAAGCTGAGGGTTTTCATTTAGTAGCGGTTGCCCCAATTTATCAAGGCAAAAATTAGTAAAATACAGGACACTTCCTACAACCTGCAGAAAACAAGTCAAAAAATATTGCTATTTAAGCAGAAAAAAGACATTAAATATCTTAAGATTATGATTACCTATTTTAACAATTTATTTTGTATGAAGTTATTAATAACTCCCTAGATAAAATAACCAGATTTTTATGTGTAAGTATAAACTACACCTGAATTTTTCCTCTGTATCGGATCTCTACTATCAACTGCACTCTCTCAAACAAAATCTAAAAACTCTGATGTCACCTATCATTATAATACCCCATTTCTTGGTGGCAAGACCATCAGACCCTTAGTTACTGATTCCATTTCCTTTGTTCCCATCCATTTTTTCTTTTCCAAGCTTTGAAACTTGTAAATTTCATTAGGCAAGTTGAAAAAAAAGTACAATGAATACTCATGGACTCTTCACCTAGATTCAACAATGGGTGATAGCTGTGCATTTTTCTATGCATGTGTCTTTACACACACACACTCTTACTCAGCCATCTGAAAGTTAGTTGTAGATAGGACACTTCATCCTCAAACGCTTCAGAACAAAACTTGTAGGACTAAGAACATTCTCCTACAAACCACAAATCCTACTGAAGAAAATTATTAACTCACTGGTATCATCTATATCCAATCCATATTCAGTTCTCCCCAACAGTCCCCAAGATGCCTAAAGATATTTTTTCAAGACAGTATTTGATTGAGGCTCACATGTTGGATTTAGATGTTGTATCTTTTTAGTCTTTTTTATCTTTTTAATGACACTACCAGGGCTGGTGGAGTGGCTCAAGTAGTGGAGCACCTGATTTGCAAGCAGGAGGCTCTGAGTTCAAACTCCAGTACTCCCTACGCGCCCCCACCAAAAAAAAAAAAGAAAAGAAAAAAACAGCATAACAACACTGCCATTCTCTCTAGAATATTTCCCAGTAGGGCTCCATTCCTATCACTGCACCAAGCTACTTGACAAAGGAATTCTGCAAGGCCCTCCCTGCAGCTGAATTCAATGGGTAGCTCTAAGTCTTCATTTCACTCAACCTATCAGCAACAGAGGCAGCTGATTCTTCCTTTTTCCCAGAAGCAGCTTCCGGGATACCATTCTCTTAGTTCTCTTCCTTCTGCTGACCAAGCCTCAGTGTTCCTTGCAGAGTCCCTCTCATCTCTCCATCTTCTATACTGGAGTGTGCAGGGCTCAGTCCTTAGCTGTCTTCTCTACTCTCACTCCCTAGGTGACCAATTCAGACCCAAGGTAGGAAATATAATTTATTTGCTGACAATCCCCACAGGAAAATTCTGAGCCCATCTAAACACCAATCTTGAATACTGAAGAGGCAACTTGACTCCTCTCCCTGGACATGTAAGAGGCATCTCAAACACACCTATTTAAAATCAGATGGGATTCCCAGCCCCTTCCAAACCTGCTGCTTCTCCACACGTCATCATAGAAAAGGCAATGACCTTTTCCAGCTCCTTAGGCCAAAGACCTGAGTCATTCTGACTACTTTTTTTTTTTTTTTTGCAGTACCAGAGTTTAAACTCAGGGCCTTCACACTTGCCAGCTCTACCACTTGAGGCACTCCGCCATCACTATGACTATGCTCTTGCCCTCAGTTTATTAACTCTACTACTTTCCATGTTCATCTACATTTATTCTAACCACACTTCATTAGCCTCTCACCCTGGTCTCAGCCATCGTTTTCTCTTGTCTGAGATTAACACAATAACTTCACTGTTTCCAGCCTCTACACACACACACCCTACCGACTACTTTCCACAAAGATTCCAGATCTTCATTTCAAGACATAGCTTGTCACATTTCTACTTAAAAACACTCAAATGGCTTCTCATCTTACCCAGAATGAAATCCAAAGTCTTTACTATGGCCTAGAAGGCAACATAAAGATTTGGATCATTTGATCTTGAGCCCAAAGGCCTGGTTTCAAACCCTGCTTTGCCATTTGCCCACTGACAAGTCACTTAACTTTTTCTTTGGGTTCTCCCTCCCCTCAGTAAAATGGGAGTAATAATAGTTGTACCATTATGAGTAGTTATCTGTATGGAGCTCCTAATTAGATAGCAGCACTTGGTACACAGTAAGCAATGTGAATGTGGCTTCTGCCTCTGGGCTCCACTTCCATTTCTCACTGTCTGAAGTACTCTCTACTGCAGCATGCTCACTACCCAATTCATCTGGCTCTTGGCTCAGAGAAGTTGTGCCAGACGCTCACCTCACTACACAAACCACCTATCCCATAGTTATTCTCTCACTCCTTACCCTGCTTTATTTTTCTTGAGAGCACTGCCTTCTCCCACTAGAATGTAATTCAATGAGAGCTGGGACTCTGCCCTTGTTTTTCATAGCTGTGTCCTGGAACCTAGAACAGTCCTTGGTACAAAGTGGCATTTAGTAAATATTTATTAGTATTTGTTACAGAACTAAATTCATAAATACACAAAACTCTCAATTTCTAGGCAACTATCACTTTCAATCCAAGAACCTTAAAGTTGGAAAAGAGATAAAAATTTATGTAATTCAGTTCAGAAATCCTTCTTCAGTGTCCTGATGCCATTCTAACCTTTGACTCTAGTAACACGGAATTCACTTGCCTCACACATGGTAGGCAAACGCTTTGCCACTGAGCTACAACCTCCAGCCTAGTTCTCTAGATGATGAGCTGAAATGTATCTCCTTATACTCAATTCAATCACTGATCCTAATTCTACCAGGTGGCACTACAACAGGGTGATCTGTAACAGCTTCTGTCCTGTTTACAGAGATGTGACTTTCCCTGTAAAGTTTTTTAGTAAGGTTTGTGGCTCTTCATCACTCCAGCAACCCCATGTCTTTAAAATTGTGGTTTATCGGTTTATTCCATAAACATGAAAACCAGTTTTCTTTAAGTGGAATCCAGGACTATATTGCTTTTTTAAAAAACTGTAAGTTACAGGATCACAACACTACATCGTATTGATACTACTAAATGTTGTATAGGTTCTGAAAAACCTAAGCACTGAGTTCATCAACATTTTATATTTCAAATTTGCCACTTGTTATGTTAGATATCTCTTGCAGTTTCATTCATCTGTAAGTTCAACAGGTATGTTTTCTGTATCTTTATTTTATTTATTTATTTTCTTGGCGATACTGGGGTTTGAACTCAGAGCTTCATGCTTGCTAGGCAGGCGCTCTACCACTTGAGCCTCTCCACCAGCCCTCTGTGTCTTTATTCTTGAAGACAAACAGAAAGAGGCTGGTTAGGACAAAAACAAACTCTTGTAAAGGTCGCCTACTGTGCCCCAGGTCACACTGCAATGCTATCACATGCAGCCCAGGTGATAAAAGGATAGTGGCCAAACTTACACTGAAAGCTTCCTTGTTGTTTTTAATAGCACAGGATTCTTCTACTTTATGGTCCTCTTCTAACACAATACTGGATGGCTAAGACAAAGAAAACAAACGTTACAAAGGTTAACCAATAATAAACTTTTAAACTTTAAACCTCAGAAATGAGAAAATCAGAATGCGTCCCTTTTATTTTCTGATATACATCATCAAGGTACATAAAATTTTGGATCTGTCATTGTCCTGGTTAGAAGGAATTTAGAAAGTGAGATAGGAATTTCTCCTTTTTCTTTTTTTTTTGACGGGCTAAAGAAAACCAGGTGCTGCACTGCTCAGACTTCAGAGGAAGCCACTGGAAGGATGGGAGATGTCAGACAATCTTGACAATAGTTTTGATTTTGGTTCAAGGATCCTGTAGCCTAATAACTGGCAGTGAAAAACATAATCTACTAATCTGAAAGTCTCTTAAATTTGATACCTGGGGTGAAAGATTAAAGGAAGTCTTTTCCGAATCATTTTTCTGTTGTTCCTCAAATCTTTTTGCTAAATTTGATACAAATTCCTCTATTTCTTGATGATACTGCCTGTATAATAGGACAAAATAAGACAAAATGGTCAGAACTCAAACAGAAAACACTTAATAGACTTATGTTTTATGCATTACCCTGTCTCAAATTTGTTATTTTGTTTTTCAAAAGTTCATCAAATCATTGACTCTTTGTAACACTCAGGAACTTAGTCCTTAGGAAAAACATATTGTTGCAAAGTTAACAAAATGATTATGATAACCTAACACAGTTTTTGGTACAGAACAGTTGCCAAACAGTTACACAAAGAATAAGCTGATTTTACTTAGAAATTCTATGTACTTAACTTTTTAACAGATACTACATTTAAAGGGGTCAAAATCCAGAAGTAAAAAGGTTATATAATTAAAAGCTCCCTTCCTACTGTCTCCTTGTCACCAATTTCTGCAACACAAAGTTAATCAATGCATTCAGTTCTTCCAAACCCTCCTCCCTGGCTTTTTTTTGTTTATATAAGAAAATATCCATTTAATAAGAAACGGAAAGGGAAAAAAAAAAACAAAACAGTAATGCAAGAAAAAAAAATACTACAGTATACTTTCTCTAGACCTCCAGGTCAAGAACCAGCATACGGATCAAATATTCTGTAGTGTTCCCTTCAGGAGGTGTTAAAGAAGCCCACACTTTGTTACAGTGCAATTAGGTGGCCACAAATTCTCCAACTCAGCTTCCTTTTCAGAGACTTGATGAGAACAGGTTCTTTCTAGCTCTGACGTTCAGAGTTTCTACAGGCAAAATGACAGGAGAATGGCGCAAACACCAGACTGTTTCTACTCTGAAAGGGTAACAGTGACTGTTGTGCCCAGCATCCTGTGCACAGGATGCACTTACCCATTCAGCTTCCCCCCTTGATAATCAGAGGTGTCCTTGATGATTAAATGATTTGGTAGGGAAAAAGCAACTGTGTAAAATGTCTACGACCATGCTCTGAAGAAGACAGACAGCAAGGCCTCAAACCATTTCAGAACACTCTTGCAAGCACTGCAGGAATGCACTGAGTCAACTAAACTCAGGCATGCTGGAGGCTTGCTATTAAAAAAAAGTAATTATGGGGGGCTTCAAAGGCAGCCAACATGGAAAAACTCAGTTATCCAATTCTGGGAGACAAGTGACTAGTATCATCACTACTATCATGGTGATACCAGTGATTTTTATTAGAAGCTGTTTATTGGGCACTGATTACTATTAGTACACTGCTTCCCAGTGAAGAAACATAACAACAGAAAGGCTCTGTGGCCTGCCCAGGTTCACAGATGTAGGAGTCCAGATTCAAATTCTGGTTTGTATGACTTCCACACCCTTCCTCTTAATCATCATCTCACATACTTGAATTCCAGAAGAGAGATGATATAAATTCAAAGGGAAACAGTATATTTATAGAAGACAATGTTTTGCAAACACATTAATTCATATTTAGGAAAGGGGAAATTACTTACTTTGAAATAGTATTGTTCATAAACAGAATCTGCAATAAAGGTCCATCTAACTTAGTATTGTTCACCAGTATTCCACTAAAACAGAAGTTAAAACATATTCTTAAAAGACAGTAAACCACAGGTACATGTAAGTATGTAACTTTTATATAATTCTTTTTTTTTTTTTTTAAAGACAGGGTCTCCTACGTAGCCCAGACTAACCTCAAATTTGAAATCCTCTTGCCTTAGCCTCCAGAGTGCTAGGATTATAGAGGTGAGCAATCATACCCAGATAGCTCTTATAATTGTTAAATACTAAAGATCACATATTTTATAAATAAGTCCAAGAGGGCTTGATGGAGTGCTTGCCTGCCACACATGAGGACTGGGTTCTATCCCCAGCATGACGAAAATAAACCAAAATCAAAACCCAACTCCAATTTTCTCAAGAAAAATCTAAGTTTTCACCATTCTACCTCCTTTAATGGATTCAACAAAGGTATCTTACATAACATTTTACAAATTGTTTCACCAAAAATTAAGAACGACAGTTCTTAATTTAATCTTATCAGTTTTCAACCAAAACGTTTCTCTACCTACTGGCTAATTTCTTTACAAATCAGGGAGGCAAGAGACAGAATAAGCCAAAAGGTTACAAGGACGTATTTCCCAAAGAATCTGTGTGAATTTGGCTTGAAAGTACAGAGGAAAATAAAGCACTTCATAAATAAATGGGTAGATTATTAGAGGGCAAAATGACACATTGCATTAACCATCTCAAATTCAAGATTCTAAAGAAGATGTAGAACCCTACTATGCCTGGATTTGATTTTGAAATACAAAAAAAACAGAATGCAGCCTCGAAGCCTGCAATAACCTGGGACCAGCTGAATCTAATTCTCCTCTTCTCTGCCTCACAGTCTTCTACCTGTACAACATGTAAAATAAGTCACTATTTTGAACTGCTCCCATCAAGCAGAAATAAAACTTGAATATGAAAAAGTTCAGACTTGTTTCAATTTCAAACTTCAGTTTTAAAATACAATGTTTTTAAAAGCCATGTGCAACTGTATTGTCCTTGATCAGAGTGCAATTTGAGAAATCAGGTTTAACACACTCAGGCGGAGAAATGTGATAACCGTCTGGGTTGGTGACATTACCAAGGCAACCATGCCAGTTAACAGGTGTAATAATGGTGTACTGATCATGCATGAAAAAGTCTTTATATTTTAAAAGACATGCTGAAATATTTAGGGCAAAATGTATTCATGGGACTGAGAAGGCAAGACAGCAAAAATACTACTTATTAAATCTACGGGGTGAAAACTTGGGGATTAATCATACTATTAGTTGCACTTTTTGTATGTTTGAACATTTCCTAATAAAAGTTAAAAAAAAAAGCCCCAACTGCTTATTGATTTAAAAAGAGGAGAAACTTCTAATTCTGACAGCTATAAAAGTAAGGGTTAAGTTGGGTGCTGGCGGCTCCGATCCATAATCCTAACCAGAGCAAAATGAACTGGAGGTGTACTCAAGCAGTAGAGCGCCTATTTTGCAAGCACAAAGCTCTGAGTTCAAACTCCAATCTCACCAGGAAAAAAAAAAAAAGAAAAAGTACTAAACCAAGAAACTTCGGGGTACAAATTTCACCTAAATAAGTTTGGTTTTCTGCAGAATGCTTTATCATTCTGATAATGTGGAGGGCACTACTTCTAAAAATTAGTAATTTATTCCTTCTCTTTTTTTGTTAGAACTGGGGTTTGATTGCCTTTTTTTTTTTGCCCCACTGGTGTTTGAACTCAGGGTTTCATGCTTGCTAGAGAGGTGCTCTTATCATTTGAACCACTCCCCTACACCTTTTAGCTTTAGTTATTTTGGGGATAGAGTCTTGCATTTTTGACCAGGAAAGGGAGATCCTTCCATTTATGCTTCTGGAGTAGCTGGGATTTCAGTGTGCCCCCCAAGCTCAGATGTTAGTTGGGGGGGGGAGGTCTTGCTAACTTTTTGTGCAGGCTAGTCTTGAACCTCCATCTTTTCCAACCTCTGCCTTCTGAGTAGTTGAGATTATAGGTGTGAGCCACATGCTCATTTATTTTTCATATTGGTGTGTCCTTTTTTTTGGATGCATCCTATTTATTTTTTATTTATTTTCTTTTTTGTTTCTCTCTTTTTTTGTGATGTATCCTTCTTACAAACTAGCAAAAACCTATCTACTTACCTGTAATCATTTGAACTCAGGTGATTATCATATCCCCCACCCTTTTTTTTTTTTTTTTTTTCTGGCTGTACTGAGGTTTGAACCCAGGGCCTACACCTCGTGAACTGTTTGTCTCGGCTGGTTTTGAACCATGATCCTCCTGTTCTCTGCCTCCTGAGTAGCTAGGATTAAGCTGGTATATGGCTTATCACACTTTTTGAGAGATAAATACTTAATGTTCCAATGATCAACTTCATTAGAAAAATGTTTATGTAAATTGACTATCTTTAATATATGAAAATTATAATTGTTATGAGGAATCTCAATTATATTTAATACATTCAACATCTACCCACAAATGGGGTGATAGTCACCTGAGTCCCCATAATAAATTTGTACTTTAACAAGAATTTAATTTAGCAAGCTGTTAAATTTATATTAAGAGATAGCAGCCTTTCTCCAATATATCTCCACCCAGCACAATAATGTAAAAAACTCTAGGGGAAAAAAAAAAAAAAGATAGCAGCCTTCATTCTACCTGTGAAAACCAGACACCTGAATACAAATCTATCTTGCATTACTTCTATGCAGGAACACTATTTTTTCTTTTTCTTTTTTTTTGTGGTACTGGGGTTTGAATTCAAGGCCTACACCTACAGCCACCCCACCAGACATTTTTTGTGATGGGTTTTTTCGAGATAGGGTCTCATGAACTATTTGCCTGGACTGGCTTCAAACCACAATCCTCCTGATCTCTGCCTCCTGAGTAGCTAGGATTACAGGCATGACACACCAGTGCCTGGAGCATGAACACATTTTAATTGTGTAAATAAATCTTCAGCTAGAGTAATATTTTAAGTTATTCTTATTTCTCAGAAATGTTCACTGACTAGGAATAGCTGGGTTACCAGTTTGCCCCTTCTGAACAATGAGTCAAAATGTTCTGGACTGTGGTTCTTAAAAGTGACCCAGTAAATCAGCCTGAAAGTTAAATGCACTTACGAGAGTTCAGATTTTATACCCACAAGCCAAGAATAATGGACAGTTACTCTGATGTCTTCATAATAAGCTGAACCAATGACAATGATAGCAAAGTCCTACATCCCACAAAGAAATTGATTAACTGTTAGTAACTGGATAGACAACAAGGGACACCTTGGTGTAATTTCAAGCTCTCTTACCTGGGTCGAGTCAGAACGCTCAATTTTCTTTTAAGTTCTTGATGTTATTACTTGTTAAGGAATAGTACCCTTCATTAAACAGAAGCATGCAGATCATAAAATCCATCAACTGCAGCCCTCGCTTTTATCAGAGAGTTAGAAATGTAAAAGACCCACAAATATATTGAGGATGGTACACTCACTGAACACCTGTTTTGTTGTAAGGCAAGGCATTGGCCCCCAAAACCAAAATATAGCCTTCATCCTTTTGAACATACATTCTAAGACATGATCCTGAAGTTCAAGAGAGTCTAACAGGCCAAACCAAAACGTTACTCCAACAACGGTGACACAAGAGTAAGCCAATTAGGGAGATTTTCCACGTGACGGCATCATAGTTTGCTAGAAAGCAAAAGCAGTATCTACTAAACTGTCAACGATCGAAGACTCTAGAATGGAATCCATGGATGTTTGCTGTACAATACTTTTAACTTTCCTGTATTTTGAAACTTTTTCAAAATAAAATGTCGAGAAAGTAGCACAATAAAAAAAATTCAGACTTCTCTAACAGAATGGAAGATGGAAAAAAATTAGACTTCAAAAACTTTAAACACTGACGTAACAACCACTCTCGGGGTTCTTTATACATTTTAAAAGGAAAGTTATCTGAACCGAAACTACGAGTCTGTGTAGATTTAAAAACCCTTCGAATTGTAAATAAACAGACTAGAAAATCGCAAAATCTTGCACCTAAAGCCAAGTGGAAACTTACTTGGCGCGATTTTCAAGCTAGATCAAGGTGGAAGAACTCAAATCAATCCCCAATCTGAACCACGCAATCAGCCATTTCCCTTCACTCGCCCCGACTCCTCAGGACCCGGCCCTGCATCCTCGGATCCCCCCAAACCTGAAACCTGTCACGACAATGACAAGAGAGGGAGCCCAGTGGGGACTCCAAGGTAGCAGTGAGCAGTCCAAAGGCACCCTAAAAACCGGCGGGAGTTCGGGATCCCCAGGGGGAAGAGGTTTGCACGGAGCCCGCGGCGCAGCCCGAACCCCGATTCCCGACCCGCCGCCCGGGAATCCACTCGGAATTCCGGCCTCGTGGAATTTCCGCCGCGCCCGCCCGCGGACCCCACGCCGGTGACGGGCCCAGCGAGCCGGAAGGATATTCTCGGCGCGGAGATGCTCGATGGTTTCCTCGCACTGCCGAAGCCGCTCCCGCAGCTCCGCGTCGCCAACCCCGTTCGCCTTCTCCTCGCCGCTGTCCTCGTCCTTGAAGCGGGTGTGGACGGGCTTCAGAGTCGACTCCTCTTGGGGGTCAAACGCCTCGAACAGCTCTAGGTCGCCAAAATCCACCTCCGCCGCCATTTTGGGTTGTAGGAAAGATTTGGGAAGAGGCGGAGCCGGCCGCCGGGGGAACGGGGGCGAAGGTTGTAGGGCGGTACCTCTCACCCTGTAGGGTTTTCTCCCACGTAGGCCGCCAAAGTCGTTCTAAGGGCGGGGTTGACCCCTCCGAGAGACTACAAGTCCCAGAATGCAACGGCGCCCCTCACACCCACTTCCGAGGTTGGACTGGAGCATGGCATGCTGGGACGTGTGGTTTCTAAGCGACTGTTAACTCATTGTTTGCATTGCGTCCTGGGATAGATCCTCTTCGAAGTGTATAGAAAACCTTCCAGGATTAGACCGCGTTAAAACATTATGAATTGTCCCTGTTGGTCATCTAAGTCTGAATAATCGGAGCGAGCGCAACGCATGGCTTATGATTCTGTTGTGTGTGTAAATAGTAAGAAAAAAAGGAACTCTAGTTTCACCACAGACTACCTTTGTGATCTTAGACAAGCCACTTAGTTTATACATGGATAGGACTGGATAGGATCCTTTCTCCATTCCCAACGTTGTCATTTAAACGTTTTAAACAGGTGGTGTATTTGTAACCAGCAAATTTCCATTTTGGTAAGATGGTCTTGATTGAAGGGTAGAGAACAGATTGTAGATGGAGCAAGAAGGAAATTGAGTCATGTAGATAGACTGATCCCCAGCATTGAAAGGGTTGTGTGTATGTGTGTAAGCTTGGTGTAAAGTAGTGGCAATAGTGGTGACGATATTTAGGACTATCGAGATACTTCTTGGTACTACTTAGAAGTTGAGGGCATTTAAAAGATAAAATTAAGTCAGGCCTCATTAAGGGTCAGACAAGGATAACAAAAGAAAGGCAGTATATTTGCCAGGATTCTGACTTAAATTGACTGAATATCATTTGAGATAGGTACCTGTGGATATAAGCCAGTGTGGGAGCAGAATATTGTGTTTGGTTCCTTGGGGGTAATTTTATCCCCCAAAATTGTTGACACATTTTGGTCATGATTGGTATATTGACTAAATGATTGCAAGGATCCAGTGGAAATGTGTATTAGGCAGCTGGATCTTTGGATCAGGCTCATATAAATGGTCTGAACTTAATGTGAACATTTGGATGACTCAGGTTTTCATGAAAAGCAACTATGGCTGTGGTGGAGGATGAGATTGTATGAAGAATGAAGAGGGAGAAGGTGGGTCAAGGACTTGTCTTGAGAAAAGTCTCAACCCAGACCTTTGAGAAACTGATGGAGTAACTGAGTGGGAGAACTAAGAGTGTTTCTCATAGAAATGAATGGATATAGCGCTGGTGGAGTGGCTCAGGAGGTACAGGGCCTGGCTCTGCAAGCATGATTTACCCCATCCCCTCAAAATATTAGTGAACAAATACTTTCATTTTTTGGCCTATGAAACTTATTAATTCTACTTGGAATTAGGTATAAAACAATTTCTACTTCTCTTTTACCAACCTGGTTTTTTTTGGCAGCACTGGGTTTGAACTCAAGGCTTCCACACTTGCTAGGCAGGCACTCTTTACTGCTTGAGCCACTCCACCAGCATTCTTGTCATGGGTAACTTGTTTTTGGTGATACTGGAGTCTGAACTCAGGGCCTTGTGCTTGCTCAGCAGGCGCTCTACTTGAACCACTCAAACCACTCCACCAGCTTTGTGTGTGTATTTTCCCAACCAGGTTCTTGTGAACTGTTTGCCCAAGCTGGCTTTGACCTGGGATCCTCCTGATCTCTGTCTCCTGAGTAGATAGTAGTATTACAGAAACATGGCACCTACTTCTTTAGACAAGGTTTAATTTTTTTTTTTCCTATGCTTAGTAGAATCAAAAATCAACCATCACCTCAGGAGGGTTCAGAATTTTCCAAATCTTTGAAATTACCCTATCAACATTTGAACTGCCAAAAGTTTTCTAAATCTTAGATTTTTGGTGGGACTGGTGTTAGAACTCAGGGTTTCCTGCTTACAAAACAAGTGCTCTACCATTTAACTACACCTCCAATCCATTTTACTCTGGTTATTTTGGAGAGGGGGTTCTCATGAACTATTTGCCTGGAATGGCCTCAGACCTCAGGATTAGCTTGTTAGGAATACGAGTGAGTCACTAACACCCTGCTTAATTAATCTTAAATATCAGCATCTCCTAGTTTTACTGTCCTGCCAAAAATTATTTCCTGGGCAGCAATTTTAATTGCATTTTTTTTTGGGGGGGAGTACTGTGGTTTGAACTTGGAAGACTCATCCTTGCTAGGCAGCCACTATACCACTTAAACCCCTCCACCAGCCCTACCTCGGCAGCAATTTAATGTCATCATTCCTTTTTAATTATAAATCCAAATGTCTGTTATGCTGCCCAGACCCTGAAACAGTACAAGAGCCACAGTTTGAAAACTGGTAAGAGAAGCTTAATAGAAAACTATGGAGAGCCAGGCACTGGTGGCTCACACCTGCAATCCTAGATACTCAGAAGGCAGAGATCAGGAGATGGAGGTTCGAGGCCAGCTTGGGCAAATAGTTCACAATACTTTATCTCAAAAATACCCAACACACAAAAGGACTGGTAAAGTAGCTCAAGTGGTAGAATGCCTGTCAAGCAAGTATAAATTCCCAAGTTCAAACTTTGGAACCACGTCCCCCCCTAAAAAAGAGGTGTTTTATTTCTATATTGTGGTGTATTTAGTATACTATAATGTTTGCCAAAGGACTTTTGGTTTTAATTTTTATTTTTGAATTAGCATACATTAATGAGGGCATTGTGATAATTCCATATCTACAAGTACTTTGAACAAATTCAACCTGCCTCCTCCAAAGGATTTTCCAAAGGGTAAGTTAAATATCATTACTTTGTTGTAATGAAAATAAATTACAAGTTTTGTAGTTTTCCTCTCATCCCCAGATCTATGCCCTTTTCAATTTGGTGACAATACTTTTCCCTAACAGTTCAGTTTATGTTGGAGAAGTCTTCAAAGGATAATGAGCAAAGGGCATACAAAGGACTTGTTATAAGGCACTTTATTAAAATAAAAGTGCGTACATCCCTTTAATGCATCAATCTACTTCCTGAATAACATGGAATAATTAACAAATACTATACACCAATATTCTAATAGTAGGAAAACAGTATTTCAAATAAATGTTTGCTCCTGTCTTTTTTTTTACATTTTTGCTCACCATGGTATTGCCTATGGCGTAACTTTAAAAAAAAAAAAAATTCTAGCCAGTGTTTTGTAATTGCAAAATGCTACAGAAACGATAAAACAAATCCAAACAAGAATACCAGGTAACTTAAATTAACACCAGTTTTGAGAAAACCATTTTTATTATTGTCACCAGCAGCTTATTTGTGCTGGATGATATACCAAAGGGCCAGATCTTCTAAAGAACATCTAAGTAACATTTTTTTATGTTTCAAGAGATGAAAATAACTGTACAAGGTTAAGTACAAAAGTACACAAGACAGTGGACACGAAAAAATCTATGTATGAGATTTGTATCCCACCCGCAGCTTTAATATATTTGAAAAGTAGAATTCATGAACTAAAAAATATTGTCCTTCTATAGTCCTGTCAAGTTTGATGGAAGTGGGTTTAACCTGATTACAACACTAACACCAGTATCACTGATCTGATATTTACAAAATATCGTATTTTTCAATAAATTAAAGTCAATGCAACACCCATGCAAGCTAGAATGCTAGCTGTTTGGTGAACAAGGACCTGACATCAGAACAAGTCTATAAAGTCCAAACTTTAAAAGTGATCTTTTTCAAACTGCATCCATTCCTCTCATTGAAGATGTAAAACCCAAACCCATTCCTCTTTGTGTGTGGGTTTGTGATCTTGCCATTTCATATTGAGCATCAAGATTTCTAAACACTTCTTCTTGTTGCTTCAAAGTCTTGTAACTTTCTTCATCAACTGAGCTACATCCAGCTTCATCTTCACTCTACATTCAGACATAAAATATGGAAATAAGCTGGGAGTAACAGTGACTCTCTCATGTTGACAAAGTATTGTTGAACGGCATTTTAGGACATGTGTCCTCAATTATTTAATTTCCATTCATTCATTTACCATACACATAATGCAAGGCAATGTTCCTTCTAGGTATTGAGGACAGTTAGATGTAACAAAAATTAACTTCGTATTAATGGGGTGGTAAAGAATATACAAAATGAACTACATGTTAAGGTGGCATAAGTCCCAAAGAGAAAACTGAAGTAGAAATTAGGGGCAAGAGTGTTTCAGGGATGGCAGTGCTTTGCTATTTTTAAAACGCGGTGGGAAAATACAGTAAAACCGTGACATCTGAGCAGACCAGAGACTAGTGTACGGAGAGCTAATGGGTAATAGAGGAATACCCAGCTTAGTTAAAGCTGAGTATTTCTCAATGAAATCCCTTTAATAATAACCAAAGTCTGAGCAATGATAGCATTTTCTAGGTTTTATATTATAGTCAATATTGAATCTTTGCACATTTACAGCTCAAAAAGCACAAGGTTTTCTAACTTAAAGAGATGTACAGAAGCTCACATAGGATTCTCTAAGAAGCCAGGTGTGATGGTATACATCTGTAATCTCAGCACTCAAGAGACTGAGGCAGGAGAATCCTGAGTTCAAAGTCAGCTTGGGCCACACAGAGCAGTCAAGGCTAGCCTAGGCTACATGATGACACACTGCCTCAGGAAAAAAAGATTCACTCAAAATACAATCTCAGTAATGATCAATGAACAATTGTGTTAATTTAAATCGAATAATTTGCATTATTAAACAGTAAAGATTAAGGTTTAGTTCAATCTCTGAATTAATCTAGAGAACATAATCAGAAAGAGCAGAGTTACCACTGAAATGTTTGAAGTTGAAAAGTAGTACAACTCACCTTAATACCCATTAATTTCCTAAATTTGACATTTTGGTCCTTGTTTCCAAAATTCAGTTTCTCCCATATTTCAGCAGACTGGGATTTGTCCTGTTAAGAAGCACTGAATTTTAGAATATGCAAAAGTTTAAATATCTTTTATAAGTATTTTAACTCTTCGTAATACAGTTTTAAGTTTAAAAAAAAAAAACCACCAACACAGCATTTGGTTTTTTTTTTTTTTGGCTGTACTGGGATGGGATTTGAACTCAGAGTCCCACCCCTTTGTGCTTTAGTTACTTTTTCAAATTCTTGCCCCTGGCAGGCCTTGCACAGCAATCTTAGTTATGTCTTCTGCATACCTGGAATTACAGGTATGAATCACGCTTTGCTTGTTTGGAATGACGGTCACTAACTTTCCCCCTCAGGCTGGCCTCCTTTTTCTAAGTAACTGTGATTACAGGAATGCACTACCATAAGTGGCTATTTAAGTCATTCAATTAATGGAATTTATAACTAAGATTTATCTTATGGGGACTAGAGTTATAATTACAGGCAGAATGCTTGCCTATAACACGTGCAATACCCTGGGTTTCATCCCCAGTACCACAAAAACAAAAACCAAAAAACAAGGACTTATGTTTTGGAGGCTGGAAGATGGTGAATTCAAGGCCACCCACCATGTGCTACACAGTAAGACCTTAAGAATACCAAGCTGGGGCTAGTGGAGTGGCTCAAGTGGAACTTCACCCATTCAAGTATGAGGCCCGGAGTTCAAACCCCAGTGCTGCAAAAAACCAAAAAAAAACCAAAACAAAACAAAACCCAAAAAAACCCCCAAAAAAACTACAACACCAAAGTCAACTAAAACCAAAGATTTATGTTACGGGTTATGGAGTAATGTAGCAAAGCAGTAGAAGCAAATCTTAGGACGTACCTTTAAAGGAAGTATCTAACCACCTTCCCACATTATAAATGCATGGTAATATTGTTTTTCTTTGGTTTAACTTAGGTTATGCTTGTTTTCTTTTTTTTTTTGGTGAGCTGGGATTTGAATTTAGGGCTTTGTACTTGCTGTACTCTGGTTACTTTGGAGATGGGGTAGTCTTATGAACTATTTGCCCAGGCTGGCCTTGAACCTTATCCTTCTGATCTTAGTTTTCTAAGTTGCTAGGATCACAGACTTGATCCACCAGTGCCCGGGTCTTAGTTTTAGGTGGTACTAGAGTTTGAACTCAGAGCCTCATGCTTGCTAGGCAAGTACTCTACCATCTGAGCCACTCCCCCTGCCCGGGTCTTAGTTTTAAATAATTATGTAAAGTAAGATCATTACAAACAGGTTCTCAGAAAACAACCTGAAACTAGTATTCTAAAATCCAAGTTTGTTTCTCTAAGTTGCTGATTATGGGTAAATAGTAAGAGAAGAATGAAAAAACTTACCCCTTCTTTTTTGCCTTGCCAAAGCATTTTCCTTTTTTTCTCCTGTTCAGCAAACTTCATCGGGTTCACAGCTGCTGGGTTATAGTAGCTGGGCACGGCTATTCCTGTCTCTGCCAATGCTTTAGCTTGCAGGGCTGCCATCTGAGCTGCCATTGCTATCTGAGGAGTCACTTGTGTTCCTGAAGCCAACAGGGCAGCAACATTGAGAACAGAACCCCCAGTGGCTGCAGCAGCTGAAGAGGAGAAATATGCATTTTTAGAGATAAAATATTTTTGTTTTTGTGGCCATACTGGAGCTTGAATTCAGGGGCTTCAGCTTGAGCCACTCCACCAACCCTTTTTTTATGAAGGGTTTCTCGAGGGGTCTTTCGGAACTATTTGCCTGGGATGGCTTCAAACCTCGATCCTCCTGATTTCTGTTTCCTGAGCAGCTAGGATTAAGGAATGAACCACTGGTGCCCGGAAAGACACAAATTTCTAATTTAGGCCAAAATACAGTACTTGTGTTCATCTTATATGATCTCTTATATAATAAAAACTCATTAACTGTGCTGATGCTGAATTATGGAAATATTAAAGTAGGAGTTCAATGCAAATGAACTATGGTGCCTGTAACTACAATTAAAGTCTTTTATGCTGTGTGCTTTGTTTTATAATCCCAGCTACCCAGGAGGTACAAATCAAGATCTTGGTTTGAGGCCAGAATGGCTATAAACTGGCAAGGTTTTATCTTAACCAATAAGCTGGGTATTGACTTATGCCTGTCACCCCAGCTATAGAGGAGTAAGGCCCTGAGTTCAAACCTCAGTACAACTCCACACTCCCCCCCCAACAAAAAAGTCTACTTATACTTTTCCTTACATTATATTGGATGAAATGTTTTTGCAATTGTATCATTTGGAAATATTTGTGAATTAAATATTAACAAGACATTATGTATATCTAAGTCCTATAAAGATTATGTGCCAGATCTGGTAATTACACTGTAGTAGAGCTGTCTTTTCTAAACAAGACTCTTCCAATTACATTAGTCTTTGTCAGTCCAGAATATAGTCTCAAAAGTTCTTATACTAACACTATAGGAAGCCAGTTGTGAAGTTTTTGTTATAGTTATGTATTTATGAGAACAAATTGTCAGCTGGCAAAATTTTGCAGTATGAAAAAGGGCAACGAGGCTAGGGACATGGCTCAGGTTGTAGGGGGCCTGACTAGTAAGTGAGAGGCCCAGAGTTCAAACACCCCAGGACTCCACCACTAAGAATTTCTAACACTAAAAATTTATATTATATTGAGAGGTTACAGGTGGCTTCTTTTCTATTACTTTTATTTTTTCATACTTTAATGGATGTCAAAAATACATAATAAATAGCTAGAGGTATGGCCCAAACAGTAGAGAATCTACTTTGCAAGCAAAAAGTCCGGAGTTTAACAAAGTAAAAGATAAATACCCGCAGCTATTTCTTGCTGTTTTTGTTTTTCAACCATTTCCTTTTCTCGCTGTTCTTGTAACTTCTTTGCCCTTTCCAATCTGTCAAAAACAAGTTAAATGAATTTAAAGTAACATTCAATCTAAAACCAACATGTACCTTTATACATGTACTGAGACAAAACACACCATTTTTGGCAGTTAATATTTAAGAGCCCCCTCCTAGTTTTAAAATTAATTACCAGCGAAGAGACAATTTCAAAACTGTTTTCATTGATTTTTAGTGGGATGGGGTCTTGCTTTGTTAATCCTGTTGGCTCTAACTCTTGGCTTCAAATGATCCTTCATGTTGCAATCTTCAGAGTAGTTTAGGACTATAGAAGCATACCACAATACTGTCTAAAATTATTTATGAATAATCAAAACCAGAACAGTTTTAGCATACACATATACATGATCAAAAATTCCTAGCTGGGTACAGTGGCACATGCTTGAATTTCAGTACTAAGGAGGCTGAGGAAGGAGGACTAAGAACTGAAGGCCAGCCTGGGTTACATCTCTAGACCCTGCCTCAAAATACAAAACTAACTTTTCCCAGTGGTGGCTACAAGAGAAAAGATAACATTACAGTTTGCAAATCACTTACAAAGAATTGAGGAAATTTTAGGATATGTCAATTAGTAAACAATTTGAGTTTCTAAAATCACCTAAATGCTTCTTGGGGGAGAATGAGGCCAACTGACATACTTGGGCAATAAATTCTATCACTTAAGTGTACTTCATTATAGTCTGTAAACTAAAGAAGCCTGAAGTAAAGGGGCCAGCAGTCAGGCATGGTGGCGCACACCTGTGATCCCACTCAGGGAAGCTGAGATAGGAGGACCCTGAGGGTTAGGCTGCCTTAGGCTCTATACCTAGATCCTATCTTGCCTCGAAAAATCAAAGAAACAAGAAAACGCTGCCACTCTTTACAATCTAGTAGAATACAGGGGAAAAACTATGTTGGGTAATTATTTTTAGCAGGTGAAGAAATTTATCATTAGGAACTAGTAGCACAAATACAAATTTATCCCAGAACAAAATAAAAAAAAGAATTCTATTTCATGTTAAATAAACTAACAAATATGAGTATTAATTACATTTGTCAAGTTTATTTCCTTATGGTACAAAGTAACATCTTCATAATCAGTTCCTGAAAGAGAAATCCCTCCCTTTTCTTCACATGGGTTTCTTGGTTTGTCAATCATAGTTAAATGCGACCTCTTCCTCTTTAATGATGGATACACAGGTCAGGATTGGAAAGAGGTTGTTTGGGATTCGGGGCACATGGGTAAAAAATTAAAGTGATAATCAGTAAGTAAATATTAGTATTTAACAACTGAGATTTACATAAAGAGACATTTAACAATTTACAATCTTACTCCTTATTGAGCACATATGCAAGAAACACAGGATAGACTTTACTTTGTCTTCAAGAATCAAAATTTTTGATTATGGGTTAACAATAAAATATGGATTGATCACAGATGATGAAATCATTTCCAGAATAGCTTTAAGTTGTGACATTAAAAAACAAAGGAAAAACAATCTATACATTGTAGTTTAGTATTAACAAAAGATATCCTTTCAAATTTAGAGGAATGTTAAGGAATAATCTCATATTCAGAACAATTAGTGGATTTTGTGTAACACTGTCACACCTGCAAGACCACTATGTAATCTGAAAGTTTTAGAGGCTAGTAATAACTGCACTTTAAGAAAATCCCAAAACAAAAACATAATAGACTTACAGTATATAATAGGAGTAAACTTCAGGGCTTAGAAAATACTCAATGGCCCATGTTATAAATTAGTCATATTTTGCAGTAAGTTATTTCCTAAGTCTGCTGATTTTAGTATCAGAAACAAAATATAACTGAATACTACTGGTTGCATTAAAACGGCCATTGCAGGTTTGGAACTAACACCATTCACCAAGGTGAATGAATGAAGAAGGGGTGAGCTCACACCTTTGCTGCTGCTGTTCAGCTTGAATTTCTGCCAGGCTGGGTTCACAGGGCAGCAGCACATCAGGTTACATTGTGATAACTGTATTTTTATAATGAAAAAAAAATACAAACTCAATTTCGTAAAGAAAAAAACCCCAAGTCCAAAGAATATCATTTTCAGAATATGTGGAAAAGTGCAAATGTGCTTAGTTTACTTCATTTTATGCCTACTTTGAGGCAGTTCTGTGAAGTGGTTGACCTAGACAGCCCTGCTATAGCTGATTGCGATGTGGCCTCACAATCATTTGTTTTTTGAAAGAGTAGAAAATTTAAGAAACATTTTCTTATTTTACAAGGTAATTCGCTTAGAATATGTATTTAGTTGTCACCTTAAAACTTAAAGGCAAAATTAGAAGTTATTGTACCAGATTTGAGACTAGTTGTGCAAGTAAGTGAAGACCATGAAAAGTTTTTTTAAAAAAAAGACACAGTCCTCTATCACAAAGGCACCACTACCTATGATTGTATTTTTGTGAATTACTCTCTGACTTAAAAGCATTCATTTTGTCCACACAATTGAACATTGACTTAAAGCTGAAAAGGTAAAAACAATTAAGTGAAAAATATACACACCTCCTAGCTAAAGCTTCCTGTGCATCCATCGCTGTGTTTCTGCCTCTGAAGGGAGGGGGGCTAGGAGTACGGCTTAAGCTTCTGCTAAATCTTCTTGGTTTTTCAATTCTCTTCTTTCTATCTCTGTAATAAATTTTATTTTACATGTTTCATTATGGCTGAATACTTATTTTGAACAAAAATCAGTTATGTATCCTACAATACCCAGGAGGCAGAGATCAGGAGGATCAGTGTTCAAAGCCAGCCCTGGGCAAAAAGTTCTTGAGAACCCACTTCAAAAATACCCACCACAAAATAAAAGGGCTGCTGGAGTGGCTCAAGTGGTAGAGCTCCTGCCTTGCAAGTGTTAGGCCCTGAGTTCAAACCCCAGTACCATCACTAAAAAAAAGCAGTTATATTTACATGATTCACCAAGAATAAGCAAACAATAAAACAAGTTTCTCATGAATATGGCCAGTATATTTAGGCATCTGCGACAGATAACTACATTGGGTAATGGTTTTCAGAGCCCTATGCTTATTCAGTCATTTGTTAGGTCTGCATGCACACAATGAGAAATGATAGGCCAAATATTCTAGGTCTTAAATTACAAAACAAAAGAATCAGCAAAATCAAAGATAAAAAGTCACTCATCAGAATAAAAATTATCAGCAGTCAAAACTGGAAACGTTGGGCTAGAGGCGTGGCTCAAGCAGTAGGACATCTGCTTAGCAACCGTAAAGTCCTGAGCACAAGCCCCAGTACTGCCAAAACAAACTGAAAGTGTAAGGGAACTGAAATGCCTGAGAAATGATCAAAAAATTTAATGATTGCCTCCTGTTATTAGTACCATCCTATAATTCAGTCCTGTGGATGATTACGTTTCATTCACTACAGCTCAAAATTGGTAGAACTCAAATCAATATACCTCAGAGCAAAAGCAGTGAGTATTCCAATCCTTTATAGATGTACTTCAGCAATAAATTAAAAAGCCTTACCAGTATGTAAGTAGACAAATCAATTGTTTTACATAAATGAATATTCTCGAAGGGGAAATCACTGAAACTTTCCACTGCAGCCATTAATCATGCTTTCTACCAACATTATTTAAAGCTTCCTCTGTCCACAGAAGTACCAAGTCTGACCCTGCTTAGCTTCTGAGATCAGAGGAGATCAGGCCATGTAAAGGCTGGTATGGCTGTAGACTAAAACACTTTTATTTTAATCATACCTACCGCTTTTAATAATCTCAAACTGACAGAAGATAGCTGCTGTGATAGGCCTATTAGATTTTACTCAGGATAAAGAGCACCTACCGACTTCTACTCCTTGTTCTACTCCTGCTTCTAGTCCTATGCCTGTGTCTTGATCTTGAACGAGAACGAGATCTGATCCGTCGTTTTCTTTCTCTGCTTCTGGACCGTGACTTCTTCCTTTCTCTGCTTCTGGATCGAGACTTCTTCCTTTCTCTGCTTCTGGATCGAGACTTCTTCCGCTCCCTGCTTCTACTACGATGGCGCCTGAAATTTAAGTGCACAAACTTGAACTCGTTAATTGTCCTTTCTTTTCCCTCTTTGTTCTGGTGGTGCTAAGTTCTGAACTTGGCCTGTGCTTGCCAGGCAGGTGCTCTACCACTTGAACCATGTCCAAGCTCTTTTAGCTTTAGTAATTTTTCAAATAGTGTCTTGCTTTTATAATGGGGCTGGCATAGACCACGATTATATTTACATTTCCCATGTAGCTGGGATGACAGGTGTGTGCCACCACACCCAGCCTTATATTGGTTGAGATGGGGGTCAGCAGGACATTTTGCTAGGTTGGCCTCAAACCATGATCCTCTTTGACATCAGCTGTTTTTCTGATAGTACAGTCTGCTCTCAATATCAAACCCCCTGCCTCACCATCCAATTGCTAGCACTACAGGTGAGCACCAATACACTGATTCCACTACTAACACCTTTCCCAGAATCCCAGTTCTGCCAAAACAAATAAACAAAACAAAATTAGGGAAAAAAAATGTCTCTTTTTTTTGGTTGTACTGGGTTTCAACTCAGGGTCTCAGGGTTGTTAGGCAGATGCTCTACCACTTGAACCATACCACCAGTGCCCTACCTGCCTTTTTGGTGGGACTGGGATTTGAATTCAGGGTTTTGTGCTGGTAAAGCAGGCACTCTACTGCTTGAGCTATACCTCCAGTCCATTTTGTTCTGGTTATTTTGGAGATAGGGTCTAAAGAACTATTTTCCCAGGTTGGCCTTGAACTCAGCCTCCTAAGTAGCTAGGATTTCAGGTGTTAGCAAATGATGCCCAACTATTACTGTGATCTTTATAGAAAGGGTAAATGAGGTCTTCAATAGTAGTAGTTATAACCTAAAATATGGACCTATAAAGTAAAGCTATAATGTCACAATCCTTATCCTACCCCAACTTATGATTCCACTCAGGGCTGGGAGTGTGGCTCAAGTAGTAGAAGGCTTGCCTAGCAAGCTCAAGTCCAGAGTTCAACCCCCCTAGTACTACTTTAAAAAGACCCCAGCAATAATTCATGCTTTACCCAAAGTATTAATGACACTTAAGAACATAAACCTAGACCAAGTATGATAACTATACATAATATATTCCCCACTGAATTTCTGAAACAAGGCTGTTAAAAACACTGGTTTCTTAAAAGAAAAAACCCCCAGCAAATTAGAAACACAACCCAGTTCCTCTTCTAAAAAAAAGTCTACATTTCAGCCAGATGCTGGTGGCTCACACCTGTAATCCTAGATACTCAGGAGGCAGAGATAAGGAGGAACAAGGTTTGAAGCGGCCCTGGGCAAACAACTTCAGATGACCTATTTCAAGAATAGTCAACACGCAAAAAGGGCTGGTGGAATGGTTCAAGTGGTAGGTAGCATGCTTTCCTAGCATGTGTGAGGCACAGAGTTCAAAATCCCAGTACTACAAAACAAAAATACACTTCAAAAACCCAGTCCCATCAAAAACGACAAATCTACAAGAAAACCCAGACTTCAGCATTATACATCAATGTGAAAGGACTATTTATTGCCTTAAACTACTTAAGCAGTAATGTAACATTTTTAATTTTATTTGGCAATACTGTGGTTTAATTTTTATTTTGTGGTTACTGAGGCTTGAACTCAGGGCGTCATGCTTGCTAGGCACTCTACCACTTCAGTCACACCTGTAGCCAGCCATTTTTTTGTTCTGGGTCTCTTAGAAATATCAGCCTGAGGCTGAAACCGTGATCCTCCCAAATTCTGCCTCCTGAATAGCTAGGATTACAGGTATGTGCCACCAGTGGCCAGCCCTCTCCTAGTGTTGGAAATCACTTTTGGATTATCAGAAAGTAAAGCCCAAAAGGCTTTAGCTATTAGGTGACAAAGGAACATGTCAAGGCAGCAAGAAAAGATCCATTACCACATTAAGATTTTTCTGTGGAAAGCTGGCTATGGTGGTATATGCTTGTAATACCAGTAATTGGGAGACTAAAGTAGGAGGATTGCAAGTTTTAAGACCAGCCTGGGCTCACTAAGCCTCAAAAAAAAAAAAAAAAAAAAAAAAAAAAAAAAAGTTCCCCCATAATGGAGTTATTGAGAGCTTTGTGCAACTTAGTTACTGAAAGGCACTAAAATTATAGTACTCAAATTTCTTACCTGTCACGGGACCTAGATCTGGAGTGACTTCTGCCTCGTGATGACTTTCTGTCTTTCCGTTTGTGTCTGTCCTCACCATTTTCAGATGAATTTAGTCGCTCTCTTCCTTTATCAGAAGAATGTTCTTTGTCATTATGCTCCTCAGACTTGTGTTTCTTAGAGGATTTGTCTTTGGATTCATGTCTTCTTGCCTGTTTTAAGAAGAAGTTGGTTCTTTCAGGAAAATAGTGCAACAAAAAGAGTTAGTATGGGTATCAGTAGACAAAAATGTTGTGATGCAACATTAGTAACCTTAGGAGTGCGTGGCAAATTTAAAAAAAAAAAATCTATTTTCACATCACCCAAATGTTGCAGATGTAATTACTATTTTTTCTTTATAAACACCCAAAATGCAGTTTGCTCCCCCAATTATTGTCAGTACCAAAATAAAAACAATGGTTTCCAAAACTGAAATATTGAAAAACCACTACACCAGAGGAATCCCTGATGTATATTTATCTAAGAGAATACAGATATCGTGTATATATATAAATCAACTACTAGATCCCACTTCCAAAAGTAAGCAATTTGGTAGAGATACTAAGGACACAAGGAAATGTATCAAAATGCATTTCAAATTAAGCAGTAAGTATACATTTTACTTACTAGACATTTTCTTTTAATTTCCAGTTATGCTGAGTAGCAATGTCCCTTTCATAGGTATATAATCTGCCACCCCATCTAAAAAAAATCTTTACTTTTCACTTAATGTCTGTGACATAATCACTTACCACCCTGCAATAACCCCAACAGGCTTAGAGTTCTATTACAGTTCATGCACTTAAGACAGATAACGGCAACTATTTCTTTTAATTTTCAGGAAGTTAAATCAGGGTACTACAATCCCTAGAGGCCACCATGTAATACATATTTTGCTCATACTCCGAAAACTTAAAGACAATGCTTTCACAAGATAGCATTGAGACTCAGCTAAAACTAACTGCACGATCAAGTCTCCATCCTATCATTCAAATGCCAAAGTAGGAAGTGCTAAATATTAATTTTCCCACATTAAGTTCTGTCAAACTCATCTAGTAGTTAAAGCTTAAAATCTAGAACATTACAGGATCACTAAACTTTAAATCAAGAAGAAAATCAGATCTTGTAATATAATCCTATCTTATAATGTGTGTATATATATATAAAAACTCAAGTGAGATCAATAAAGACACAGATATACAGTAGTTGAACTGGACCTGACTCCATGACCTGATACCCAGCCCACTATTTCCCTACCACAACACAACATTTATAGTTCCCAAAATAGGCCATAGCATATTTCTTTCCATTCAAGATTAAAAGCAAAAAATTTAGCCAATCATTTTGGAACATGCATGATGATACATCTGAAAATTATCATGGTGATTTGTTATTTTCCAGAAAAATAAGAGACCTGGAGACAGAAGCTAAATTTTAGTTTCATGGCCAGTTCTCTGTAATAGTATAACTGTGGGGGGGGGGGAATTCTTGATGAGTTTGCTATATAGTGGCAGACTGGAAAAGCTTTAAATGGTTAAACTTCCAGAGGTTTTAGAGTTTATTTCAAACCAGTTTTCAAACATAACATTACTATTAATTTTTAAAAGACATTAGAACCCTTAACTGATTTAAGATATATTTAAGGGAAATAGGAGTTTGAATGACTAATAGTTACCTTATCATGAAGTAGGCTTATTATTTTGCTATCTGAGTCTGCAGCGTCTTCAGTTCAGTCTCTTCGCGCATTAGCACGCTGAGTATGATTTATTATAGAAATGTTATCATGTGAGCTAAACAAAATAGTCATTTTCACAAAAACTCTCCTAAATTAAAAATTTTAACAGAGCTTCCATTAGGGGAAGAGGTGAAGTCCCTGCCCACATTAGTTTTAGGAGTCCCTTGCCCAGCCCCCATAACTCTTCTCCCTTTCTGACTGCTACTCCTGCTCTTCCTCGTTGGCTCATTCCTTGTCTTCTCAGGTGGGTGAGGCAAGTTAAATCCTCTGCAACATAGTCGCTTCCTTTCTTTTTCATGTTTTGGTGTCACCATCATCTTTTCAGCTGTCCCTCATACCTTATTTCAAGATTTAATACTGTTCAGGAAATTGAACTAAGTCTACTAAAGAAGAAAAGGTAGGCCACACATATCTAGGATATTGATACTTAAAGGGCTGCTATTTAAAAATCCTGAGCACTTGTCAGGAATAAGGAGACTCGGGACCTCAGATTAATGGAAGCTCTGTGTGACAGGCCTAAAAAAACCAATTATATTCTTCATATGAAATCTTTATTGTGAATATTTTCACAATATAGCAAAATTAAGTTTTTTGAAGGTACTTTTTTTTCACATAAATAACTATCTTCTTGAAAAATGATGAATCCAAATCATGCTTATTTTATATAGCCCAATTAACCTTTTAAATCTCAAGTTTTGGTACTTACCTTGACAATGTCATACTATTCACACAAACATTTCTACCAGATATTTTACAAGTATTTTAAAGTACCTACAAAGTGTTAATTACCTCTTTGCTTCTGCTCCGGCTCCTGTGCTTTCTTCCTTCATTATCTGAGAATACACACAAAAATTAACCATAAACACAAAGATATGAAAACATCTCAAACACAAATTCCAATACTGTATCAAAAGCAATTTCCAGTCCACCTGGCTAACTACAGATTCTACTTGTTCATCTTCCACTTCCACTGTCTATTCTTTTAATGGTAGGGACAGGATTATTCTAGATTGTGCATATGTAAAATTTGAATGAATCAGAGTACAACCAAGAGGAGACATTATCTTTCAGTCACAGATTTTAACAAAATGTTATGATTAGCTCATCTTGTTTCCTAGTCCACAGTGAACTTATAAAGGATCTTATTAGAGGAAAGAAATTAAGAAAACAAAAAGAAATGGAGAATGCAAAAGAAAATAAACATTTTGGGATACATTTGGTATAAGTAAGTACTCAATAGGATATCAGTTTAGAAAAATTTCTATTTAAAACTGGTTACAATACTGAACAGTTTCAAAGACAGATAGAATTAACATTTGTAGGATAAATGACCAAAATCCAGTTTCAAACTTTAAAACTCAGTACTGGTCTATCTCTCACTTAATATCTTGATTTCAAAAGCAATGTTAGCTTTTGCTTGTTTTGTGATGCTGAGAATCAAAGTCAGGACCTTGCTTGTGGTAGGCAAGCATTTTAAAATCACCAGTATCAGCCCCAGCCCTGATAGTTTGAAATAGCCAAACACCATGTCTTCTCTATCAATTTAAGATTCATCTTTAAACAGCACATTGATATGGAACACTTGGAAACATCGAAACCTCCTTTGGGGTTTAGCTCAGTGGAAGAATGCTTACATAGCGATGTGCAAGGCCCTACACAGGTTCTAACATTAAGTTATAAAGAACAAAGTCCAAAACATTCTTAAGAGTATCAAGGAACTTCAGGATAATAGATTAGTTTAGACTACATTTATATAATGTGGACATCCATGTAATAGAAAATACTATCTTGACAATGTTGCTGGAATAAAATTTAAGCATCTTGGAATTAATAGCCCCAACAGTCAAAATTTTAAAATTTCTGCCTTTAGATAGTTATTTCTCAACAATTGATATGCATTCATTAACCATTTTCAATCGGGAGAATACACATTAATTTAATCAACAAACTAAATTTATGTCTTACCTGACTTCCGTTTTCTTTCTCTTGACCTTGATCGTGATCTTGAATAATGATGTTTTGAGGCTCTAGGAGAAACAGATACATCTGACTGCTCTTTTTTCTTATCTCTGTCTGGGGATGCCTTTTCTGGGGCTAGTCCATCGCGTTCTGTATCACTAGCCTGAAAGTTGAGAAGAAAATGATTAAAATTCTTAATTAGATTAAAAATGTCTCCAATTTCTTCCTTTCTTTCTTTTTGAGGCAGGGTTTCCCAAGCTGGTCTCTTGCAGTCTACTAAATGCTGGGATTACAGGTCTGTACCACTATGTTGAGGGGTCTCCAATTTTCTAAAAGGGGAGAAGTAAGGATAGTCATCCTTGAATCCTTGAGGTTTGACCTCCTTCCCCACCAAAAAAAGCTAATTTCCAAGCAGCCATACATGCCTGTGCAATGACCAATGTTATCAAAGAGACATACGTACTTAAGACTGTTGTACATAAATTTCTATTATTTAGTTTTGCTGTACTTGGAATTGAATCCAAGATCTTGAGCATGTTAGGTAAGTGCTCTTCCATAGTAATACTGCTATCTCTCTAGTAACCTTTAAAGCAATGAGAGAAAGGATAAAGTCTGCTCCAAGTATTAACAATAAGCATTCAGAGAAAATGATTGCTTTTAGATTTGTAATTTATGTTAGCTAACTTTACCAGCAGTTATACTGGAACACATTAAATTGGCACTAACTTAAAAGGCATTTGTACCAGACACTCTACCATCCCCAGCCTTTACTGCCAAAAACAAAACAAAACAAACAAAAACCAACCTTACACAATTCGCCAAGTTCTCCATATTCTAAGTATCATTAGTTCTCTGGTTTACAAGACCACCATTCCCTGCTGTACTCCTAACATGGTACTCAGCACAGAAAATAAAAGTTTGAGGGAAAAACAAATTTTACTTAATAGTTTGCCACTAAAACTATTTCTGGTCAGTACAGGCGGGATACTTGCCCAGCATGCATGAGGCCCAGGGTTTAATCCCTAATGCTGGGTGACAAAAGAACCCAAGCAATGGCTCAAGTGGTAGAGTGCCTGCTTTGCAAGCATAGAGCCCTCAGTTTAAACCCCCGTTCTAATTAAAAATAAAAAAAAAAGATTTAAGTTGGAGTCAGAGAAAAGCTGGAATATGAAAGTTCCCTTAAATTGGAATTTGATAAAATAGAGTAGAAACAAATACAGCTATATGTATAAGGTGGACAGTGATGAAATACCTGACTAGAAAAGATAGCATGAAAATAAAAGTAAATACACATTAGCACAGGGCTAGGCAGATTGCTTCAGGTTAGCTCTTTAGCCAAGAATGATTTTTCTCTCTTTTTTTTTCTTCTGTGGTACTGGGGCTTGAACTCAGGACCTTCACCTTGAACCACTTCGCCAGCCCTTTTTTTTGTTGTTGTGAAGGGTTTTTCAACATAGGGTCATGAGAAATTATTTGCCCAGACTGGCTATGAACCATGATCCTCCTGATGTCTGCATCCTGAGTAGGTAGGATTATAGGTGTGAGCCACTACTGACCGGCTGTTTTTCACATTTTTAAAAGAGTTGGTAAAACCAAGCAAGCAAACAAGGTGACAAAACCAAAATATTTACCATTTAGCCCTTTACAGAAAAAGCTTACCAAGAAATGAGATTCTAGAAACCTGGATTGAATGAATAATGAATCACTATGGTCCTCAGCAAGAGAAATTACATTATCAACAACCTCTTCCCTAAGGAAGGTAAGCGTCAGAAAATAAATACCAAGTAAAATAAATTAGAATGAGGTTGTACTATCCCAGTATTTACTTCAGGTCAAAAATGTGTCAAAATCACCAGGTGTGGTAATACACTTCTGTAATCCCAGCACTTGGCCAAAGTAAGACAGTAGGATCATTCGCTTGAAGCCAGTCTGGGAAACATTGAGACCATGTCTCCCAAAATGTGTGAAAACCAGTGCTAGACTCCAGCAGTAAGTTGTCTACTATTAAGGCATGATGCAGTATCACACAAGGATATGAATTCACAACATTAAACATTTCCTTTTATTTTTGTACCTTCTATTTATTGTTGCATCTATTAGAAAGCCACCTTTATCTCCTACAATTTACACCTTGAATAACCAAGTAACGCTTGTAACATAGTATATAAATCTTTTTCCAGTGCAAAGAAGTTAAGCAGTGGATTTCAAGGGATTTTCTATTTATTGAAGGAGGCGCTGCAGAAACAAACGTTTGAATCCATTTCGCTTTTTAAAACGTTGAAACCAGAAAAAACACTACTTGTTACTTAAATACATAAACGTGAAAAACATTCAATTAGTTCAGCTAGTACCAAACAGCCTACCAACCCTTTGAAACCTTACCAAAAAATTACTCTAAATTCAATTAGATATAGGGGAGGCTAGGAGAAAACCGTTAGACCCTTCCCAACAGATATCCCAAACTTTATATTCAACAGTTCTATTTATTTTTGGCCATCAAAAAGGAATGGACAATGTTTATAATTTTAACAGGATAACTAAAAATAAGGCAACCCCGCAATAATATGATTCATCAGAAATGGGCATCTGACACGCAGGGCAGGCTTACTGTTAGGATCGGCAGTTCTTAACTGGGTCAATGAAGGACTCAAAATTTAAAGAAAGAAGGCCAGTGATGGGAGTTTACAACCCTCCTCCACGAGCGTTATAACCAAGTTGATTACATCGCGAGTCGCGTCGGAAGCCGAGGAAGTGGGGATCGGGTAATTCGTAAACCCTCCACGTCGGCCCAATTTTTACTCTTTCGGCAAGATCACGCCAACTCCTTACTCTGTAATTAACTGAGCTTTATACCGATGGACACTAATTATGGGGCGCGGGCATAAAATCAGCTTAGACTGCGGTTCGCTCCCACGACCCCTTACAGACATCGCCTTTTCGACCCATTTTCAGAGATGACTCCCAGATCTTTTCTCTCTCCAGCCGTTTTTACCCACTGCAAACATACAATTCTCAACCCCAGTATAAGCCACCAGCTAAGGTGAGTAAGGTAAACTGGGGTCAATTCTATGCGCCAAGCAAAACCTGGGGCTAGGAAAAAACGTAAGGAAAGTTCTGGAAAAAAGGGCACTCCCTGCGGCTCCCCACCCCCATTCACAGCGCTTCCTTCCCCCTCCCGACAGCAGGCAGCCATGATGGCGGGTGCAGAAGGCTGCCGCGACGCCATTTTGTCCACACACGCGCGGACAACAGCTTTAGGGAGCCGTTCACCCAATCTTTGGAAGGTAGCAGAACAACGTCCCTAGCTTTAAACCCCAGAGTTGACACGTACCGCCATAGTCCAGAGTCCCAGCCGCTAAGGCGGCGCCTCCACTAGCTGCGTTCAATAGTACGGGCCACCCCGAAGCTTCGCCACAGACTAAATCGCTGGCGCGAGAGACCCGGATGGCACAAAAGGGATGAGGCCCTTGTTGTCGCGCAGCTTGCTGGGAAAAAAAAGGGGTGGTGATAAGAATTTCTATAGCAACGCGGTTCAAGGTGGTGATTGGTTGGGCTTTCGAAGGGCGTCACGTAAATCCTGTAAAGAGGGCGGGACTGATATTACACCCTAGAATGCGTCGTCGCTAGCTGGAATTACGAGCACTTTAGGGTGTGGCAACTTCCTATTTCGATTGCGCTGCAATCTTGGCCTCTTCTAGTTGCCGTAGGAGGGGTTGGTCTGGGTATTTTCCCGCCAATTCAAACCCTTGGGATGGAGTATAGGGTACGGGCGGTTGTGTGAGTCAGGAAGAGAGGTGAAAATACTGGCGCGCTCCCTTTTAAGTTTCTTCAGTCGCAGGTGAGGAGGGGCAGCCGCGCTGTCGTCGGGAGGTAGGGGTGTGGGCCGGTGGTAATAGCGGCCTCAGCCCGTTGCGAGGTGTTTTCCCTTCTTGATTGTGGCGGGCGAGAGGTTGGAGTCGGTTCTTGGCTGGCAGTCCATATATGTTGGTGATAGACGCCTAATTGACAGTGTTTCGTCTTACTTGCTAATCTGCTCTCCAGTCCGCAGTCAGTGATCCCAAAAGGCTTATGAAGATAAAATCCATCTTGAAGTCCTACCTCTCCTGCACCGTCTGCCGTCCTTGGGGCCCCACAGCAGCCCTAAGCTTTCCAGCCTTTGCGCACTATTCTATTCCCCGTGGCTGCTCCCCGCAACCCCGCGCGCCAAGGTTGCCATTGTTGACTTCCTGTTACTCAGGTTTCAGCTCAGCTGGCCATCTCCTTCCCACCCCATCAGGTCCTGTAAAACCACCTGCTCCCCCGTTTACCTGAGCTCCCGTTACTTCGAAGCATTAAGTCCTGTTAGTAATTATTTGTGCTTTCACTTATTATTTTGTTCCAAGACTGTCTAACAATTAAAAGCCACGTCATCTTGGTCGATTAACCACCGACCCGTGCTCCTGAACTGTAAAGTAAGTTGTGCCTATTAAATTAGACATTCAAAACTGCAGAGGACACAAGAACAGTTGTTATGTGTTTCTTATTTTTGTTGTTCTCACCAGAATGAAAATACAGTGGCTAAGACATTTTCTATCTCCTTAACTATTCTCAGCTCCTAGACCAGTGCCTGGCACCTAATAGTTTAAAAAAAAAAAATTCCTTGAGTGAGTGAGTATGGCAGCCCTGGAAAGTTTGTTTTTCTGTTTTACAGCTTGTATAGGAAACTAAGACCCATAAAAGTATTCACTCCCACCTGTCTCTCCTATCTTAAATCTTCTAATACCCACTCAGACATTAGCCACTACAACTATTCCAACATGTTTTGTTTCTTTTAATTTGTTTATATTCTTAGTAGGGACTCTTCCTAGCTTTAAAAAGCTCCTGTAGCCTTAAAATCCCATCTCAAATGTTACCTGTTTTTACAAATACTTTAGCAAACACTTTGGATTGAGTGTTGGCCATGATCCAAGCATTGTTGGTTGAGTATTTAAAACTGAAACCAACCCTTTTAGGTAGGTCCAACTGTATTCCTATTTTATAGGTTAGAGAATTGAGGAAAAAGAAGCTAATGTACTCTCCCAAGGATAACTGGCCAGTCATTTCAAAAGCAGTGAACACCAAGTCAAAAATTGTCCCCTATTTGTCCCTTCCATATATTTCATTTCTTAGTGCTCAGGATCAAACTCTCAAACAATGTGAGCATACACTCTACCACTGAGCTTCCTCTCATGGATTCTAAAACTTACTTCTGAGTGTACTAAATTAATAAAAATAATCTATTTATTTGGGTATTCTTCCCATCATTCTGGATCCAGGGATTATTTTCCATTTTACTAGTTCACAGGTAATAGAAGTTATGTAATCTTTCCTAATGAGATGGTTAAGTGCCTCTCTAAGGTTTCAGGTGAAGTCAGAAACCCAATCCAGTTGTTTTTTTTTTTTCTCTTTCCCTTATCATTTTTCTAAAATTGTATGACAATAGTGTGAAAACATTAATGGATTTTTGAAAGTTTATCTTGAGATGTCCCAGTCTGACATCAGAGCATGGGTTCTTTGTTGCTACACTGATTAAAGGTTTGTTTCAAATGAAAGCTTGCTATAATTTCACACTGGTGAGCACACAAAATACTGGATGTTGTGGGATACATTGATAATATCAGAATTGTTGATGTGTGTGTGTAAACCAATATCATGTTCTCTAGTGATAATCATAATCTGTTTCTATGTATGATATTGGTCCAAAGTGTCTGATGACCACAGAAATAGCATGAAGACAAAGAAGTGTTTCTGCGTTGGTATTAGTTTTTTAGCTTCTCTGTTGTGAGTAAGCCTCTTCATTTCCTAAGGAACTGGATTCTATGCATCAAGATAATCTGTTCTGTATTTTTGCATGTCACAAGCTCAGCAAGCCAATCCCAGAACCATGTGGAATGAGATTGAACTGCTAACAAGTGATGATACTGGAAGTGGATATCTCAGTGTCAGTTCAAGAAAAGAAACTGCTTTGTATCAAGTAGATTTGCTTGTGAAGATCTCCTCTGAAAAGGTAGTGATTTTGACACTGACTAAAAGGTTACTACGTGCCTTTTATACCTGGTACCCCCACAATAAATGTTTTATAAGTGCGTATAGCAGTTTTCCAGGAATCAAAGTTCAGTCACAGATTTCTAAATTACTCCTCTGTTATCTTAGGATCAGCCTTTCCAAAGCTGAATTTTTCATAGCTCCTATTGACATTTCACGCATGCAAAATATGTATAAGCTGACAGAATATCCACTGTCTTTTTAAGATATGCAACATTACCAATAAAACTGAAGACCAGGGCTTCCTCCTTTATCCCATGTGCGTTCCATTCTGAGTTAAGCACTCTGCTGAGGTTTGAGGTTTATCTTTTCCATGCCTTTCTTTATACATATTTTTATTTCTTTTACTCTACTGTTCTACACCAGGCCTGAAACATTATTCTTTGCCTTTGATAGAAGGTACTACTGTTACTTTTTGGGGGGAGGGTGATTCCAGGTTTGAACGCAGGGCTACCTCTGAATCACACCTCCAGTCCACTTTGCTCTGGTTATTTTGAAGATGGAGGTCTCCTGAACTTCTTTGCCAGGGCTGGCCTGAAACCATGGTCCTACCGATTTTAGCCTCCCAAGTAGCTAAGATTATAGATGTGAGCAGCTGGTACCTGGCTCTACTATTACTTTTTTATCAAAGGTTTTCCCTTTTTTTTGGGGTTTGATATCAGGGCCTTGTGCTTGCTAGGCAGGCAGGCATTCTTACCACTTGAGCCACTCCACCAGGCCAAAGGTTTTCCTTTTCAGTATTTTATTTCTAATAAAATATTGGTAATGATGATGAACAAAGTTTTCTTATAGAGAAAGGAAACTGATCTTCTGTCACAATATTATAGCCCAGAAACCCTCTACCTCCCTTAGTATGTCAGTGCAGCTATTCAATCCTCTTAATAAGAAAACCAGATTTAATAGATTGGGGTTTTTTCTGGGCAGTACTGGGGTTTGAATCAGGGCCTTATGCTGCTAGGCAGGTGATCTACCAATTGAGCCACACTTCCAGCTGGGAAAAAAAAATAATTAAAGCAGAAAGGGAGAAAGAAAAGACCAAGTAGCCAGGCAGTGGTGCCTCACACCTACCTACTCAGGAGGCAGAGATCAGGAGGATGGTGGTTTGAAGCCAGCTAGGGTAAATAGTTCGTGAGACTCTATCTCATAAAAACCCATCACAGAAAAAATGCCGGCAGAGTGCCTCAAAGTAAGAGCACCTGCCTAGCAAGTGTAAGGCCTTGCAAATACAAGGCTCCAAGTTCAAACACCAGTGCCACCAAAATAAACAAATATATATATTGTGTTTTTTTTTTTTCTGGTACTGGGGATTGAACTCAGGGCCTTGAGCGTTCTAGGCATGTGCTCTACCACTTGAGCCACACACACCCAGCTCTTTTTTTTTTTTTTTTTTGAGGTAGGGTCTGGCCAGCACTGATCAGATGGTCTCAAACTCACTATCCTCCTGTCTCTGCCTCCTGAGTAGCTAGGATTACAGGCACCTTCAAGAGACTGCGGTTATGGGTGTATGCCACCATGACTGGCTGATTGTAGTACTCTTCATAAAGTAACTACCTTGACTTGGGCCTTAAAAGAATGGAAAAAGCAGTCTAGGTAGAGAGAGAACAGCTTGGACAAATCCCTAAGATAGAACACAGTTCCTGCTTTGCTATACTTTTGTGTACCTTTTCACCATCTGAAGAAACTAGTAAAAAGAGTAGAAGAGTGATCTGATCAAGAATTGCAGCTGGGGGTGATTCTTGAAACAGGCATAAAATGAAATGACTGGCTTATTTTGTCAAGGAAGAATAAAAGTAGTTAGCATTTATTGAGTATGTACTATGTGCAAGGCTCTCTTCTAAGCCCCTTAGATGATTTAATTCATTTAATCTACACACAAACAAGTGTTGTAGGTATTATTATTACTTCTGTTTTACAGGAAGACAGTTCTGGCATTTGTTCTAGATCACTCAGCTAGTAAGCAACTGAGCTCTCTCAACCATGAAGCTATCCAACTGCTTCATGACAGGTTTGTTTGGGAAGCTCTATTCAGCAGAAGCCGAACACTGAAGACTCAGATTTGGCTTGCATAGTGTTTTTAAAAATCTTGACTTAGTTACCAGTGTTTAAAAATCAGTATTGGGCTGGAGGCATGGCTCTTAAATGTAGAGGTCCTGCATTCAAATCCCAGTATCGCCAAAAAAAAAAAAAAAATCAGTTCGTTTCACAAAAAGATCTACCTTTTCTTGGTAAGTTGGAAGTGTGGCAAGCCAGTGTTGCATTTCTACTGAGTTTTCCGTGGCTAGGGTTTAGTACATTGTATTTTATATGGATTCTTTTAATTTTTTTTTGGTGGGACTTGAGTTTGAACTGAGGGCTTCGCACCTTGCAAAGCAGGTATGTGGATTCTTTTCTATGGGGGTGTATGGCTTCCAGTTCACAATTCATTAACGTTCCCTTCCCTCATGCAGCCATGATACTGAGGGTTACGCCAGTTTTGACTCATTCATGTTACTGCCAGAGTCCCACAGCATCAGATCAACCCTTAGGAAAGAAGGGATTATACAAAAGAATCCTTTGCCCTTCTGTATCTGTCCTGTACTATTTCCCTACTTAGGACCCTGGATGGATTTAAGATATGCCATATAAAGAAAAACTTGACGACTGATTAACTAGATGGATGGAAGAAAAACGAACTGTTTTATTAACATTTGAAAGTTGGGTGATTGGGACATGAGGATACTATTGATAAAGTATTGCTAAAGTTATATGAAAAAAATTTTTTTTAATTTTATTGTTTTTACATGTGTATACATTATTTGGGCCACCTCCGCCACTTCCCCCAAATATGAAAATATTTTCATTCTGATCTTGCTTTCTCCTCCCACAGGCCTCATTAAATCCAAAGATACAAGCATGCAGCTTAAGTGATGGGTTTATAATTGTGGCAGACCAGTCAGTGATACTGCTTGACAGCATTTGTAAATCGCTTCAGTTGCATCTTATATTTGGTAAGTCTAATGTAATAACTGAAAGTCAAATATTTCTTGTTACCAGTTTCTGACAGAGTACCTTCACTTTACTCCATTGTATCTAATAATCAGAATTAGATGAATTTCAAGCCAGATGCGGTGGCTCACACGTGTAATCCTTGGTACTTAGAAGGCAGGGATAGGGAGTATTCAAGGTCAGCTGGGGCAGAAAGTTCATAATATCTCACCCCATCTCAGTCAGAGAAAGCTGGGCATGGTGGTGCATGCTTGTCACCCACATTGTGTGAGAATCATAAATAAGAAGATCCAGGTCCAGGCTGGCCAAGCATCCATGCGCTATCCTACCTCAAAAATAAGCAAAGCAAGAGGGGCTGGGGGCACGACTCAAGTGAGAGAGTGCCTTCCTAGCAAGTTCTGGTATCAAATCAGTGTTGCCAAAAACAACTAAAAAGAAGAATAAATCTTTAGTACCTTTTTCTTGTTGAGCCCTAGACTCAATACTGACATGATCTGTTCTACAATACGTTTAAAACAAAATGCGTGTGTAAAGCAATAATTTATTTGCATGGTTTTTGTGTTAGCATACTGAACATTTGAGCCCATTTGGTTTCAAGTTCCTAAACTTGTACATATTTTCAATATCATTAGGAGATATTTGAATACTTTTAGACAATATAGCACTGTAAAAATCTGTTGGAATACATGTTAGTTAATTCTTTGAGTTAAAAGGATTTAAATACATGTGAATATGAACTTAAGAATGAATTAAGTGGTACACCTGTAATTCTAGCACTTGGGAGGCAAAGGCAGGAGGATTCCAAATTTGAAGCCAACCTGGACTACGTAGTGGGACCCTGTCTCAAAAAAAAAAAAATCTAAAAAATAAAATAAGAAAGAGTGACTTAACTACAACTCCATGTTTATGCTGAAATTACATGAAAATAGTATGTAGGCATTTTCTTTCTTGAGTAGAAATTTTGCAAGAAAGATGGTTATTGGAGTATTTGCCTGAGTACATGGACAACTGAAAAGGAATTAGAAGGCATGCACTTGAGAATATAATCTTGATCTCAATATGGAGGCAAAAACCTACAATTGTGGAATCTTAACATATTGACCCTGATTAGGCCACAAGGTTCATAATTTCACCAGTGATTGAGGATTTACTGGACTGTTGGAAACTGTAACACATTTGTATAAATTGCTGCTCATAGTTTTAGTTCATAAACCAGTTATAGGAAATTGCTTTTCCTCTCTTACTGGTCCCTCTGCTTCCCTACCAGTTACTTTATCTTCTTCCTGTTGCATAAAACACAGGATCATCATCACTCCACCTGATGATCCTTGTGCCATTGTCTGGAACTATTCCTCTTTTCGTTAGCCAACTTCCTCACCTTCAAGTCTTTCTCAGTGCTCTGATTTTTTTTTTTTTTTTTTTTGTGGTACTGAGGTTTGAACTCAGGGCCTACACCTTGAGCCACTCCACCAGCTCTTTTTTGTGATGGGTTTTTTTGAGATAGGGTCTTGCCAACTATTTTCCCAGGCTGGCTTTGAACCATGATCCTCCTGATCAGCTAGGATTACAGGAGTGAGCCACCAGTGCCTGACTCCGAGTGCTCTGATAAATACTGCAAAATGCATGGTTCCTCCAAGCTCTCTTCTCAAGATTTTTATTTATTTATTTTTTTTGGTGAACTGGTTTTTGAAGTCAGGGCTTCACATTTGCAAAGCAGGCACTCTACCCCTTGAGCCATACCTCTAGTCCACTGTGCGCTGGTTATTTTGGAGATGGGGGGAGGATCTCAAGAACTGTTTATCTGGGTTGACCTTAAGTGGTGATCCTCCCTATTTCAGCTCCCAAGTAGCTAGGATTACAGACGTGAGCCACCCACGCCCCACTCTAAGCTCTCTTCTTAACCCTGCTGTCCTTTTGTCTTTTTTTCCAGAATACTTACCATCTTCTTACAGGTCTTATACTTTGTTTATTATGCTAAGTGTTTTATTCGTACTCCTGCCTTAGAGTTTGTAGAAATCTCTTTCTCAGATATAAGCAAAAGCCCTTAGAACAATGCTTAGTGTATAGTAAGTGCTCAGTAAATTTTTTGGCCAAATAGAGGTCAGTAACATTATTTTTTTGTTAACTTTCATCACAACTTTTTTGAAGTATTTCAAAGCATTGCTATTTCCTGACAAAATTTGTCTATTTTGGTATTGGAAGTAAGCCTTTTCAAGAGAGACTTGAAACTTTGATTTGAAATTTTCAGATTCTGAAGTGGACGTAGTTGGCCTGTGTCAAGAAGGAAAGTTTCTTTGGGTTGGGGAAAGAAGTGGCAACTTGCATCTTATTCATGTAACATCAAAGCAAACATTATTCACCAATGTAAGACCTTGTTATGTTTTTCATTTTTATCTCACTTTTAAATAATTTCCTAGGCAGCTAAAACTCTAGCAAGCCATTGCTTAATCTGTCTCAAATTAAAAGAATAGTGCTTTCTTCAGGTAAAATTGAAGAATTCTGCCTTAGAAAATTATGAAGTAAATGAAAAGTTGAAAAATTAAGCTTTGAAGATGTTTAGTGTACTTGTATAAAATAGTCTTTAATTTTCAAGCTAAAGTATTTAGAATAATATTAGTGGGATTATTGCTGATGGTAGTTGACAACTCTAGAGCCTAAAGAATATAATCCCTCATTGTATTTTTCTGGGTTTAATCTTATCATTTGACATTAATTTTCAATTAGGCTTTTGTTGCTAAAACTAATGATGAAAATCAGCGTACTTACCAGAATCTTGTAATTGAGAAAGATGGCTCAAAAGAAGGTAAGTTTTCTTGAATTTTCTTTTTTTTTTTTTCTTTTGGCATGGATCCTGATGAATACCCAGTAAAAATTCACATTTAGGGATGGACATGATGGTGCATATCTATAGTCTCAGCCACTTAGGAGGCAGAGTTAGGAGGATCTTGGTTTGAGGCTATTTCAGACAAAGCAAGCCAGAGCTTTCAATTCCAACCTCAAACCCCAGTACTCCGAATAAATAAATAAGCAAATTGACCTATTTTTAAGCTAGTTCCATATACTAGCTTTTTTTGTTTTTATTTTTGTTTTGTGGTACTGGGGCTTGAACTTGAACTCAGGCCTATACCTTGAGCCACTCCACCAGCCCTTTTTTTTTGTGATGGGCTTTTTCGAGATAGGGTCTTTTGAACTATTTGCCTTGGCTGGCTTTGAACTGTGATGCTCCTGATTTCTGCCTCCTAAGTAGCTAGGATTATAAACGTGAGCTGCTGATGCCCAGCTAGATACTCATTTAAATTTTATGTTCATATGCCTTTTAGAGAATGTGATATTGATTTTATTTTCGTAGGTGCTTATTACATGTTGCTGCTTACAAACAAGGGATTTTTTTACATTACAAACCTTCAGCTTGTAAAAATTCAACAAGGTAAGGAAGACATTATTTTCTTATTGATTTACAACAGTAGTTAATTAGTTTCCCATTTAAGCCTTCAAATATCCTAAGAATATTTTAGGTTAATTGCATCTTATGCTACTGGGTATTATTTAAAGTAGTTAGAATATATTTTCTTTCTGCTATTAATGGAGCAAAGAGTCTGAAAAAATATAATCTGGTTACAGCACTCAAAGAGTTGCAGCTTAGTAGGAGAGAAAAGACACACATAAGCACAGTGATGGAGTGAATGAATATAGAAATGGAAGTGGATGTAAATGTTTTAGTAGCGCAGAGTAATGATCTATATCGTATTAAATGAGTGGTACACACCATGAGTCCCTCTGAGCCAGGCATCTCTGAGGAATTTGTTCAGGGTATGTATTTAATAAACTTTTATAAAAAACATGTGTGCTAGGCTTATGCTAGGTCCAGTTTGTATAAAAAGATTTAAGATGGATAGTTTCCTATAGTTTAATAGTGAGAAATGATGAAGACTTCATAGGTACAACCTCAAACTTGAATAGAAGTAGAAAAGGTGGAGTAAGAAGACTGTAAGTAAGAAGAAACATGGTAAGAGTAGGGACTGTAAGCCAGCTTGGCTCTTGCATTGCCTACAGCATGTATTCACAGTGTGTTACTGGTCAAGGGTGAAGTTGAAAAGTCAGCATGAATTTGCCACTTCTCACCTGTGTTGTGTTCTTTGAACTAGAATGCATTAGCTTCATTTTGACACAAAAGGGGTAACATTACTTTAGCCCATATCAGTTTGTAGATTATGTTTAGTCTCCTTTTTGTTTTAATGCAGCAATTGAGAATGTAGACTTGGATACAGCCAAAAAGGTAAGAAAACAACCATATTGTCCTTTTTAAACTTCCATTTAACTTAAATGTTGAGAGTGCTTCTGTCTACAATTGTTCTATTGGTTGATATTTTTAGGAGTTGCTATGATATATAACACTTTAATAACATTTCTGTTTGAAAATACGTTTAAACCTAATTGATTTAAACTGATTTTTGAGGGGTATAAATTTATAAAACTTGTAATTAATTTTTTTTTTTTTCAGTTACAAGGACAAATCAAATCCAGTTTTATTTCTACCGAGAATTATCATAGTCTTGGTTGTCTTAATCTCCTGGCTGGAGATTTAGCAACTGAAACTCCTGTGATAATTGGGGTAATGATTTTTATAAAATGTTGGTTTTTGTTGCCTAAAGTGTTACTTTAGTGTTACATTAGTAAAAATGTAAGTGTTATGTTAGTGAAAATGTTTTCTTTTTATTAAGATGATTATTTGTAACGTAATAAACTGGGGCAATTAGAAAATGAAGGTCATAGAAGTAACTCAGCAACCTAAATTTCTGTCTTGGAAATATACTGCATTTGTTTTTTCTAGTCTATCTCTAAAATATTAGCATTTCAGGATATTATGTTGTTTTAGTTTTTTTGGTGTTTCAAGGCAGGGTCTTTCTATGTAGCTCAGGCTGGCCCTGAACTCACAATCCTCCTGCCTCAGCCTCCCTAGTGCTAGGATTACAGGTGTGCACTACAATGCCTGCTCAAATTGTAGCATTTCCTTCAATTCTGAGTACAGGCAGAAACAACAAAGTAGTCCACAGTAATGGCAATACCTGTGACTTTGTCATTAAGTACATATCACAGGTATTTTTTTAAAATCATACTAGCTGGGCGCTAGTGGCTCATGCCTATAATCCTAGCTACTCAGGAGGCAGAGATCAGGAGGATTGAAATTCAAAGCCAGCCCAGGCAAATAGTTTATGAGATCCTATCTCAAAAAAGCCCTTCATAAAAAAGGTCTAGTGGAGTGGCTCAAAGTTTAGGTCCTGAGTTAAAACACCAGTACCAGGAAAAAAAATCATCATATTGAAATACTATTTAGACATCACTAATGTAAAATTCCAGAGACCATAGAATATCCATCTAGAGATATAAATAATTACTGTTGGAGACAAAAGCCAAGGTTTCTTTGGATTCTATTGTTTTTTGTTTTTTGCTGACTTTTATAAGTGAAAGAAAAGCTAAATTTCATGTGGAGATTAGTTTAAATAAAGATGTAAATTAAGCTGTTTTTTTCCATCCGTGTTTCACAGATCTCTGGAATGTTTATTTTGTGTGTTGGGGGGGAGGACAGTTCTGGGTTTTGAATTCAGGGCTCCACATTTGCTAGGCAGGCACTACCACTTTGAGCCACTCCTCCAGCCCATTTTGCTGTGGTTATTTTTATTTATTTATTTATTTATTTAATTTTTTGTGGTACTGGAACTTAAATTCAGGGTCTCAAGCTTGCTAGGCTTTGCTGGGCAGGCACTCTATCATTTGAGCCACTCCACCAGTCCTGCACTGGTTGTTTTGGAGAACTCTTTGCCCAAGCTGGCCTCAAACCATGATCATTCTACTATCAGCCTCCCACGTACTAGGATTACAGGCTTGAGCCACTGGCAGTTGGCTTGTCTTATATTTTATAGGAAAAGTAACAATTTATTATTATATATCACTTCTAATAATTTTGGTTAAAATTTTCTGAATTTAGGGGAAAAGCATCTAAAATATCCCTTGCATTCAAGGTGTAGGCAAGAATTTAATTTAATTATAGCATTTGCAGCTTTTTTACTTGACAAATTTATATGTTAAGAAGCAATTATATTTCCACACTGTGCATATCTACTTTAATATTTCACCTCACTAGTTTCCAACAATTAAAAATTAAAATTTATTAATTTTTTTTCCCAAATACTGTGGTGATTTTAACAAAAGCACTTAATATAAGACTATAAGACTATATAATATCATGATGCTGGAAGAGGTCTTAAAATTCACTCGTGCTTAGAGCAAGTTGCCTGAATATGCCTACTCCTCATTAAATATTCATGTGATAACAGTGCATATGAAGGGTTCCTGCTCTTTCCATTCTTTTATGAAACTAAGAGAGGAACTGGGAGATAAAAACTGGTTGGAGCCTGGAATGTTGGCACATGTCTGTAATCCCAGCTACTTAGGAGGTTAATGCAGGAGAATGGAGGGTTCAAGGCCACCCTGGGTAAAGTTAGCGAGACCCTATCTCAAAATAACAAAAGGGCTGGGGATATAGCTTAGTAGTAGTGTGCTTGCTTAGCATGCATGAGGCCTTGGGTTCAACCCCTATTACTGGGGTGGGGTTGGGGGGCTGCTGGTTGAGCTTGAACATGGGAGTGTATTTTGGAAACATAAAGGGTCAACTTACCTGAGGCAGGCTCAGGTATTATAACCACATTTGCAGCTGATGCACTATTTTTGCTTTTCCAGGGAACTGGTAATTGTGCATTTTCAAAATGGGAACCAGATTCTACCAAGAAAGTCATGACAGTTAAGAACATTATTGATACAGAGATTATTAAAGGTAAAATAAGTCAATGAAACTACTTTTCATAATTATCAGCAAGTTGTAATTTTCATGTTAATATGCTTAGGCTGGCATAGGGACCATTTTATTATACTGCTTTTTGAAACTAGCCAGACTTATTTGATGATGGTCTACATACATGACATGAGGCACTCCACCAGCCCTACATGACTGTTCTTGATGTGTTGCAGTGTTACTCTTCCTCATGGGGAGTTTTACATTTCACTGGTTACCAAAAAAAAAAAAAAAAAAATACAGATAGGAATAAATGAAAATGGTAACTTAATTTAAATGTAGTTCTGCCTTTCTCTAAATATATTAGTTTACAGTTTATATAAGGCTTTCTGTAATATTGCAGTAAAATTCTTTGACATCTTCCTTTCTCTTTCGTAGGTGCAAAGAAATTCCAGCTGATAGACAATCTACTTTTTGTGCTTGATATTGATGTATGTTTCTGATTTTTCTCCATCAGTGTTTTCACTTGATGCTATGTTTTTGTTGATGTTATTTTTTTGTTCATTTGTTTGTTTTGGTGGTGCAGGAATTTGCACTCAGGGTCTCACACTTGCTCGGCAGGTGCTCTACCACTTGAGCCAGCCTCTAAGCCGTATGTTTTTTTGTTTGTTTGTGGTGGTAGAGATCAAACCTAGTGCCTTATGCATGCTAGGCCAGCACTCTACCAATGAGTTACATCCTCAGCCCTGATAACATGTTTACTGATAATAATAATAGTGTTTATACTATTATTAAAAATAATAATAATAGTGTTGTCAAACTTACAAAGACAAGGACGTTAGCTGGATTACTGTCTTCTGTACTTACCAAAAAACATATTCTGGGCTGGAGCTGTAGCTCAGTGATAGAGCACTTGTGTAACATGCCAAAGGGCCCTGGATTAATCCCCAGCATCACAAAAAACATGAAGTATGAATTTATAATCATTAAGAAGACCTGTAAACAAAATGTCTTTTTCAGAATGTTCTGAGTTTATGGGACATTTATACCCTCGCTCCCATATGGAACTGGCCCTCTCTTCACATAGAGGAATTTCTTCTTACCACGGAAGCAGACTCTCCTGCATCAGTTACCTGGTAACCTTATGACTCTGGCTAATAGTGATTTCCAGGTTTTTTGTCTGTTTTGGTTGCATCATTTATTATGTTTCATGTTCTAAACCACACTGTGAAACAGCCTAACAGAGTAAAGAGCAATTCGTTGTTTGCCTGTTTTCATTGGGAACAGATAAGCAATACGAAACCCCAAATAATAGTGTTAGAAGTGAACTATCAGTCTGGTCCATGAACATAGAATCCAGTGTTTTATGCTAGGTGCAGTGGCAAATGCTTGTAATTCCAGCTGCTTAGAAATTAAGGAGGATCATAGTTTGAGACCAGCCTGGACAAAACCATGAGACCCTATTTCCAAGAACAAACTGGGCATGGTGGTATATTTCTGTAATACCAGCTACAAGGAAGTCATTGGTGGGAGATATAGGTAGGATCGCAGTCCACTTGTGGCCCTGGGCAAAATTGAGACCCTATCTAAATAATAAAGCAAAAAGGTCTCAAGTGGTCTAGTGCTTACCTAGCAAGGATAAGACCCTGAGTTCAAACCCCAATGCTTCCAACAAACAAGAGAGAAAATCCATTGTCTTCTCCATTTTAACATGTATGCAAGTATGTCACTTTAATTTACCTATTATCTAGCTATTAGCAAAGCTTACTTGATTTACTTGTAGCTTCTTTTCTCTTTTAGGCAAGGGATTACAAACCTCAAATTAGTAGCTCTGACAACTACTACTAATCAAAAGGTACTGGAAGACTTTACTTCATGCTTGTCCATATTGTGTGCTTTTCTAATACAGAAGTAGATGTGAGGTAGTGTTCACAACATCTGCACTCTTAGTTCACACAGACACGTAACAAATGGGAAATAATCCAGCAGAATGTTCTTCCATTCAAAAAAAATGGATACACAACTTGGTTCCACGTTTTAAACAGAGCATTTTAGTACTCAAAAAAAATGTGTATTTGTAAGAAACTGTTTATTAGGGTGGAGGGTGGTGGTATGCATCTATAATCCCAGCACTCAGGAGGCAGAGGCAGGACGATCAGGAGTTTGAGGCTTGCCTGGGCTACATAAAGAGTTCAGGGCCAGCGTGGGTTACATAGTGATAACCTTGTCTCAGAAAAAAAAGGACTGGGCACGAAGCACAGAGGTAGAGCACTTGCCTAGCCTTTGCAAGGTCCTGGTTCAATCACAGCAGTGCGGGAGGCAGGGGAGAAGGTTTTTTACAAAGTTCTAGCCCTGAGGAGTTACGTTCACTTTAAGTACTAATTGTGAAGTGGGCTTAGATGTATGGATTTTCATTCAAAAAATGTGGAAGGTAAAATTGAGCATTTTCTATGTTACAGTTAAATAGCAACAGTAACAAACTTCATTGTAAAAGTCTTTTTGTTTTTTGTTTTGTATTTAGCTTCCTACCTTATTTTAATATGATCTTGATTGTGAAGTGATGTTTTGTGCTTCTAAGTTTCTATTAACCTACTAAATTGCTTTCCTATTTCTCTTAGATGAAAAACCTCATGATTTATTCATTGCCTACAATGGAAATATTGTATTCTTTGGAAGTATCTAGTATTTCTTCTCTGGTTCAAACAGGAATTAGCACAGTAAGTTTATGCATATTTTAAACTACTTTCTAATAAAATTTTTTTTAACCCTTAAGGGTAAGGTAACCAAAGCATGAGTGGAATCTAGTGGGATACCTCAATAGATCTCAAGTTTATTCCCATCTTTATTATTAACAAATATCCTCAAATACATTTAGACTTCATGCAAAAAAAAATTAAATAAAACTTGAGTCATCTACTAATTCAACTTTCCTGTATCTCTGAAGGAAATACAGATGATAATTTAGAAGGGGTAGTGCTTTTATTTGTTTTTAATTATTATTATCTTAATTGTACAAAATTCATGAGGGTATAGTGTAATAATTAGTAAAATGTGTAGCTATCAAATCACGATAGTCAACATTTCCATCTTCTTAAATTTTAAAAACATTTCTGCTGGGCTCAGTGGCTCACGCCTAAAATCCTTGCTATTTGGGAGACTTAGATAGAAGCATCCCAGTTTGAGGCCAGCCCAAACAAACAGTTGTTGATGCCACATTTCTAAAATAACCACAGCAATAATGGACTGGAGGCATGGCTCAAGTGGTAGAACACCTGTTTTGCAAGCACAAAGTCCTGAGTTCAAACCCCTGTCCCACCAGAAAAAAAAAATTATAACATGTAATAATTATATACAATTTATTTTTCTCATCTTTTAAAATAACATTTTATGCAGAAACACTGTATTTATTTTCCTTGCCATTTGGAAGTAGACTTCCTGACCTGTCACTTTTTTTTTTTTTTTTGGCAGTACGGGAGTTTGTATTCTGGGTTTCATGCTAGTCACACCTCCAGCCCCTTACATATCTTTTTTTTTTTTCTTGGCAGCACTGGGGTTTGAACTCAGGGCCTCACATTTGCCACACAGGTGCTCTACCACTTGAACCACTCTGCCAGCCCTGACATACCATTCTTAAATGCTTCAGGATTGAAGTAATTCTTCTATAATATGGTTAAAAAATTAACAATACAATACTATTACGAAATACACTTTTCAAATTCAAGTCTTACCAATTGTATTGATTAATTTACTGAATTTAGTTGCCATTGTCATGGCCATGGCATAATCTAATCTAGAGTCTTTCCCTAGCCTTTTCTTTTTTCCGGTTCTGGAGCTTGAACTCACGGCCTTCACCTTTAGCCGCTCCACTGGCGCTTTTTTGTGAATTTTTTTTTGAGATAGGGTCTTGAGGAACTGTTTGCCCAGGCTGGTTTCTAACTTTGATCCTCCTGATCTCTACCTCCTGAGTAGCTAGGGTTACAGGCGTGAGCCACCAGTGCCCCGCTTTGATTTATGAACTAATGGAGTGGCTCAAGAGTACAGTGAGTGCCTAGCAAGCTGAGGCCAGAGTTCAAACCCTAGTACTGCTAAGAAAAAAAAAAAAAACAGTAAAACTGACATTAGTCTGGTGCTGGTGGCTGGCCAAACATTGATATTTTTTTGCATTTCCTTCCTTGCTTATGGTTTTGTAGAATGTCCCTCTGTGGATTTGTCTGATTACTTCATCATGATTACATTCATGTAAGCACTTTTGGCACATGTACTGCAAAGATAATACTGTGCCCAAACCACATCACGTTAAGGGCCCCTTAATATTCATTTGTCTTATTATATTGGTTATGTCTGTTTCATCACTTGGTTAAGATAGTCCTGCCAGATTTCTCCATTTATAAAGACACATTTTTCCCTTTATAATTAGTACGGAATCTGTGGTTTTGTTTTGAGACCATTAGAAAATTCTTTTCCTCAACAATTTTCCCCAGTGGTTTTAAAATCCACTGATGAATAATTCTTGCCTGAACCGTTTGTAACTCTGGTAATTATAAATTGTATTGCTGCTATAATCATGGTTTTGTTGTTATTATAGGATACTATATACCTTTTGGAAGGAATTGGCAAAAATGATCAAAAGTAGGTCATGCTTTTTTTTATCAGATTATTTAGATAACATTTAAGTTAAAGTTTATTTGTTAATATCAACTGACAAGGACACTTACAGTACAATCTTTTGTTGTATTTTTTTAGCCTGCCTGAAGACTCTGTCTCTGTTCTAGTACTCAGGTATCTTACAGAAGCTTTACCAGAAAACAGGTAATTTCTCATTCTTTTTTAAGCCTTATCTCTTAATGAAAAGCTTAAGTTCCCTGATTAATAAACATTGAATGAAATTTCTTTTCCAATTCATTAGATTGAGCCGTTTACTTCACAAACACAGATTTGCTGAAGCTGAGAGCTTTGCCATTCAGTTTGGACTAGATGTTGAGGTAAGCATTCATGTAATTTTCATTTGTTCATCAAATAGGATTTCTTGGTGTGCAGGGGCTGAGGAGACACAGACATATTGAAATTAGTGTGTTCGGGCCTGTCATGAAGACATGACCAAAGTAGAATAGGGATTCAAAGAAGAGAATGAGGGATAGAGATGTCAGAGAGATGTTATTTTGTTGTCATTGTCGTTATATTTTTTGAGACAGGGTTTCAATATGTAGCCCAGGCTGGCTTTGAACTTGGGATTCTTCTTTCTCAGCTTCCAAAGTGTTGGGATGACAGACATGTACCATGACACCAGGTTGGAGTTAGCTTTTATGTCAGAATATGAAGGTCTTATAGAGAGTCCAGGGAGAGGAAGGGATTCCAGTTGAAGGACAGCATGAATGAAGGAAAGGGGGCTTAGGATGCTTCCAGGAAATCTGGTAATCAGGACTGGAGTGAGGTTATATGGGCAAGGGAACAAAAGAAGTTGATGATGGAGAAGTGGGGCCAGTGTGTGATAGATTGAGATTTTATTCTGCAGGAGATGGGGGAGCTACTGAAAATTTTAAGCATGAGAGTGTCTTGGTTAGATTGTCATTTGGTAAGATGGAGGTTCATGTACCAATTGGGAGGACAAGCAGCTTTCTACACAAGAGCTGAGCCAGTGCCAGGAAATGAGATGTATGGGAGAAAGAGAGAGAGAAGGAGGAAAAGACAGAGAGAGGCTGACAAGAGGTAGATAGGCAGTAGAACCCTAGGGATGTAGTGATTGAGTTTGAGGAGGGACAGAGGACTTGAGGTTGACTAGCAGGGCTCTGCCTCAGTATACACGTTAGATGGTGACTGCATTTCCTAAAATGAGTATGTGTGGAAGAGCAGGTTAGGGACGAAGGATGAAGAAATTAATGGAGTAATAATTACCAAAACCAGAACAATTGGTCATTTTTTGGGGGAAAAGGAAGATGCTATATTTAGGAAAAAGACGAGGGGTCTTAACAATACTGGGAATATGCCTTACTAAGTTAAGGTGACAAATAAAAGAGTATGTATTATAGTATTACTTTTCTGAATATCTGAAAGATTTCAAAAATAATTTAAAAAAAAAGTGAAAGAGTGTTGGTGGAGTGGTTCAAGTAAGTGGGAGACCCTGAATTCAAACCCCAGTACTACCCCACCCACAAAAGCCACCAAAAAAGAGTGAAAGAGTAAAAGTCAGAAAATCCATGAAACAAATAAGGAGAGTAGAAAAACAGAAATATATATACTTATATATTGGTGGCTGTTGTTTAGACAGGGTGAGGGTTTCACTCTCTATCCCAGTCTGGCCTTAAAATCATTCTCATCTTATCAGCCTCCTGAATGCTGTGATTATAGGTGTGCATCACCATACCAGGTAGTTCTTTCCTCTTTTTTTTTTTTTTTGAAACTAGGGTTTGAACTCATGACTACTTGCTCTTCTGTTTGAGCCACACCTAAAAAGGGCCTCCAGTCCTTTTTGCTCTTATTTTGGACAGTGGAGTCTCTTGAATTGTTTACCCAGGCTGATCTTGAACTGTGATCCTCCTGATCTCATCTCCCAAGTAACTAAGATTGCAAGCATGAGCCCACCAGCATTGGGCTAAGTTCATTCTTTTCTTTTTTGGTGATACTAGGGTTTGAAATCAGGGCCTCATGCTTGCTAGACAGACACTACACTTTGAGCCATTGTACCAGCTCAGTTCTTTCTTTATAAAGGTTGAATAGTATTCTTTTCTGTATGTACACTACATTTTCTTTGTCTATCCTTTAATGGACATTTAGGTTGCTTCCATATTTTAGCTCATATAAAACTCTTCATACAATGGTTGACAATTTAGTAAGGACTCAAAATGTTTTTCGTAATTCCTAACAATCTGGATTACTTTTCACATATCTCAGTGTTACCTTCTTTAAGAACCACATGAGGATTTGCCTTTTTTTCATGATAGCTTGTCACACATAATTTGCTGTCAGAATAAATCATCCTCAGGTGTTCTTGTACTTCAAGTCACTTGATGTGCCGTGTTTATATTACAGCTTGTTTACAAGGTAAAATCAAATGATATACTGGAGAAACTGGCTTTGATTTCTGTGGACACCAGTGAGCAGACCAAATGGCAGCAACTTGTGGATGAAGCTAAGGAAAATCTACATAAAATCCAGGTGTGTTTTCCCAGCCAGGAAGTAGAGTATTGAGATTGATGTGTGGGTCAACACGAAGTTGCCTCACTATGTCTGACATTTGTGGGACAGGATGATGAATTTGTGGTGAATTACTGCTTGAAGGCCCAATGGATAACCTATGGAACTACTCAGGAAATGCTCAACTATGCCAAAACCAGGGTAAGTTGGTTTGTTTTTCTTTCTTCTTTTGGAAGAATTTGCTTTAATCGCTCATAATTCTACCATCTCAAGTACATTTTATCCTTCAATTCTCTTCTCTATGTGTACCATTTACAAAAAAAAACAAAACCCTTTTCTATTACAGCCTTTTTATATCCTATTCAGTTCATTCGTATAAACTTCAGTGTTTTTAGTACATTGAGTGAATTGTGTTTGTCCATCAGCACAATCACATAGAGCTGTGTTCATTAACAGTCACTACCAGTTTCCCCAAACCCTAGCCCCAGGTAACCGCAAATCTTCCTGTCTCTGTTAGATGTGCCTATTCTGGATTTCGAATGAATGGAATCTTACAACATATGCTGTTTGTGTCTGGCTTCTTTCATGTACAATTTTTTTAGGATTCACACTGAAGCACGCGTCGGTGCTGAATTTCTTTTTATTGCCAAATCATATTCCATTGTCTGTGGATAGACCACATTTTGCATAGCCAGTCTCCCATTTATGAACACTGGGTTACTTCCACATTTTTGCTGTTGTGAATAATGCTTCTATAACCATGGTTGTGCAAATACCTGTTTGAATGCCTTCTTTCAACTCTGTATTCTATACCCAGAAGTAGAATTGCCGAATCATGTAATTATATTTTTAAGTTCTTGAGGAACTTCTGTATTGTTTCCCATAGTGGTTGTACCTTTTCACACTCCCACCAGTAGTGCAGAAGGGTTCCATTTTGTTTACATCCTTGTCAACACTTGTTAAATTTGTGTGTGTGTGTGTGTGTGTGTGTGTGTGTGCGCATGTGTGTGGTACAGGTGTTTGAACTCAGGCCTACACCTTAAACCACTCCACTAGCCCTTTTTTGTGATTGGTTTTTTCGAGATAGAGTCTCACAAACTATTTTCCTGCACTGGCTTTGAACCATGATCCTCCTGATCTCTGCCTCCTGAGTGTCTAGTTTTATAGGCGTGAGCCACCGGCGCTCAGCTAAAAAGTTTAATACCATTTTTTTTTCTTTTTTTTTTTTTAATTTGGAAGTACTGGGATTTGAACTCAGGGCCTCATGCTTACTAGGCAACCTCTCTACCACTTGAGTCTCCTGTTTTCTGATTTCTTGACACTAGCCATCCTAATAGGTATAAAGTAGGTGGTAAGATTTTATAATATTAAAATGTTTGTATATGTTATTTTATCTCATATAAGAAGACATAATTTTTAAAAAACAGATTCTTTTTCATACATAAGCAGTTTTTGTTGATTTGTTCTTTTGACATGGGGGTCTTGCTGTGAAGCCCATGTTGGCTTTGAACTCTCAATCCTCCTGCCTCAGCCTCCCTACTGCTTGGGTTACAGGCATGAGACACCATGCCTAGCATCATTGGCCTTTCCTAACATAGTTTTTTTTTTTTTTTTTTTAAGCAATAGTGGGGGTTGGACCCAGGGTCTTTCACTTGCTAGGCAAGTGCTCTAGCTTTTAAGCCATTCTTCCAGCCCTTAACATAATTTTTTCTTTAACTATTACAAATACCAATTTTGCAGTAACTAGTTCCCCTCAGTGACCTATGTGTACAATTTCTAGTTTTATATTCCTTGAAATCAAGATTGAAAATATGTGCAGAATGTTATGGCCAGTTTTCATTGTTTTTAAAAAAAAGTCATTCCTTTATCATTTAATATCATTACAGACAAGATTGAGATTCCATTCATTTTTGGACTTAAATGTAGTTTGTTTTCAAAGACAGTCTTTTCTACCAGTTCACAGAACTCCATCGTCTTTTATAAAAAACTTAATATAGCAGATGTTCTTCCTGTTTCTTGTTGTTCATCCTTAGCTTTTGAAGAAAGAAGATAAAACCGTTACTGCCTGTTCTGATGGCTTGATAGAGGTAATGACATTAGATTGTTAGATTAATTTGGGGATGAATGTGCATCAGTGGTTTATCTTTCACAATAGGCTTGTAATTCTTCAAGAGCATTTTAATACCTCTGCTTCCTTATTAGGAAAATGGAACGATTAGTGGTATTTACCTTAGAGGGTTGTTTTGAGGTCAGAGGAAATTATTCCTATAAACCATTTGCATAATGCCTGCGTAAACATTCAGATAAATGTAAACTGTGTTGATAATTCTGCTGGTACCAACATGAGTGGATGCATGCACTTGTGTATGTGTGTGCTTAATTCTCTCAATGTAAATGTGTGTTACAATCCATCTCAGTTTTGCTGTAAGGACACTTATTCAGTGGAAAAACTGATTTTGAAGGGCACCTACTGTTAATGCGTGTATGTCCTTATAATTAAACATGATCAGAAATGTTTTCTTTATTCCATTTTACGTGCTTGTGTTGATGAATAAAGACAGTTGTGTTGATAGGAACTGACCTGTAATATGGGATAAAAGAACGTATGTAAGACTTCTGAAAGAGAATGAACCCAATATTTGGTATTTTTTAATTTTACTATCATTGCTGACAACACTCAGATTATCAAGTAATTTTTTTTCTTTAGGTTCTAAGGGCTCATGCGAAATTGACTACTTTTTATGGAGCATTTGGACCAGAAAAATTCAGGTGTGTATATCCTAGTTTTAAGTACTACTTGAACATAATTAAATAATGAGGTGATAGTCCTTCCTCTCTTGTTCCTGTCTTTAACAACAGATGATTCCTTTGTTTTATCATTTAAGCATGATATAGGCTTTGGGGGGGGTATTTTTATCATACTAAGGAAGCAATCATCACCTATTTCTGATCTTCATTTAGGACTAAGTGGTTATTGCAGCACTGTTGGTTATAGCAAGACTAGAAATAGCCTAAGCATTTAACTTGTGGGAGACTAGTTAATGTATTATAGAAAATCCATGCCACGGGACACTGTGGTATCCTTAAAGGAGTGATGCTTATATGTTCTTACGGTTACGACTACCAAGATGAGATAATTTTTTTGCAAGTAACAGATAATATATAGAGAAAACTTATTTTAAAGTTAAAAATAATTGTCTTTGTACTGATTATCTAGGCCTACCTAGATAATCTCTAGGTAATCCTCTAGAGAGGATGATGAGATTTGTTCTAGGAAAGAAGGAAACTTTCTTTTCACTGTAGAACTTTGGGGCTGGCCTCAAACTTGTGATCCTCCTGCCTCAGTCTCCTGAGTGCTGAAATTATAGGCATGAACCACCATGCCCAGCAAACTCTTCCAGTTTTTATTTAGAGAAAACAAAAAAACTCATTAGTTGAAAAGCATAACAATTCTTGGAAGGTATAGTCTTTTTGTTTTTTGTTTTTTGTTTTTAACTAGCTTTTTTCTTTCCTTTGACTTCTTAGTGGTAGTTCTTGGATTGAGTTCCTGAATAATGAAGACGATCTTAAAGATGTTTTTTTACAGCTAAGAGAAGGAAACCTTGTTTGTGCACAGTATCTTTGGCTTAGACATCGGGTAATAAATTCTGCATTTTTTTCTTAATGACGTTCTAATTCCTGAGACGGGTCATTGATTGAGTCCTAGAAACTAACAGGGTGACAAGTGCAATTGGGTAACAGAATGTTTTCAGATTGACTAGATGTGATCAGTCCCAGGGAAAATTGTCCTCTGATGATTGTTAGCCAGAGGAAATACTATGAAGATACAATGTAACCTCATTTTATCTCAACATTAAGTCCAGTTAGCTCCAAACAACAGACAAAGTCATATTACGTGATTTATTGATGAGTGTTTAATGATGTGATGGTGGAGAGGATGTTGCTACTTCAGCTCAGTTTGTGGTAAAGGAGGGCCCATTAAAATTGTTCACCTGAAGGCTGTACATAGTGACATGTGCTTGTAGACCCTGTCACTGGGTAAGCTGAAGCAGGAAGATCGCTTGAGCCCAGAAGTCTGGGCCAGCCTGGGCACCATAGCAAGACTCTGTCTCTTAAAAATAAATGAATACATAAAATTGTTCGTCCTGATCCCATTCCTCTTGGCCAATATTGAAATACAACATTAGGTTCAAACAGTACCTTGGTGTGATGGCATTAATGGACACATTGCTAGTTAGCATTTATGCTGCTATCGCCTCTGGTTATATTTTTCTTACAGCTACCCGTTCCTGTGTTACATAATTTGTTATTTCATACTCACTGATAGAATATCTCATGAAATTGTGCACCCCCCTGCAACTTGTGTCATTTGTGTAGATGAAATCATCTTTACCATTCATTATTAAATCTGTAAGATAGTCCTTAAAATGGCTTCTGAATTACATTTGTCAGATGAATCTTAATTTCTTACTCTGTATCATTTAGGCAAACTTTGAAAGCAGGTTTGATGTGAAGATGCTTGAAAACTTGCTCAACTCAATTTCTCTACCAGTCTCTTTGCAAAACCTCTGTCTGTGGCTTAGAAATGATGTCATCCCATTTGTGAGAAAGACTGTACCTGAAGGACAGGTAAGTCTCCTCCAGTATTTCTATTCTTCCTGGTTTAACTTTGGGTTTGTTTTGTTTTGTTTTTGGCACTATATCAGTGACAGTGAAGTCCCACTAACAGCAGTTAGTTCTTTCAGGTGTTTCTTTTAAAAAGATGATAACAAGGTGCCGGGTGTAGCTTGGTGGTAGAGCACTTGCCTAGCAGTTGTGAAGTCCTGCATTTGAGCCCCAGCACTGCAATAAATAAATAATTAATTAACTTGAAAATAAGATCTTGGAGGGCTTTTTTTAAAAGTTATCGTTGTGATCACCTAATGAGAGTTTTATTTTTAAATGATATATCTGTTTTAGAATTTCTTGCAAATGGTTGAGCAAGCAGCCAGGAACCTTGATTGACAGATAAGGTAATACCAGTATAATTAACATGGAACAGAAATTTGTTGTACCCTTCCTATAGCATAAAATACTGTCATTAATGGTCTGTGATTATTTTTTTAAGGTAAACTGGCCAGAAAATGGGCCTCAGCTGGCAGAAGTATTTTTCACAGCAGAAAAACCAGATGATCTGGGTTTGTCATCCTCTTGGCTTGGATTTCTTTGGTATGATGTAGAGAAGGATTTTTAACAATGAAACAATCCATTTATGTTAGACAGCTTTTTCTACATGTATAGAGAAATGTGTCTGGAACTAGAGCCCATTCATAAGTTTTCTGTTATTTCCTTTTATTTGTACCTTTCACATCCAGCAAAGGAAAAACTTCCTTTTTTTTTTTCCATTCTGATCCTTCTGTTAACTCAGCACATTTTATGCACTGTTTTTCTCATTGGCAAACAAAAACCAATCTAGAAACATTCTCTAAAGTGGTATAATTGTGATTTTTCTACAATAGCATCTTCTCAACAATTCTTTCTAAGAATAAAATTTACTATAACATGAATGATTGCATTATTCAAAATCTACAAAGCATGTTAAGCCTGTTTCTTTTTATTTAAATAAAAGCAGGCCCCTAGATCTGATTTCATATCTTTGATATTCCCAACAGCTGTTATGACGAAAATATCGGTGTTTTTTTTTTTTTTTCTTAAGATCAAATTGTAAACTCCATTGTGGTGACACACATCTGTAATCCCAGCACTTAGAAAGCTGAGAATAAAGATCAAAAGTTCAAGGGCAAGCCTGGGTTATATAGTGAGACCCTGTTTTTAAAGGAAAAAAAGTAACAAACATCAAATACTCTGAAAAAACAGAGTGGGCAGTTGAAGTTGTGGCTCAGTGGTAGAGGCCCCTTGCCTCCCACGCAAGGCCCTAAGTGTCATTCCTAGCAACACAGAAAATACAAAAGACAAGCAAAAAAAAAAGAAAAGAAAGCAGTCTAGAGGGAGAAAGTAAGCTCAGGAATGTTGTTAGTTGAAGTTAGGTAAACTAAATTTATTATTTGGCTTCTAAAATTTTCTTAAAATTCAGTTCTTTTTTTCCGTTTAAGACAAACATTTATTATACTGGAAGGAAAAAAACCACATTCTTACATTTTATAAAAGAAGAAAAACTTGTGGTTGGATATGCCAGAACTCTAGTTTATCCAAATTAATAATATAAGGAATAACATATCCACTTCTGAAGTGTTAAGTACTTTTAGTACCTAAGGAACTGTGGTCCTTTACAATATTGCATATTATCAAACATTTACTTCTTAAATTTTCAATTAAAAAATAATAATTGAAGGCTGGGAATGGAGCTCAGTGGTAGAGCAACTTGCCTAGCAGGTGTAAGGAGGTCCACATTTTTTCTCTAGGACCCCTCCCCACTAAAAAGTAAGAAAAATGATGATACTTACACTTTAGGACCTAAACAATTTCCTCCTACTTTCTGAAGTAAACAGATTATTGTCAATGTTTATACCTACTGATTGTATTATCCAAACATGCGGATTTTTTTTCCTCTGGATTCTAAGCAGTCTACTGATTGATGATTCTAATATATTTTTTTCCGCATATAAGCCTTTTCCTTTGCTTTGTCTTTTCCTCTCTTTAGTAAGTCTTTTATCCATACTAAAACTTCTGATCTTGACTGGGTGTGGTAGTACATGCCTATAATCCCAGTGCTTGGGAAGGCTGAGGAAGGAAGATTGAGAGTTCAAGGCTAGCCCTGAGCTACATAGTGAAACCTTGTCTCAAAAAATAATTGTAGCAATTTCTGTTCCTGTATATAATTTTAGGAAGTATTACAGCTTATATCTGATCAGGACCTGTGTTGATAGATGAGACATTGAGGACTATCTAAATGATTCTTGTGTATTCCAACATATTTGAGTCCTGCAAAAAAAATTGTAGTATTGTTAACACTGCTATAGTTTTTTCTAAAGAAAATTTCCTTCTGATTCTGATTTATGTTAATTTGTACTGGGTAGTTTAAAGCATAAGTTGCTTTAAAGTTACAGGTTTCCTTTTTTGTACATAATCATTGGCATTTCTTATTTTATTTGAAATAAGTTTGACTGTTTCTCTTCTACACTTTCTATTTTATATCCTTAAGAACTTTAACACTTTTGTTTTAGAAAGATTATCAAAACACAGAGGAAGTATGTCAGTTACAGACTTTGATAAACAACTTGCGAGAGCTAATCACATTGCATAGGAAATACAACTGCAAATTGGCCCTCTCTGAGTATGAGAAGGTAAAATTCCAGGCTTCTGACCATTATTTTACATTTTTTTGTATCTAATGATGATAAACCGACTCTGTATTTATGACATCTTTCTTGTCTCTTTAATCCAGGAAAACATACCACCATAACGTGTTCCGAATGTTTGACCGAGTGCTGGCCCCAGAATTAATTCCCTCAGTCTTAGAGAAGTCCATAAGGTTTCCATGAGGGAAACATGACTTGCAAGAGGAGGACTTTCTCTACTTTACATAGAGGTAGCTTTTTCTTTAGAGTCAGTCTTACATATGAGACCCCATAGCCTGTTTGTGTTAAGTGCTGGATTCTTTAATGTCATGTTTGCCCTTGGGACTTATGCAGCATTTTTTATTGGTTAAGAATATGGGTTAATTGTGCTATTAACCCATTGAGAGCCTCCTAGCCTTGGAGCTCACAATTGCGAGCTAGCCTGGCATCCAAAAGGAGACCCCCATCTCAAGAGAAATAGAAGAGAATAATAGTAGGACTTTTTCCTAAGGGGTGTTATGAAAATAAGGACTCATGAGCTCAATAAATACTAGCTTTTTTTTTTTTTTGATACTGGGTGGGGCCACATAATGCTAAGCAATATATCCCCAAGTCTCGCCATTATTTTTTGTAGACTTAATATGTTATAATATTCTGATTTGTAGATAACTTCAAGAATGTCTCGCTTAAATTTTCTGTACCATATAAAACTGAAGGCTAAAATTTTGGCAATATTTTTTGTGTTGGGGGGGACTAGGTTGGGGTTTGGACTGAGGATTTCATGCTTGCAAAGTGGACACTGCTTGAGGCCACTTCCAGCCCATCATTTTGGCAATTTCAAGATAATTTTTTCAGTGCTGGGGGTGGAACCCAGGACCTCACAAATGTGAGGCAGTGCTCTACTACTGAGTTAACACCCCCAGGTCCTGACCAATTTTTATCATTTTTGACAATTAATTCCACATTCATGACTTTTAAAGGTTAGGTTTTTGTTGTTGTTATTGTTTTTAGTGCATCTGTGAAGATATTTGTGTGTGTTTTATTTTAGTTTCAATTTTTTGGAAAAAAAATGTTTATCCTTTTTTAGGATTTACTAAGGAGATGTAGCTCAAAGTCGACATCGCTCTTTGACACAGCATGGGAAGCCAAGGCCATGGCTGTAATTGGATGCTTGTCTGACATAGATGTAAGTTAACGGAGTCTATCGGGTTTTCCTTTGGAGCACTGGATCTTAAACTTTTTCTCCCAATCGTAAAATCAACACCTTTGTTGAGAAAAATTTGTGTGGTATGAAAAAGAAGCAAAAAAAGAAAATAAAAAACCTCTCATGATTCTATCTTCTTTGGATTAGGGAAATAAAAAAGTGAAAATTTTTCTCAATTCTCCCCCAGAAGAAGAAACCAACAGAATTGCATCTCTCCGGGCTTTCTAATGGCTTCCAAAATATGGAGGCATTGTAAAAAAAAAAAAAAAAAAAAAAGTTGTCTATGCCTTTATTTTGATTTTGCACTGTTATAGCTGCCTTTATAGAGTGTATGAATGAAAAAAAAATAAAAAAAGAAACAGTGTATGATAAAATCTTGAACTATAGAAAAACATAAACTATATGACTGCTATTTCTCAGCAGACAAAATACTGTCATTTTTACAAACAATAAAGTTGTTCTTTGTGCATAGAAATTGGAAGAAATAATGTACCTTTGCGGTCAGAAGATGAAATAGTCCTCAAACTATCTGTGGTTGATGGATGTGGGGTGCCATTGACTTTACTTGGAAGGTCCATCTAGGAGCAACTGTTGAGTGTGTCTTCTTTGCAGCTCATATTTGATGCCTGTGCTCAAGATAATGTACAAGGCAGTGGTTCCCTGGAGTGCAGCCGTGAGCAGCTGGTGAAACAGCAATCTGGAAATGGACCATCCAAGTAAGATTACAGTCCATCAAAAAAATTCTTCTCTGCTCTGGATAACCTGACCGTTTTGAGTCGATATTCAAATTATGTTTTTCATTTTACTATGTTCCATAGTATTTCATAAAATGACAACCCATGTTTATGTCAATAAATTTTCTTTCAGAGTCAAGCTATTACAGGAAAGTTACAAACTAATGGAGATGAAAAGTTTTACGAGGCTAATGGGATAAGAGAAGTGAATCTTTTAAATAATGAAACTAATGGTGAGTGTACTAAGTTGTCTTTCTTCCTTTGTTGTACTTTTAGGCAGCATAAGGACTTTGTAGTCTAAAGGATAATAAGAGTTTGATAATGATAATGGAGTAGAGGATATTAAGGACAACAAATAGTAAATTAAACTCAGAAGAAAGAAAAGATGGAACTGTCACAAATTCCAGTATGTAAGTCATATTTTAATGTTTGATACGGTTTAGTTTTTTTTGTTGCATCATTTTCATTTTATAGCTACCTTGCCCTCATAAGCAAATGATTCCTGGGGTCCCTGTGAGGTTTCATAGTCAGTGTACATGTTGTCTCTTTCAGAGAGTGGTCAGATACATCCTCAAGCAAGATGTCCCGGCTTCCTTAGAAGATGCTTTAAAGGTGGCCCAAGGGTATAGGTTGTCTGATGATGAAGTCTACAGCCTAAGAATTATTGATCTCATTGATAGAGAACAGGTATGAAAGTTGTACGTTGTTATTTCATAAGGATTCTTCAATTAACAAATCCTTAAAAAAACAGAACCAATCAGAACTATCCAAACCAGTTAATCACAAAATAAAGTTATATCACTGTATAAACAAAGGATAATAGAAGGCTACTTTTTTCATGTCTTTTTGTGGGTTCTTTAAAATTGTTTTGTGCTTAATGAATTTTTATACTCTTGTAGTTAGCAAACTCTAAGACCCTTTGATACTAGAATAAGGTGTGTTTCCTGTTTTGATGGATGTTGGGGATTGAACCCAGGACTTGTTAAACCACATGCTCTATAAGCCCTCTTTTTTTGTATTTGTAAATGTCTTTGTTTTTACATGTTCTGTAACCAGAGGCGCGCCCAAGAAGTAAGCTAGTTTTCAGTACTTATAGTTGTATTTTAATTTTGTTTTATGTGTTATAGCTGTCATCTACAACATAGTTTTCAGGGATTTTTTTTGGGAGGAGGGGGGCAGTGCTGAGATTTACAGTATCATGCTTGCTAGGCAGGTGTTCCATAATTTGAGCCATTCCACCCATCTTTTTTTGTGTTAGGTATTTTTGAGATTGTGTCTGTCAAACTATTTGCCCAGGCTGGCCTTGAACTGCGATTCTTCTGATCTCTACCTCCTGAGTAGCTAAGATTATAAGTGTGAGCAGGCCACAGTCAATTTTCAGATTTTTTTTTTTTTTTTTTTTTTTTGCAGTACTGAAGTTTGAACTCAGAGCCTGCACCTTGAGCCACTCCACAAGCCTTTTTGTGATAGGTTTTTTGAGATAGGGTCTTGCAAACTATTTGCCCTTGTTGGCTTCGAGCCTTGATCCTCCTGTTCTGTACCTCCTGAGTAGCTAGGATTACAGGTGTGAATCACCAGTGCTAACTGCTTTAATTTTCAGATTTTTAAGAAAACATTGAACTACAATCTATTTTTCAACTTTTTTTTTCATGTGCTACTAGGGATTGAACCCAGGTCTCCAAGCTTGCTAGACATGTAAGAATTTTCCATTGTTGGGTTTGTTCTTTTTGGGTGTTTTTGTTTTTTGTCGTGTAAGGGATTAAACTCATGCCTTGCACATACTAGGCAAGCAGTTTTACCATTGAGCTGCATCCCTAGCCCTTGTTGTTTTTCTTTCCATCTTTAAGTAGAAGAGAGAGAGGTAAGTCCAAAGTATCCTTTTCGGTGACCAGCGGTTTTTTCTGCTCACAGGGGGAAGACTGTCTTCTGCTGTTGAGGTCTCTGCCTCCTGCTGAAGCTGAGAAAACTGCAGAAAGAGTAATCATCTGGGCTCGACTGGCATTGCAGGAAGAGCCAGACAGTTCTAAAGAGGTGAGGTTTGCACTAGGTAATATATGAACATTGGTGGTGGACGCATATAATTCCAGCATTCGGGAGGGAGGCAGGAGGATCAGGAGTTCCAGGCCAGCCTGGTTTACAACAAGGTTGTGTCTAAAAAAAAATTTTTTTTGATTAAATAAATAAATGCAGATTCTATAGACAGAAAAGGATAGACTTCCAAGTATAAAGATCTATTCTCTCTGCTAGGGTAGTCTCAGGTGAAAAATTTTGTGTTATTTTCTCTGTAGGAAAAAAACCCAATATGACTGCTTTGAAAATTAGCAGAATTAAGTGAGGTAGCTTTTGAACATTAAGGGGTTTTTAGACTTTTTTTTTTTTTTTTTTTTTTTGTGGCACTGGGGTTTGAACTCAGGGCCTCATACTTGCTAGGCAGGCACTCTTACTGCTTGAGCCACTACACCAGCCTGAGAGGTTTTTCACAGTGGCTTGCAATATGAACAATGTTTTGTGTTGCATACAGCATAATCATTAACTGTTAAGTAATAATGTCATCTACTGACCAAAAGTCTAAATAATTTTAAGTTGTTGAAGCTTAGAGATGCTTTCTAGAGAACTAGTTCACTTCCTTAGAGATGAGGTACCAAACACCTATTTTATCCAGGATAGTTGGGTTTTTAAACTCTGAGGGATAGGTTTCTCTGAACTTCTGTCAGCACTCTGTCATTTTGTTACCTTTAGGGAAATAAGGTTTTTTTTTAAACACTTAATAGGTTTTGTATTCTTCTTATGCAATAGACATTAGGTTAAATACTTTTAAATAATTACCCACTTCATCTTCACACAAAGTTGTGTAGTAGATTCTGTTGTTAGCTCTTCATAGATTACATTCAGAACAACTTTTCTAACATTATTACAAAGTAGCAAAGGCTCAACTCAAACTCTGTATGATACCTTCATCTACTCCCCTCCCCTCCTTCCCTCTCTCCTTCCAGTGATTGAACCCAGGGCTTGGCACATGCTATGCTGCAAAGCTGCACTTCATCCTTCATATCATGTCCATTTATTTATTTAGTTTTATGTTTTGGGGGTACTAGGGTTTGAACTCAGGGCTTGTTAGGCAAACACTCTACCACTTGAGCTGCACTCCACCTCTTTTTTTGGTTATTTTTTAGATAGGGTCTCTTGTTTTTACCCAGGGATGGCCTTGAATAGAGCCCTTTTACCTGTGCCTCCTGCCTAGCTGCAATTACAAGTGTGTACCACCTCACCTGACTTAGGTCCCTTTAATGTTTTTCATGATGGCCTTGAACCACAGTCCTCCTATCTCCACTTCCTCTAATTTAATTAAAGCGTCTTCTCTTTTTTAAATCTTTTTTTTCTATCAGTACTGGGGTTTGAACTCATGGTTTCACACTTGCTAGTCAGATACTCTACCACTTGAGCCATTCCTCCAGCCCTTTTTGCTTCTGTTATTTTTCAGATAGGGTCATATGTTTTTGCCCAGAGCCAGTCCCGGACCATGGTCCTTCTACCTCTGGCCTCCCATGTAGCTAGAATCACAGTATCGGTGCTCCATCTCGTCCCCCGTTGGTTGAGATGGGATGTCTGAGGTCTTGCTAATTTATTGAATTTATTTTCCATGCTGGCTTCGAGCATCAATCCTCCCAATCTCTGCCTCCTGATATCTGATTTCCAAGTAGCTGGGATTATCTCTTTGTAAAATCTTTAAATAATCACTGGAAATAATAATTATTAGGCTATCGCTCTGTTTTTTTCTAACTTTTCCTAAGAACATTTCCAAACGTTTAGAGTAGCTCTACAGAAAGAATAAGGGTATGTCAATCATAGTGTAGATGAAAGGTTATTTGGAAGGTTTGCTTGTTGTGTGGTTTTTCTAAATCATATTTAAACGTCTATACTGGTGTTGCTCACGTTTAACCTATGTAAGACTTATTCATGATTCCATGATGATTTCACAGCTGTTTAACTACTGCGCACGTGGGCCCCTCATTTGTACACCATTTTCCTTGTTTTGTTTTGTTTTTACTGGAGTTGAACTCGGGGCCTCATGCTTGTAAGGCAGGTGCTCTACCACTTGAGCCACTCTACCGGCACTTTCTTTTCTTTTTTTTTTTTTTTTTTTCATTTTGTTTGATTTGGTTGGCTGTGGTGCTGGGAATGGAACCCAGTGCCTCACGCTTGCTAGGCAAACATTTTATCATTTAGCTACACTCCTAGCCCATGACTCGGTGGTTTTTATGTCTTTGTCTATGTCTTGCTGCAACAGTCAATAAAGGAAGTAGATTAACTTTGCATCTTTCTTTTTAGGACAAGTCCTGGAGAATGTCTGTGGCAAAGACATCAGTGGATATTCTTAAAATTCTTTGTGACATTCAGAAAGGTAGTTTCTGTTTCTATTCCAAAGCTCATCCTTTTCAGATGGGATACCAATGACAATTCTCATCATACTTACAGTCTTCCTGATTGTCTTATGAAAGCCTTTCTTGCATTTTTGGGGTTTTTTTTTTTTTTTTTTTTTTTTGGTAGTACTGGGGTTTGAATTCAGGACCTCACACTTGTTAGGCAAGTACTCTATTTTTTTATTTAGTTTTAATCGAAAGTGTAAGAGGTAAAGCACGTAAAATCAACTTACTATTTTTTACATGCTTCAGTACGCTATTCAGTGCTTGACTAGATTTCTTTGGCACCCTATACTTACTGCTCATTTTTCTCATTTATCAGTTGGTTATGAACAGAAGGGGAAAGCCCTTTTAAACTTGAGCTTAAAACAGCTAAGAAAGTTACTCTTGGGGAAAGAAGAGCTAGTTTATTTCAGAATAATCACTATTTTTTTTAAAATAATCCTTAAACATTTCTTCTTCCAGAAGAATGGTTAGATTTACTTTTTTTCCAATTACATGTTTTTGCACTAAATTTTACCAGTATCAGGAAAGAACTGCTAAAGACTTATAAGAAAACCAAATGTAATTAATATTTTAGCTTTTAAAAATCCTGATAATGTAGTATCTTAGCCTGTCTTCTGTTGCTATAGCAAAATGCTTGAGGCCATGTGATTTACAAGAAGAAAGGTTGACCTAGCTGACAGTGCCAAGACTGGGGAGTTCTCAAGTATGGTGCCAGCATCTGCTTGGTTTCTGTTGAGGCCTTCTTGCTGCAGCATAACATTACAGAAGCCTGCAATCCCACTTGCTCAGGAGTCAGAGATCAGTAAGACCGAGGTTTGAAGCCAGCCCAGAGAAATAGTTCTGTGAGACCTCCTCTCAAAAAAACCCTTCACAAAAATAGGGCTGGTGGAGTGGCTCAAGGTGTAGGCCGAGATCAAGACCTAGTACCGCAAAAAAAAGAAAAGAAAAAAAAAAAAAAGAGGGCGTCATGTGCACAGACAGACCAAGCAAGGGCTCTAGACTTATGACATAAGCACACCTACAATCACCTGTGAATCCATGAGGGGATTAACCCATTCATGAGGACTCTGCCAATCACTTCCTAAATTCCTGCTGCCCAATTCTATTAGCAAATACATGACATTCTGGGGACATACTGACACTGTAGCATATGGGAATTTGTATGTCTGCTATAACTTGTAAAAATGTGATTACAGATAATCTACGGAAGAAGGACGAATGTGGAGAAATCTTGAAACTATTTAAAGTGGTGGCTGCTTTACAGGTAAAGATGGTGACTTATGCCGAGCGTTTTCACTTGACCATTCCTTTCATTTGACACAGAAATCTCTCCCTCCTCAACATTTTCCACACTGGCAACCAGAGACTTCACATACTGGCTCTTTTTCTTTCTCTGTTTTTCACAGTTACTGAGATATAATTCACATGCTGAACAGTTGATCCATGCAGTGATTTTGGTACTTTGTATTACTGGTTTTTAAAAATTACAGTAAAATATGTGTAGCATTAAATAACCCATTCTAACAGTTCTTCTGTATCATTACTTACATTCACTATGTTGTGCAAGCATCACCTCTATTTTTTCATCATTCCAATAATTCCACACTTCTCTCTTCCTCCAGGTCCCTTTAGCCTACTTTCTATAAATTTGCCTATTCGCACTATTTCATGTAAGTGGAATTACATAGCTAAGAGTGAAATAAAGAAATCCTGTGACTAAAAAGTTTGAATCCTCAGACAGTCACTGTCTTTGTGAAAAGACATCTTCAGAGTGAACCTCTCCATGTTTTTGGTGGTACTGTGATTTGCACTCAGGGCTAAGCAGGCACTCTACCACTTGAGCCACTCTGCCAGTCCTTTTTTGTGTTAGGTATATTTGAGATAGGATCTCGAGAACTATTTGCCCAGGCTGGCTTTGAACTGTGATCCTCCTGATCTCTTCCTCCTCAGTAGCTAGGATTACAGACTTGAGCTACCAGTGCCTGGCTCAGGAAGAAAGGAAAGAGGAAGGGAGGGAAGGAAGGAAGAAAAGCCTTTTGGAGGGTTAATCCTCTAAAAGAAAACCTTTTTTGGCAGTACTGGGGTTTGAACTCAGGGCCTCATATTTGCTAGGCAAATGCTCTACCACTTGAGCCACCCCTCCAGCCCTGAAAAGAAGGCATATTTTATTTTTGAATAGATTTTATGTGGATATGGTTCATAATTGAAAAGTTTTTTCTTTTTCTTTTTGGCAGTACTGGGGTTTGGACTCAGGACCTCACACTTGATAGGCAGGAACTCAACCACTTCAGCCACTCTGCCAGCCCCAGTTGAAAAGTTTTTTATAGGGAAAATGGTTATCTTGATAAACTTCAATATGTCTCTTTTACCATGATAGGAAATAAGTGAGTTTATTTAAATTAACTCTGTACTACATGTTGTAAACAGTTAATTCTTTAGTCCCAAAGAGAAGCTTAAAAAAGACTATACAGTACAGTGAAAAATAAGCCTGACTTCCATTTCCCATGGTAGCTGTAGCCCTTGTAACCAGCTTCTTGTATATCCTCCCACAAGCTCCCTATGGCTATCTAAGCAGAGAAACTTCTGTAGCTCCTCATAGAGTACAGTGACATGTAATTAATAGTCTTCAGTGGTATATTTATAGTGAATATCAGGAGTGAGTTCTCATATTGACTGCTGTATGTATGTATTTCTGCTTGATATAGGCCCTTCAGGAAAGATCTTATACACACACACACACACAAATTGGGGGAGGTAAGCATCAGTGTGAAAATTTTGTAAAATTTAAAAAACATTGCCTCTACCATAGATATATGTTATGTGCCATTAAAAATAACATTTATTGCTGGCAGAATAGCCTAAGTGGTAGAGTGGGTGCCTAGCGAGCATAGGGCCTAAGTTCAAACCATATTATTGCCAAAAATAAAAAAACAGTATTTATACTAGGCATGGTGACTCATACCTATAATTTCAGTTACTTGGGAGGCAGAGATTGGGAGGATCCTGGTTCCAGGCCAGCCTGGAGAGAAAAAGGAGCTCCTATCTCATCAAATAAGCCAGGCATGGTGGCACACATTGTAATCCCATCTATGCATGGGATCACAATTCAGGCTGACCCTGGTGAAAACATAACACTATGTGAAAAAATAACTAAGATGAGAAGGGCTGGGGGCGTAGCTTAAATGGTAGAGGACTTGACTAGCAAACATGAAGCCCTAAGTTCAAACCCCAGTACCATCAAAAATAATAGTAATAACATTTTTAACCAGGTGTGCTGGCTTTTAGTCCTAGCCTGGGTCTCCAAAATAATAACATGCCAAGTATGGTAGTGCATGCCTACAATCCTAGCATACAAGAGGTTCAGGCATGAAAGCAGACCATGAGTCTGAGGTCAGCCTAGGCTAGAGAGCAAATACCCTGAGAAAATCAAGACAATAATAATTATTATATTTCTAAAGTTTAAGACTGGGAAACTGGAAATGGTAATACATGAAATTATACAATGAAGCCATAAATGCTGATGAAATAAACTGAAAAAGTTACCAAAAAAATGACTAATGTTTATTAGGTTAAGCTCTTTTCAATGGGGATGGACCAGTTTTGCACTCCAGGAGACATCTGACAAATGTGGGGTCATTTTTGATTGTCACAACTGATGAAGAAGAAAGCACTATTGGCATCTAGTGTGTGGAGGCCAAAGATGCTACTTCAACAATCCTGCCATGCTCACTGGACAACAAAAAAAGTTGCAAGATTGGGAAACCTGCTCTACAGCATAGCATCAAAGCAAAGTGTCTAGCCTCCACTCCCTCTTGGTGCCTTTCTGTTGTCTTTGGTGGAATTTTAATTGAGTCAGAATAAACCCTCCATCTGAAGTTAGCAACCAACCAGAAGTTATGGAAGAGAATAAAGCTGAGTTCTTCAACTCTCCCAGGATAGAATTGCCCCAACCTAATGCTTAACCCCTGTTTTATAGTCATATTTCCTGTTTGCCAAACTTTTTATAATACTGCTATATTTTTATAACTTTTGGACTGTAAAGTCTTAAACTCTTAATTTACAAGCAAGTAGTCTCGGAAGGACAGGTGATAAAGACAGATGGGAGCCACAATGGTGATTTTTCACAGGGGATAAACTGACCAGACTTCAGACTTTGTTTTGCTTACCTTGGTACAGGAGAACTTTGAGGTCTTTCTCTCATTTGAAGATTACAGCAACAGTGCCCTGGTTGCAGATCTCCGAGAGCAACATATTAAAGCTCACGAAGAAGCACAGGCTAAGCACAAACCCATGAGTACCCCAGGGCCCGCTGCTACCAAGGGGACTGGGCTGAGCACCAGATCAAAGCTGCACAGACAGGCGCTGGCCCTGCAGGTGTCTACACAAGAGCTGGAGGCAGAGCTGGCCTTGAGAGCCTTAAGAGATGGGAAAGTGGGAGCAGCGCTGAACAAATGCAGGTGGTGCCCGGGTCCTCAGCTTGCATGGCTTGTCAGAAAGTAACATATGCCTTGTTTATTTAAGTCATAAGCCTTGGGACAGGGACTTTTTTTTTCTTCACAAAAGCAGTTGTTGGATTCTCATCTTGTGAGCCTGTTTTGGGCTTGTTTGTCAGAAAGTAGTGGCATAGAAAGCAAGTAGAAAATACTGTCTCGAGTTGGGTAAATTAACCATTGAGAGCTGGTTTGGGCTTTGGGAGGGGCACATGGAGTGGTGAGGGAGGAAGGGGACACCTGCCTAGCTAGCCAGATCAGCTGAATCAACCCTGGCCATCAATGGGGTGACAAATGTCCCAACCAGATCACCCTTATATCCTAAAGTAGCCACTGAGTGGATGCTACTGTGCTCTGTGACTTTAACGCTATCATTTCAAAAATGAAGCACATGGTGTCCCATGAAGATATTTTAAAAACTCTTCAGGTGTTGATGATAGCAGTTATGTACTAATGCAAGAAAGGCAAATGTATGTACTCTCGATCTGAGTGTTCTAACTATCCACACTTCCTTCCTCCCAAGGGACTTGTTTAAGTATCATTGCAATGCCGACACAGGGAAACTGCTCTTCCTGATGTGTCAGAAGCTTTGTCAGATGTTGGCACATGACGTCCCAATGACAGCACCTGTGGGACTGAATCTTCCTTCTGAGATTCATGAGCTTGCATGCCGAGCTGCCACCATTTGCAGTCCAGGTGACAAGATTGATAAGTCTGTCACATTCTTTGGCTCATTGTATAAATGTCTCCCAAATGCTCTTTACAACTGGACATTCCAGTAGCCACATAAGGGATAGTATCTCCTTCCTACAAAGTGACAACTAGAATTGATTCTCATTGGGGATTTTAGTTTTAAAATACCAAAAGCCAGTTGTGGTGGCTCACTCTTGTAATCACAGCACCTGGGAGGTGGAGGCAAGAGTGTTGTTAGGATTGCGTGGGTTACATAGCAAGACCCTGTCTCAAAAAAAAGCCGGGTCCCAGTGGCTCACACCTATAATCCTAGCTACTCAGGAGGCAAAGATCAGGAGGACCCAGGTTTGAAGCCAGCTATATGAGACCATATCTTGAAAAAAAACCCATCACAAAAAAACAAAAAAAAAAGGGCTGGTGGAGTGGCTCAAGGTGTAAGCCCTGAGTTCAAGTCCAGTACCACAACAAAAAATAAAATAAAAACTGAGTGTGGTGGCTCATGCTTGTAATCCTGGCTAATTGGGAGGTGGAGATCAGGAAGATCATGGTTCAAGACCAAACTGGGCAAAAATGTTTGCAAGACCCCCATCTCGACCAGTAAAAAACTAGGTGTGGTGGTTCACGCTTGTAATCCCAGCCACGTGGGAAATGTAAATAGGAGGATCATGGTCCAGTCAGTCCCAGTCATACACATGAGACCCTGTTCAAAAAACAATTGAAACTTAAAGGCTCAACTGGTTTAATGCCTGCCTACCAAGCACAAGGCCTTGAGTTCAAACCTCAGTATCTCCCTCCTCAAAAAAAACTAAGATATTTTAACAATGGCATTTCTGACGATTAGTGATACCTACTTTTATGGGACTGTGAGAGTCCTTGCCTCCCCATAGCTGACGTTGCTTTCAAGCCAAGCTTAAGGCAAAACTTGACCTTCATTTAGACTAGTCAAGGCTGTCTGGAAACTTTTCTACTTACCATGTGACTTTCCTTAGAGTTTTAAGTGGTAACTATAAAATGGTTTTTTCCATTATTCTAAAGACCATACAATCGGAGTCTGATGGTGTTTCTCCACTTTCTCACAGGTTTTTTACTGGACGCTTTAGAGCTGTGTAAATACACTTTAGCTGCCGTGGAGCTTTCCAGACAGTGCCAGATGGACGAGTGCGGAATGCTAATGAAAGTAAATCACTAAAACTCCTGCCAACCAGTTATGCGCCATTTTAAATCCCTTACACCTTTGACAAAAATACTGAGTCTGCCACTTGTATTTTCTTATTCTGCATTAGAAAATCAAAGGACACAAAGCCACTTCTCTTTCCCAGTCAACATTTTTGGCCGTAATTTGCACTGTCTTTTGAAACATTGAGACCTCTGTGAACATTATCCTTTGTTACAGTTCAATTTGAAAATGCCATTGTTTTAAGCCAAGCACAATAGTACATACCTGTAATCTCTCCGCTCTGGAGATAAAGGCAGAAGGCACATGAGTTCCAGGCCAGCCCCAGTTACAATGGTAAGACTGTGTCTGAAAAAAATTAAAAGAATGCTTTTAAAAGGCATAGACTAGAAGAAACAGTATAATCATCCTTTCAGTGTCCGAGGGGAAACCGGCCCCAAGGCCCCTTACAGATGCCAAGTCTGGCTGCTCAAATCTCTCATCTAAAGTGGCATGGTATTTGCACGTAATCCTTTTAACTTAAATCACCTCTAGATCAGTCATGGTCCCTCATACCATGTCAATGCTGTGTAAATAGTTTCTGTTGCTTAGGGAATAATGACTTTCGAGAAGTCTGTGTGTGTTCAGCACAGACACAATTTTATTTTTCTGTATAATTTTGATCCATCATTGGCTGCCTGTGTCGCTGTGGATCCCGTGGTTATAGAGCTGCTTAGCTCTCCTGGCTCTGCTTTCTGTGGGGTGAAGGTGGTATCTGGTTTTCAGTGTACTCACTTCTGTCTTTCCTGTTTGTTTTGGCATTTAGACTTCTTTCGGAACTCATAAGGATCCCTATGAAGAGTGGTCTTACAGTGACTTCTTCAATGAAGATGGAATTGTTCTTGAGTCCCAGGTGGTGCTACCACTCATTTATGAGTTCATTTCATCCATGGTACCTCTCACAGGTAAATCTCACTTGGATTGTATTTTCTATGCATTTTGCTAGTTACAGCCAGTGATATGGATGAGTTTCACAGGTGTAAGAAGCCAAGTGCAGAAAAGTATATATTATATATGATTTCATTTACATAAGGTGCAAAAACAGGCTAAAAGTAAGCCATGCAGTATAAAGTCAGGATAATGGTTACTCTCAGGGGTGGGTAATGACTGCAGAGGGGACTTCTGGGTGCTGGTAATGTTCTGTTTCTTGATCTTAGTGTTGCTGTATTTAGTTTGTGGAAATTTACCAAGTTGTACTTTTTTTTGCATTTTTCTCTGTGTTCTTCAGTGGGTTTTGTTTGTTCGTTTATTTTGTTTTTTATTTGAGTCAGGCTCTTCCTATGTAATTCAGGTTAGTCTCAAAGTTGCTAGTTAGCCCAGGCTGGCCTCAAATTCATGACCCTTTTGCCTCTACCTCCCGAGTGCTGGGATTATAGGTATATACCACCATACCCAGCTTTAAGTTTTTGTTTTTGGCTTTTTTTTAAGCAGCAATTTGCTTTAAAATGTTATTTGATAGTAGCATATTTAAATATTTGAATCAATGTGCTTTTTAATAGACTTACTTTATTTAGTGTTATTTCATTTATTATCTCTTGTAGAAAGCAAAAGACATCCTTTGGATTCTACAAGTTTGCCATACTGCTCCATTAGTGAAGGTATTTAACATTAGAAATATATAGCATGGTATTGTAATTTTATAAATATACAAATACAGAAATTGCTTGGAATTTTGAATATGAATGTGACTTAGCATCCTTTATGTAATTATTTAGTTATTTCATTGTCATTCTCCCGGAAGGTTAGACAATTGTGTGGCTTGGCTGGTAGTATTAACATTTATGAATCTGTTCATATATTTTAGAGATATGGTCTTCATATGCTAATTTTTGAAAATAGGCAAAGTATAATCAAAGCATCTCATTGTCTTGTAGACTTAGTTTTTTTCTGATTTAAATACAGCCTCATCTCAACTCTCTCATTAACTAAGTTAGAGAATGAACTCTGTGACTGTTACCTGCATTGAAAAAGCAGGCTGTACCTGAGAGCACTTTCCTATGATCATTCTTTTTAAAAAAGAAATAACACTTAAAATCCTTTTGTCACGCTGCAGGCGACAACCTCATCTTACCCATTATCAATTCCATCTCGGCCCTTCTTCAGAACCTTCAGGAATCTAGCCAGTGGGAGCTGGCCCTAAGATTTGTGGTTGGCTCCTTTGGTACCTGTCTCCAGCACTCTGTGTCAAACTTCATGAATGCCAGTTTGAGTGAAAAGGTATACTTTCAGGAACATATGCTTGTCTTGGCCAGTGCTGGTGGTTGTAATCCTAGCTGCTTGGGAGGCTAAGGTCAGGAGGATTGAGGTTTGAGGCCAGCCTAGCCAAACACTTGCAAACCTCCATCTCCAAAATAACCACAAAATGGACTAGAGGTGTGGCTCAAGTGGTAAAGCACCTGTAAGTGTGAAGCCCTGAGTTCAAACACCAATCCCAACAACAACAACAACAAAAATGCTTTAACTTAGAGTGAATAGAGATGCAAAAGTACTGCCAACCAAAGGAGTTTTGAGTCCCCACTTAAAAGCACTCAGTGGGCCTTTTGCTGATGACCCATTGAGCTGTCAAGAAGGGGCAGAGTAAAAACATTACTTTTGGGTGAAGTCATGTTTTGCCTTAATCAGTGGTTGACAAGGTGTCAAAGGAAAAAGAAAAAAAAAGGCAGAGGAATTTGGAGTCTACACTTTCCTGTTTGACCTTATAGCAAGGAAATTAGTCATTTGTCAAATGTAAGATTCAGGTACAATGCTAGGGTGTTTGCATGCAATTCCATATTTCTTTGCAGTTCTGGGATTTGAACTCGGGGCCTCACACTTGCGAGATAGGTACTCTACCACTTGAGCCACTCTGCCAGCCCTTCCATATTCTTCAGAACAACCCTAAGAGTCTCCATTTTGCAAATATAGAAAGTGATTCAGGGAGGTGAAATAAATTATCCAAGGCTTTAGGTTATGTTGATAATTTGCTTCCATCCTAAACTCAGTACAGTATTGGTCTGCTGTTTGTTTTGTTGTCACTCAGATTATAATTCTGTAAGACAAACTTCCTGTTGATGGGTTACTTATAAGCTGAATCTCAGAGGGAATTGTCTTCATTTCCACTACTCTTTTAATATGTATCAAGTGTCAATGCTTTTTCAAATTTTATTTGTTTTGGTGGTACTGGGGTTTGAACTGAGGGCCTCATGCTTGCTAGGTAAGCATCTACCACCTGAGCCATACCTTCAGCCCAAAATGTGCCATTTTTTAAAATCAACTTTATTGAGGTATAGCTTTGAAAATTAAAATGCGCATGTTCTAAATATGTCAACCAGTGTATTCACCTTATTACCAACTCCACAATCAAGACATTTTTTCTAGCAGTATTGGGATCGGAACTCAGGGCCTCAAGCTTGCTAAGCAGGTGCTTTACCACTTCAGCCACACCTCCAGCCCTAACATACAGAGTATTTTTTGCAGTTTCTTTTTATCCCATCCCTGTCAACCTCTCATCTGATGCTGGCTTTCTCACTTTAGGTTAAATTCCCAATACTTTTTTGCATAAAATCATGAATTTTCAAATTTCCTTGATAGTTGAGAATTTTCAGGATGACACGGAGAAGTGGACCTAAAGATTCTTTTGTTCTTTTCTGAAAGTTACTTGGAGAGGCCACATTAGTAAATTTAAGGAATGTTGTTATGGAATTGAAAGAAAAATCCATCATGTTTATCAGAGGAAATGCCACAACACTACTGCACAAAGTAAGTACTCATGTGTTTTATTTACCTGTTTATTTGCTTGTTTGCTTTGCCTTTTACCACAGCCAACAGTGCACATGGCTCAATAGTTTATAATTCAGTTACCATTCAAAAACATCAAGAACCAGTATGATAGCGAATCATTGTTTAATGATGAAAAATGACACTACTGAGCATTTGTGAAGTAGTGAATCATTTCTACTCTGCCCATGATGTCAGCTATTTATTTTGTGGACTAAAGCATCCCAGTGATCCTTGTGGCAGTTTATTTCTGTGCAGGAATTTCTATTCCAGAAATACTAATTCTCCTGTAGCCTTTTTTTTTTTTTTTTGACAAAGTAAGACTTTGTGAAAAAATGTTGACATTGGGCATTTAGATTCTATTTGTCAGATTGCTTTTTCAAAATTTTTTTTTTTGAGGCTTTAGCAAGGACTTATTTTAGTATAACAGGATAAGATGGGGAGAAGAGAAACATTTCTTGTTCCCCATGCAGGAAATTGGAGCAAAGACACCTGAAGGTTTTTTTATTTGGGAATACTTTCAGAGTTTCAGACAAGTTTTAAAACTGGTACAAAGAACTCTAGTATACCCTTATTACTTTAGAATTTTCTGATATGCTGTCTCTCCTTCTATTATGTAAGGTCATTTTATATTATATATATGTGTGTATATGCATATATACATATATGTGTACATACGTTTGTTGTTTTTATTTATTTATTGCCATACTGATATTTAAACTTAGGTCCTTGTGCTTGCTTGGCAGGTGCTCTACCACTTGAGCCATACCCCCAGTTTATATGTGTTTTTTCCAAATCATTTAAGACTTAAGTTGCATACACTACACCTCCTTCCCTATAAATATTCCAGGGTTTATGTCCCAAGAGTAAGAATGTTCTCTTACATAACGGCAGTACCATTTCAACCTCATTAAATTTAATAACTGTATAATACTTGTATTAACTTGCTGTTCGTATTACAATTTTGTCTGTTTACCTAGCGATGTCCTTTATAGCATACTTACCCTTTCAGTACAAGTTCTAGTCTAACATGTATTTCATGAGTCAGCAATTGGTAGCAACACATCCAGCAGTTTGCTTTTGTAAATAAAGTTTTATTGGAACACAACTATGACCATTCTCGTAAATACTGTCTATGGCTATTAAGGCTGCTTTCATGCTGCAAGAAGCAGTGATCTGTAGCAATAGAGACTGTATGCCTTCGAGGCTAAAATCTTTGCTATGTGGACATTTTATAAAAAGTGCCAACTCTTGATGTTATGTTTAGTGATCACCCTTTATTCTTCTTTAGTCTGGAAATCTTTACCATTCAAGTTACAAAATGTCAGGGCTTGTAATGACTCATGCATTTATTTTTGCAGTTCTCTGGATCTTTTTTATTGTGCTTCATCGGAAACCCTTGGTACTACGTCCATTTTTTCTTCCACTTTCTTTTTACATTTTAAGTATCTAGAGAATACTAATTTTTTTTTTTTGAGAGCAAGTAAAACAGGAGAGTTTAATTATGATCATGTTGTGCCCAACAAATCATTGCTGGTTTTTTTGTTCAGTTGATTCTAAGCCCTAAATGCTAAGTTTACTCATTTAGTAAATAATTTTTTGTTGTGGTTTAAAAAAAAAGCTAGGTGCCTGTGGTTCACACCTATAATTCTAGCTACTCAGGAGGCAGAAATCAGGAGGATTGCAGTTCAAAGCCAGCCCAGGCAAATAGTTCCTCGAGACCCTATCTTGAAAAACCGATCACAGAAATGGGCTGATGGAGTAGCTCAAAGTGAAGTCCCTGAGTTTAAACCCCAGTACCACAAAAAAAAAAAAAGAAAAAGAAAAGACATGTAACTTAATGTTTATCACCTTAACCTTTTTTCTTGGCAGTGCTGGGATTTGAACTTAGTACTTCATGCTTACAAGGCAGGTGCCCCACAGCCTGAGCCGTGCCTCTAGTGTTACCATTTTTTTCTTTTCTCCTTTTATTTTATCATTTTTACATTTACTTACATGTGTATACATTGTTTGTGCTCCTTCCCCCCACCCCAGCCATTTTGTATTGCATAGTTTACTAAAGTATGGTTGCATTGTATTAAAACAGATATCCAGATCTTTTTGATTTTTGCATTTCTGAACCTTTATACCCTTTTTGCCTTGCAGCTTTGGTAAGCGCCATTCTGTTTATGAATACGAGTTCTAGAGATAGCATTTGTTTTTTGTGACTGGCGTATTTCAGTTAGCGCAATGTCCTAAAGATACATCCATGTTGTTCATTAGATCTCCAGAATATATTCATCTGTGTTAAAGAAACTTTGCACCCTTTCGCCACAATCTTTTCATTCCCACTCCCAGTCCCTAGTAACCATCATGTTACTCAGTGCTTCTATAAATTTGACCTTGTTAGAGTCTATGAAGAAGTTAGATCTTACAGTGTTTGTCTTTCTATGGCTGTCTTTGTTCACTTGGCATAATAATATCCTCCAGATTCATCCATGTTATTGCAAATGGCAGGATTTCCTTTTAAAGACTGAATAATACTCCATTGTATGTTTATGCTATGTTTTCTTTATTCATTCATCTTTATTCATCCATCCATTAGCGGACATGTAGGTTGTTTCTTTTGTGTGTGTGTGTGTGTGTGTGTGTGTGTGTGTGTGGTCCCAGGGTTTGAATTTCCTAGGCAGGTGCTCTCAGATGATTTCTGTTTCTTGGTTACTGTGATTAATCCTGCCCTAGACATGGGAATGCAGGTGTCCCCTGACGATCTTAATTCTTAACTCCTTTGGATGTATAGTCAAAGTGGGATTGCTCAATCACATGGTGGTTCTTTTTTACATTTTCTAAAGTATCTGTTTTCTATAATGATTGTACCAATTTCCATTCCCACCAGCAACATGTAAGAGTTCCCTTTTATCCATTATCCAGCCTGGCCAATACTTGTTATCTCTCACTTTAAATAGCAGCTATCCTAACCTGCAAAGTGATATCACATCATAGGTTTGGTTTGTATCATTTCTGATGATTAAATGATACTGAGTGTCATTTCGGGTTTTTGTTTGTTGGTTGATTGGGTTTTTGTATTTTGATTTTTTGAGACAGTCTCCCTATGTTGCCCAGGTTGGCCTCAAACTTGCAGTTCTTCTGCCTCAGCATCCCAAGTGTTGAGATTACAGATTTGGGCAACCATGTCTGGCTTTCTTTGCTTATTCTTTCCTTTTTTGGGGGGTAGATCTGTATTTTGAACTCAGAGCTTTGAGCTTGAAAAGCAGGCACTCTTCTACTTCATACCCCACTGGCTTGTTGCTCCCTGAGTTTGTGTCCTGGCACAGTCAGTCATGAGTGAAGGTGCCGGACAAGCAGTTAGGAGTTAAAGCAAGTTCATGCCACAGACTAGGAATTAAGAGTAAAGCAAGCACAACATTTATTGAAAGGATAGGAAAGCACCCTGATGGGTGGGACTTAGTAAAAAAAAAAAAAACTAAGCAAAGAGTGGCTGAAGTCTAGGAGATGATATGTGGCATTAACTGGCTTAGGTCTAACTGTTCTACCTTGTAACTGTATTTGCCACCTGTCTGCCCCCCTCCTTATCGAATTGAGCATTCCAAGAAGGTCTGGTCAGCTTGCCCTGGACTTGGGGCCCACATCTTGCAGCTGCATTTTGTTATTTTGGTTAGAGGTTTGTTATTTTTGTGAGGAACCTGTTGCTTCTCATGTCCCTTTTACATGTCTGTTTCTGAAACATCTCTCTCACCCAAAATGGAGTCACCTCTGTCATTGCTTCCCTTATAGAGCCACACCTCCAGTCCATTTTGCTCTAGTTATTTTGGAGATAGGGTCTCTTGAAGAATTTGCCCCAGCTGGCCTTGAACCTTGATCCTCCCAAGCTCAGCCTCCCAATAGCTAGGATTATAGGAATGAGCCATTGGTGCCTGGCTCTTCTTGTTCTTGTTTGCCTTTTGTATATCATCTTTGGAAAATGTCCATTCAAATCCTTTGGTTTTTTGTTTGCAGGGGGTTTTTTTGGTTTGTTTGTTTTGTTTTGTTTTTGTCTTGTTTTTTATGGGTTTTTTTGGGGGGGGTTGGGTACTAGGGTTTGAACTCAGGTCTTCACACTTGCAAAACAGGTGCTCTACTGGTCGAGCCACACCTCTAGTCCATTTTCCTCTGGTTTTTTTGGAGATGTGGTCTTACAAACTATTTGCCCAGGCTGGCCTCCATCCTCCCGAAGCCACTGACACCCAGCTTTCTTAATGGATTTTCACTATCATCTTGCCCAGTCTGTCCCAGAACTCTGGTGGCTGACCCCCTGAATAGTTGGGATTCCATGTGTGTACCTCTACACTTGGCTCCTTTGCCCATTTTTAAATGGGCTATTTGATTTGTAGGAATTCTTCCTATATTGTGGATATTATCCATATCAGGTATATGATTTGCAAATATTTTTTTCCCACTTGGTGAAATAGTAGGGTCGAGAGCCTATTTGGATCGGGTCCAGAAGAACCTGGACAGGAGACAATCCTTTGCAGTAATTTTTTTTTTTTTCCCAGTGCTGGGGATTGAACCCAGAGCCTTGGGCTTGTTAGGCAGTAATTTAAAAGTGAGTGGAGAAATAGGGAAGTATCAGGAGGACAGTAATTTTTGTTGTTAAGATAGGAGATAGAGTATTGAGGCACCAGAGAAAAACTGATTAATGGTTCCAAGAGAGAGGACTTAGGCAGGAGCAAACTCTTATAGAGGCAGATGGAAAAGGATAGAATTAGTGAGCACATGAAGCTCTGCCTCAGGTGGATAGGGATGGGAGGGAAAGCAGAGTACAAGGAGGATATATTCTAAGGAATGCCTTGTTAGGAGATTCTGTCATTGTGCAAACATTAGGCACTTATGCAAAAAGTGCAGTAAGACCTTATGGAACCACTGTGGTATATGCATTCTCTTTAGTGACCAAAACGTCAATGTGAAGCCCACACCTCTACTTGAGTTCAGATGCAGGGGACTGGTAAATTGAGTGGTGAAAAGATGGGGTAGCCATCCTCTGCTTGCTTCTGATTTCTCAGGGAGGCAAAAAATGTTACCAGCTTTGAATGACAAAATAGAGGAATTTGTGGAAGATCTGCAGAGAGGGGTTGAGATAACCACAGATGGGAGAAGAGAGTGAGACTTCTGTGCCCTATGCAGCTTGGTATAGTGGCTTTCCTTAAACCTAAGCAAACACAATGGAACTGTGTCATTGTAAGTAACTTCATGAAACACTTGCTCTTTTATAAGACTTACAATTCAATTTGGTGGCAAAGGAACCTTAAGATGTGTAACCCTGTTATGATTGTGAAGAAATTGCTTCATTCAGTGCTTTCTTCCCATAGGTATTCAATTGTCGCCATGTGGATCTCGACCTGGCCTTGGGTTACTGCACTCTCTTACCTCAAAAAGACGTGTTTGAGAGCCTCTGGAAGCTCATAGATAAAGCATGGCAGAATTACGACAAAATTCTGGTATGCCCTGAGCAAGCACACCTTCCATTCTTGAAGTATTAAAGATGTGAAACTGACTTGATAGTGGGTCTTAAGGATTTAGTTGGACAGATGTTGAACAAACTCACAGGGTTTCTGCCAGCCTTGGTTTGGTGATGAGCCCTGCTTGACCCAAAGAATTAAGATGATTTTTGGGGTTTTTTAAATCTATGTAGGGCTGGCAGAGTGGCTCAAGTAGTAGAGCACCTGCCTAGCAAGCATGAAGCCCTGAGTTCAAACTCTAGTACCACTAAAAAAATAAATAAAATTAAAAAAAATTTTAAAGTCTGTATGCAGCCTTAGAACCTCACACATTATGATTATTCTAGTGTATTTGACATCCATAAGTCAGGTTTTTATGTAGGATAGGATTTTGTTTGTATGTTTTTACAGTTCTGTGAATTTTATTATTTGTATAAATTTGTATGACTACTGCAGTCAAGATACAGTTTTGTCATCCCAAAAGTTCTCTTGTGCTATCTTTTTTTTTTTTTTTGGCAGCTCTGGGTTTTGAACTCTGGGCTTTACTCTTGCTAAGCAGGTACTTCTACCGCTTGAGCCACTCAGCCAGCCCTTATAGGACAGATTTAAAAGATAGAAAACTGCTCTTGGAAGTTGGTTTTTTTCTTTATTTATTTTAGACTTATTTGGGGGGAGGGGAGGGCATGTACTGTGGCTTGAATTAAGGGCCTCAGGCTTGCTAAGCAGGCATTCTTACCCCTTGGGCCACTCCCTTAGGCCTTTTTTGCTTTAGTTTTTAGGTAGGGTCTCACGTTTTTAGCAGGGCCAGGCTGGACCATAGTCCTCCTATCTGTAGCTGGGATCACAGGCTTACTACAACACCTGGCTTCTTTTTTTTTTTTTACTCCACCCTGTGTCTCCCCATTCACAACATAGACCAGGCACAGTGTCTGGGTTTGAGTTTACATAGGGTAGGTTTACTTTCCCTCCTCTTTCTATACAGTTAGTCTAAAAACACATCCTATAGTAAGCACCAGGAGACAAAGCCTGGCTTCTTAATTGAGATGGGGCCTTACTGTCTTATTGCCTGGTCTGGCCTCAAACCATGATCCTCCTGATCTCTGCCTCGTGAGTAGCTAGGATTACAAGGCATGAACTACTCTACCAGTCCTTTTTTAAATGTTTGAGATGGAGTCTCACTATGTAACCCAGGCTGTCCTTGAACTCACATCCTACTGCCTCAGCCTCCTGAGTGCTGGGATTACAGTCCTATAGTACTATACCCAGCTTCTGGTTGATTGTAAAATTTGCTTCTTATGGGGATTTTGCATACAGGGTATTAAGACTGGCCTCTTCTTATGAAGGAAAACCAGACTAAAAATGCATGGTATTATACAAAAAGCTGAGTTATTCAATGCTACATAAGAGATAATGACTGAGCATACAGCAACATGTGACATTCTACACTGTTACCACAAGGAAAGGTTACAGGATTTGTTTGGTTGAGGTTTTTTGTTTGTTTGTTTGTTTTTGGTGGTACTGGGGTTTGAGGTCAGGTACTGGCCGTTGCTAGGCATGTGCTCTGCCACTTAGCCTTTAGCCCTTTTGGTTTTCTGGTGCTAAGGATTAAACTCAGGGTTTCACATGTGCTGAGTATGTGTGGTACCACTGAGCCACATCCTCAGTCCGTGGTTATGATTTTTATTGTTGAGGTTTATCTAAAAGGTATTGAAAGAACTTACTCTATTTGCAATAGAATTTTAATCCTGTTGTAATTTTTTAGGCACTGTCTTTGGTGGGCTCCCAGCTGGCCAGTCTCTATCAGGAGATTGAAATAGGGCTGCAGTTCCATGAAGTCAGTACCGATGCCCAGTGGGGTGTCCGTCTTGGTAAACTTGGTGTGAGTATCATTTTGCTACGATGTTTCTTCCGTCTTGATAATACTCGGTAGAATTGAAGGCAAAGGTCTCATTGTCCTTTACCTTTAGTGAGAGACTGGTATGTATTGATGCATAAATTTTGGTTATATTGAGCACACAAAGAAATAAGGACCCTCTTGCCTAATAACTTTTTTATATATATTTTAGGGAAGTTAAAAGGAGTCTGGGGCTGGCAGAGGGGCTCAAGTGACAAGATCAACCTGCCTAGTAAGCATGAGGCCCTGAGTTCAAACCTCAGCCACCAAACAAAAATAAAAGAAAAGCTTTGACTGGGGATGTAGCTCAGTGGTTTGTTTGCCTAGCATGCACAAGGCCCTGGGTTCAATCTCTGGTACCACAAAAAGAAAAAGACTGACATTTCTGTCTGCCTAGCTTACTGATTTACAGGCTATTTTGAGTATCAATTGACATGCTGACATTTATTCTCTTTCGGGCCTAATCATTAGCTTCATATTTTTGTTTTCTGCTGCTGTTGTTTGATTAAACTTTTTATTTTTATTTTTTATTTATTTATTTTTCTTTTCGAAATAGGCTTAGCTGTGTTTTCCAAACTGGTATGGAACTCCTGGGCTCAAGCAATCCTCCCACTTCAGCCTTCCAAGTAGCTGAGATTACAGGAAAACACCACTATATCTAGCTGCATTAAAGATAGTATTAAAAAGAGAGAGGTGGTGCCTCCCTGTAATCTCAGCTCTCAGGAGACTGAGGCAGGAGGATCACGAGTTTGAGGGCCTCTTGGGCTATGTAGTGAGACCCTTCCTCAAAAACAAGCAAATAACTCCTCCCCACTCAAAAAAAGAATACATACAGGCATGCCATGCTTTGGATTTTGCAAAATGACAAACAAATAAGCTTCATTTCCTTTACCAAAAATGTAAAATATTTTATTTTATTTGCAAACAGTTGATTCATCAGGAAGGTGACCACTGCAGAGATGACATGTGATTTTTGTAGTAAAAGTAATAGTAAAGCTTATTAGTAAAGGAATTTAGCATACCATGATAAAAGTGGGGAGAAAAAAGACTGACATGTTTCGAAAACTGATTCCTATGGTGTTCCACTGACATTAACCTAACCACTTCCTAACCACACTTTTCTTTTTTCCTTGTGGTATTGTGGATTGAACTCAGGCTCTCGGGCTTGCTAGGCGAGCACTCTACCACTTGAGCTATGCCCCCAGCCCTTTTAGTTTTTATTTCGTTTGAGATAGGGTCTCAATAACTTTGCCTGGGCTGTACTTGAACTCATGATCCTCTTGCCTATATCTCCTGACAAGCTGGGAATACAGGCATGTACCACTACACTCACCTAACAATCAAACTTTCCTGGTAAAAAGGCAAAGGTTAGGTTGGCCAAGAGGGATATTTGGTTGCAAAGCCAGATACCTCAGACCTCAGTACAGTGACTGAGTTGGGCAACATGATAAAAATGAAAGTTGGAGGTCAGGAATGGTGGTACCTGCTTGTAACCCCAGTACTTTGGGGTCTCAGGCAGGAGGATTTTGAAGTTTGAGCCTAGACTGAGCTACAGATCAAGTTCTGGGCCAGCCTGGGCTAACTAACAAGAACTCTGTCTCAAAAATGAAGAGAAAAAAAAATTTCTTCCTAAAAAAAAACAGTTAAAGGCAAGTCATACTCTTGCCTTTATTTGGATGCATTTCCATCCTGAGGTTTTTCATTTTGCTCTTTTCATTTCTAGATTTCTTTTCAGCCAGCTTTCAGGCAAAACTTTCTCACCAAGAAAGAATTCACTAAAGCTCTCGTAGAGAACATAGATATGGACACAAGCCTCATTTTGGAATATTGCAGGTAATTCTTTAAAGTTTAAAGAATTTTTTTAGGATTTTTGCTGTTGGCTCAACCATCTTGTGCTCCTCACTTCAGAACACAGTAGTCAAGATTACTATTACATGTGGCCTGTAGACCTCTGGTATTTGTTTTTTCTCATGCCCAAACTAAAGAAACTAAAGCTAGAATAAACTGTATGATAACACCTTTTTAATTCATGTTTCCCAAACTTGCCTCATGATAAACATATTCCTAAAAATACTGATTTCTGAGCGAGGCATGGTGGTCATGCCTATAGTCCCAATACTGGGGAGGCTAAGGCAGGAAGTTTTCAAATTCCAGACCAGTCTGGGCTACATAGCAAGGCCCTGTCTGAAAAAAAAATCAGATTTCTGATCCTCTCCCTGGCAGTTTTAACTCTTGCTGGTCTACACCGAGCCCCAGGGATCTCAGATCTTTCATAGGTGCTCCAGATGATTCCCAAAATAAGAAAAGTTTGGGGATTGGGGATATTCCTTATTTATTTATTTTGGTGGTACTGAGGTTTGAATTCAGGGCTTTGCTCTTGTAAAGCAGGTGCTTTAATGCTTGCACTTCATCTCTAGCCCAGGTCTTTTCTTTTTTTTTTTTTTTTTTTCTTTAAATCTTTTGTGTATACTAATGTGCACTTTATAAAATTTACCAAAAGCAGAATTGCACTTCACCTATCACTTTGTAGCATGTTATTCAATTAACAATATGTCTTCCACAGTCAACATACACAGCTCTTCCTTTTGGTTTTTTCCTTTTTTTTTTTTTTTTTGTTTAGTTTATAGAAATTTATTAAAATTAACCCCCATAGAGTGGGGGAAAAAAAAAAAAACTATTAGTACAATGCTGTAACCAACTAAACTAACCAGGCAAGGCAAATTATTAAAACTGTTGACGTTTAATGTGCTTTCAAAGAGTATCCATCCATCTTCCAAAAGGTAAGCTGCATGTTTGCTGCCACCATATAAGCCCTAAAAGCCTAAATTACCAAAGTCTTCCTCTTACCTGTTGATCCTTCTTTAATGGATACATTATTTAGCCATTCTCTCATCAATGGATGGTTGAATTGTTTCAAATCTTTTTTGAGACAGGGTCTTACTATGTTTTGTTTTGGTGGCATTGGAGTTTGAACTCAAGGCCTCACACTTGATAGGAAAGCACTCTACCACTTAAGCCACTTCCCCAGCCCCAACTCTTAATGATCACAAACATTTATACAGTGGATATCTTTCTTTGTGTGCTTATGTGAAATTTGCTGATGTATAATAAATATTTTCAATGTTACTACAGATTTCTTCCCAATATTATACCTGCTTACATACCCATCAAGAATAATATCGAATTTTTGTTGTTGTTGGGGTAGGACTGGGGTTTGAACTCAGGGCTTCTCACTTACAAAGCAGGCGCTCTACCACTTGAACCACACCTCCAGTCCAAGAACAATATCTCATTTTTAAAAGACAGTAATTATCTTTGATGATACATAGTATATCTGATTACCAGGCTAGAAAACAGAAAGGTAAAACTTCAGTGATGGGAGTGTGTCCCTGAGGTGTCCCTTGTAACCTTTACATAGGAATGTGTGCATTTGCAGAGATCAGTGTGTAATCACATACTCCTTTCAGCACATTTCAGTTGGACTGTGATGCAGCTCTTCAGCTATTCATTGAAACACTGCTCCACAACACTAATGCCAGCCAGAGCCAGGGAGATGCAGCTCTGGTGTCTGCAAAACAGCAGCATTCCAAACTCCTGGCCAAAGCCCTCGAGATGGTTCCCTTACTGACAAGCACAAAAGATTTGGTCATCAGTCTTAGTGGAATACTGCGGAAGGTAAGTGAATGGGGAAATGAGCATAGGGATCGTCTCCAACATCCCTCCCACCCTTGCTGAACTAGGTAGATCTAATGACAACTGGATGTGGATGGCCTGTATTTTTATCCAGCAAGTTGTTTGAAGCAGCAGTTTTCCCGTCTTTTTTTTAATCAGGAGCACTTTTTTCAGATATTTTTAAAATGGCAAACACTCTTTGATAAAGGATCAAATTAGAAAGGTATAAGTCAGAAAGAGAAATTTCTCTACAATCCTATTCTCAATAGAGCGGATATTTTATCTCTTTAGAGGTAAGTGTCAATAGTTTGGTTTAGTGACAATTCTACACTAAATATACTATCCTCTGCTATAGTGACTTTATTATTCTACTATATAGTTAAAACATACCTCATTTAACCAGCCTTTTATAGATGGACATTTAAACTGTAAATTTTATTATTATAAATTGCCGCAATGGATATATTTATATGTGTGTTTTCCTACTCGTCTGATTTTTTGAGGAAATCTTTTGAGAGTTGGGATTTTTAAGTCAAAGGATAGTTTGAGGAGACTGAGGGAGGTTGGTGACAGGAGAATTAAGATTATAAGATTGCAAGAGGAAATTCAGTTTTATATTACGCCTTTAATTCAGCCAAAAATTATATAAACTTTCTCAAACTTTCTAGGTACAATAGACCCTCTTCCCACTTTGACAGTCTTGTGATTTTAGTTGAAATTTAAAAAATAGATAATAATGCTGAGTGGGAGAAACAAAGAACAAAACTAATGGTATATGCAAATACCACCCAGTTAATTATTATATTATGGCATACAGGTAGAGCTAAGACAGAGTCCTTTGTGAAACTCTTGCATAGAGGCCTACATTGTAATTAAGCCATTTCCAAGAAAAGGTCAATTTCTTCCCGTTCTAATTTCCCATCATAAATAGAAGAAGTAGAACTTCAATTTCAAAATTTTATAAAATTGTGAGGTTTTGACTATTACAACACTATTGCCTTTTTAAGCTTTTTTGATAGATTTCAAGACATTTTTAAGACGTATGTTTATCCTAATAGAGAAAATTTTAGATGTAAGAAAGTGTTAGTTTACTTTTAAAGAATAATTAATCTAGAGTGTAGTGTGCACTGAAAACATTGACTAAAACAATCCATGTGTCAGAATCTTTCCAACATTTTCATATATTTTGTTTTTATACAGTTGGATCCCTATGATTATGAAATGATTGAAGTTGTCCTGAAAGTTATAGAAAGAGCTGATGAAAAGATAACCAACATTAATATCAGTCAGGTATGACAAATTAATATTAAAGATTTGGAAATTATCTTTATGCTTCTATTTGGGTAATATATATCATGACAGTTATTCAGTGTCTCTCTGGATTATCCTGAGCGCCCTTTCGGCTCTATACTTTATTTTAGATCTTTATCTTTGAAAGGAATCGTAGCAAAAAGTTGTTCATGCTGTCCCTAAATATCATTTATCTTATTATTTTTGCTATAAATTGGAAAAAAATGACTAAAGGACTAATTGTAAAGAATTAAGGCAACATTATTTGTCATCTAGCAAGAATAAAAGGACATGGGGCTTGCTAGACACCAGTGGCTCACACCTGTAATCCCAGATACTGAGGAGGCAGATATCAGGAGTATCATGGCTGGAAGCCAGCCATTAGTTTCTCCTGGTGTGACTTCTTTAATTATCATATAAATTAGGTTTAGAAGGATAACATTACAGGGAAAACTAGAAAAGGTTTTGATGGTCTTTTTTTTCTTTTTCTTTTTCTTTTTTTAATAGTACTGGGGTTTGAACGCAGAGCCTCACACTTGCTAGGCAGGCTTTCTATGCTTGAGCCACTCCACCAGCCCTTTTCTGATGATTTTTATGAAAACAAGACTGTCTGAGGAGTGGAGATCTGATGGTACAGACCGTATGGACTGGGTTACGCTTATAGGAGAATGCTTTTTTTTAATGCAGGCGCTGAGCCTTCTGAAGCATTTGGAGTCATATAGGAGAATTTCTCCTCCTGTGGACCTAGAGTACCAGTACATGCTAGAGCACGTAATAACCCTGCCATCAGCCGCCCAGGCTAGGCTGCCTTTTCACCTCATATTATTTGGCACAGCACAGAACTTCTGGAAAATTCTCTGTATGTTCATGAACTTCTTATATATTTTACTAAATAGCCAACAATTTTTTTTTCTTAGGCAAATAATACTCTTCTCATTTTCTTTCCAGCTTCAGAGCTCAGTGAGAAGTCACTCCCGACGCTGCTCTTAATCTCTAAATTAATGAAGGTAACGGGTTAAAATCTTAAGAGTTTCTTTGTGCTGTAGTCAATCCTGACCCTGAGTAGAAGGATCCTACACAATGTTCATGCAAAACCTCCACTGTCCTTCTCTCTGAAGTTCTCCCTAGACACGCTCTACGTGTCAACAGCCAAGCATGTTTTTGAAAAAAGCCTGAAGCCGAAGCTCCTGAAATTAGCACAAGCCAAGTCCTCAGCACCGATGAACAAGGAAATAGCTAAGCTTACTCAGACCATTGAGTCCTACCTGCTGTCTATAGTCAACCCAGAATGGGCTGTTGCTATCGCCATCAGCCTCACCCAGGAAATCCCAGAAGGTACACAATCTTCCTTTTGTTGGACTGAAAATTATTGACTTTTTTGTTGTTTTGTGGTTTTTGGTTCTTTTTTTCTTTTTGGTGGTACTGGAATTTGAACTCTGGGCCTTGTGCTTGCTAGGCAGGTGCTCTGCCACTTGAGCCATGCCTCCAGTCCTGTTTCTGCTCTTTTTTTGCAATGCCAGGGATCCAACCCAGTGCCTCATGCATGTTAGGCAAGCACTCTGCCACTGAGCCCTAACTTGTTGTTTTTTGAATGTATTCTTTTTGTGTCTGTAAGGAGAAGCAGATGTTTCTTCATCTATGGCATTGCTGAAGGTTCCAAAACTCACGTGATGCAAACAAGACTCCTTGGTGTTAGGTCAAGGTTCAGAGACACAGGTGTCTCCAGCTTGTGGTTAGGAATTTAAGTTAAAGTGTACTTCTAATGTTCTGTCCTACTTTCAACGATTAGTCCTTAGATATTCTCAAACAACCAAATAAGTACATAAACAATTTGGGTTGTAAAAAATTTTAAATACCTTTTTTTTCAGTGTTTGAGTGATTACCACAGAGCTACACCCCCAGCCCAGCTAACTATTTTTTTAAATGCTCATTGGTCAGAATGTGGTTAATATCAAAACAAGGCCTAATCATAGGATGAAATACTATGTAGCTGATTTGGAAAGATATAAATCATACTGGCATATGTGTGATATTATCCCCTCCCTGATTAAACACAGAAAACTTCTGGAATATAAGAATAAATAATAGGAATGGAAGCTAAGTAGGGGCTTTTGTGGATTTTGAATTTTCATTTTGTATTATTCTGTTCTGTTTAACCTGATTTTTACTGAGTGTTCATTTTTATAACTTAAAAAGTCTTGCTAATTTGACCAGGTATAGTGGCTTACACTTGTAAATCCCAGCTACTTGGGAAACAGAGATTAGAATTATAATTTGAGGCCAGCCCAGACAAAATCTTAGGGAGACCCCATCTTAATCAGAAGCTGGGGATTGTGGGGCATACTTGTCATCCCATCTTCTGGAGAGGCATAAATACTAGGCTCAAGGTCCAGGCCAACTTAGTCAAAAATGCAAGACCCTGTTCAAAAAATAGCTACAGCAAAAGGGCTGGGAATGTGGCTCAAGTGATGGAGCTCCTGCCTAGCAAGTGTGAGGCCCCCCCAAAAAACTTTTTTTTATTTGCTAATTTTACTACATACATTGTGTCGAAGGAATTCAGATTTGCTCATAAGTCTATCTTCTCAGGCTCTTTCAAGATGTCTACTTTGAAGTTCTGCCTGTATTTAGCTGAGAGATGGCTGGAGAACATCCCGCCCCAGGTAGGTCTGAGCTAGAAACAAAGTGCTCCTCTTTCTGTTTGACTTAACCAGCCTTCCCATCCTGCCCAGTGCATAATAGAAGAGATCGAGGGCCATGACTCCCTGCTTAAGGACACAACTAGGGAAGGGAAGGGTGGGTTCTTAGCCTCCCCTGAGATTTATAAAATAAATCTTTGTTTTAACTTGGTATTTCCTGAAAGGATGAAACACGTGACAAAGCCCAAGCTTTGTTGAAGAAGCTTCACCTCCAGTTCCGGCGCTCTGGCACAGAAGCTGTGCTTATAGACCACAAGTTGAACACTCCAGAACATCTAAGAGTGATAGGAAAGCCAGCACACCTCATCGTCAGCCTCTATGAGCATCCCACCATCAACGAAAGGATGCAGAATTCATCTGGCAAAGACTATCCTGGTCAGGGCAAAACTCTTTCTATTTTTTGGTTCAGGAAAAGCTATTGTTTTCATCCCCAGTTGTCTCATAGCTGAAAACTTGAGTTTTTCTTTTCCCAAATAAACTCTTTATCTTGGATATCTTAGATATTCATGCAGCAGCTAAAGAAATAGCTGAAGTCAATGAAATTAATTTGGAAAAAATCTGGGACATGTTGTTGGAAAAATGGCTGTGCCCCTCGACAGCACCTGGTGAGGTGAGTGCTTATGGCCCCAAGTGTGTTATTGGGTGGGAGCTGAGGCCTCCCCTCAGATTCTGAGGATTTGACCCACCTAACTCAACCCTGTAACTACGGGTACAGGCTCTTCAGTGAGGGAACTTTGTTCGTTTTAATCAGATGAGTTTTGATGAGGTGATTTGCTTTTCATTTATTCTTAAATATTGTTCTGTAGGTGATGATTTCGGACATATACTTGGTTTTTTGACTCAGAGTCATATGATTAATTTTGTGTTTAAATAATTTAAGTAAAACAGAAAAGGTACAGGAACAGTATCAAACAATTCCCTATATACTCTTCACCCTCCTCAATTGTTAACATCTCTCCATCTTTCTTTAGCACTGTCTCTGGAACATTTGTACTCCTTTGCCCATTGGAGAGGAAACTGTGTCATGCACCTACCCCTTCCCTGTCTGTTTCTTAGGTCTTCTGTTTCCTAAGAACAAGGATTTTCTCTTGCTTAGCCACTGTATAATTATCAAAATCAGGAAATTTAATGTTGATACAATACAGTGTAATCAGTTATCCTAACAATGTCTTTATAGTAATTTTCTCCCCTGGATCCAGAATCATCTAGGATGCTGCTTTGCATTTATTAGTCATATATCTTTTTTTTTTTTTCTTATTTTGATAGTACTGGAGTTTGAACTCAGGACCTGACACTTGCTATGCAAGTACTCTACCACTTGAGCCACTCTGCCAGCTATTTGTCATATCTTTATTTTAATATAGAGAATTTCCACAACACTGACAGTTTTGAAGAGTGTTAGCCAGTTATCTTATAAACTGCCCCATAATTTGGATTTGCCTAATATGTTCATGATAAGATTCAAATTATGTATTTTAGACATCATACTCCAAAAGTGATATCATGTCCTCCCTTGGCTTATGTGGATGTGGAGACACATGACATTTGTTTGTCCTTACAGGTGGTATTAATGTAGATACGTTGGGTATTGTCCCTTTCTGTACAACATAGTTACTATTTTTCCTTTTGTAGTTTTTAAGAGATTTTTTTTTTTTCCCCTATACTGGGATTTGAACTTAGGGCCTCATGCTCATTAGGCAAGTGTTCCTTCACTGGAAATATTTTTGATGGTATAATATCCTGTTTCTCTTCAAATTACTACACACACTCACCAATTTAGCATACAGTGGTGATTCTCACTTGAGTCTCTGTTTCCTGGGATGAGACACTGATAATTTTTTTTTCGTTTGTTTATTTTTGGTGGGACTGGCATTTGAACTCAGGACTTGGACTTGCAAAGCAGGCGCTCTACTGCTTGAGTCACACCACCAGTCCCTGTTCTGGTTATTCTGGAGATGGGGATCGCTCAAAGTATTTGCCAGAGCTGGCTTCGAACCTTGATCCTCCCAATCTCAGCCTCCCAAGTAGCTTGGATCACAGGAATGGGTGAAATTGGCAGTTTTGAAGGGAGCAGGCCAAATTGGTTTATAAAATGTCTTATTTTGAGTTTGCTTGGGGGTTTTGTGTGTGTGTGGTACTGGGGTTTGAACTCAGGGTCTACACCTTGAGCCACTCCACCAGCCCATTTTCGTGATAGGATTTTTGAGATAGGATCCCGAGAACTATTTGCCCAGGGCTGGCATTGAACAAGCACAACCAATATGACATTAGGTTTTTATTTTGGTATATTTAATATTTTTTTCTCCTTATTTATTTGTTTTCCTTGAGACAGCATGTTTTTATGTGGCCCAGGCTAGTCTCAACTCCTGGGCTCAAGTGATTCTCCTGCCTCAGCCTCCCTGGTAGCTGGGACTACAGGTGTGTGCCTCACTCTTCTCTTAGGTGTTTTTTTGTTTGTTTGTTTGTTTGGGGTTTTTTTTTTTTTTTGGTGGTACTAAGGTTTGAACTGAGGGCTTCATGCTCACTAGTTAGGTGCTCTCCCACATGAGCAATATTCAAAGAATATTTTTAAAGCATTTACCAAGAGCAATAACTGTGCTTCATTGTAAACAGAGTTTAAGCATGCCTCAGCCACAGAGAATCTGTGGTTGACTCTAGAAGTAAGCATTTGTATTTTAAGTTACACATAAGTTCAAAGTACTAAACTAAAAGATCCCTCAGACCAGGAACCATGTCTGTACATCTCACCGAGCACAGTGCTTTGGAAGTTGTGACACATATGCTGAATTAATGAATGTCTCACTTAATATTGCTAGATTCCTTTTCTTTTAAAAAAAGCTGGGAATAGTGACTTACTCCTATAATCATAGCTACCTGGGAGGATCTCAGTTTGAAGGCAGCCAGTACAGAAAGTTCACACGCTCACATCTCAATCAGTGAAAGCTGGACCCTGCAGCATACACTTGCCATCCCAGCTATGCAGGAAGCACAAATGGGAGGATTGCAGCCTAGGCCAGCCCACACATAAAGAACGTATCAGAAAGATACCTAAAGCATTTAGGCTGCGATGTGGCTCAAGTGGTAGTGCCTACCTGGTGAGCACAAGGACCAGAGGTCCGGACTCCAGTACCACCAAAGAATAAAATGAAAAATGGTACAAGCACCTGAGTCCTTGTTTTGCTACTTGGGCAGTTCACGTACTTAGCATGAGATGTTTGTTGCATGAATGAATGTGAGTAAGTTTATCATTTAAGCAGAAATCTTTTCATAAAGGAATTATTCTCACTATAGTTTCTTTCATAATTTTTCACATAATTTTATACATTGGTTTTTCGGCATAATAGATTTTTTTTAAGATGAAAGTTTATATAGTTACAAACTATCTTTGGTTTCTGACCTTTTTTTCCTGTGTTTTCAAAGAAACCATCAGAATTATTTGAGCTTCAAGAAGACGAAACACTACGAAGGTATTCTTTTCTTTAGTTACGTGGGCCTTCACCCTGATGCCTGCAAAAATCTTTCAGAGGTTGAATTGTAAAAGGTTTTCTGGATATAACTTGCATCAAAGTCTCTGAAAAGAATTAATTCATTGATATGAGTATCTTTGGGGTGTATAGGGGAATCAAACAGCTTGGGCCCAGGATCCTGCTAATGATGGAGCTCCTAGGCTCCCTTTAGCAGAGAGTGCATCTCTAGCTTTTATTAGCTAGGTCTTTGTCTCCAGACCCCTGGTGAGCTCTCTCACCTTCGTAGACTGGGATGGCTCAGATACAGGTCACAAGATTCCTTTTGTCCTTCTAACCCAAGGCTGAGATCAAGAAAGACATGTTGCTTTTATTGAATGTGCTGTCCGATTGCTTGTGTCTTGTTTTCTTCTAGAAGACTGTGTCTGGGCCCAGATCAGAAAGAATGTGGCAATCTATTCATGATGCCTGGTACAGGCATCGGAGAGGGCATGATGGCTCACATGCCAGCTTTCTGCCATCCCTATCCTAGACCAACAGTAGGTCAAGTGACCTGGGAGGCTCTGTACCCTACCTTGGCCCTGGAGATCTGATAGTGAGAAAAGACTTGGGTAGACAAACTCAAGAATATCATTTTCTCACCTGATTTGGAGCAGAGCTGGCCTAACCAGCTATTCCCTTCCCTGTCCAAAGGGAAGCTCTGGGTCTCTGCCTCCATCTTAGGCTTTTGGTTTGGTTTGGTTTAGATTTTTTTGTTTGTCTGTTTGTTTGTTTTTGAGTCAGGGTCTCACTATGAATCCCAAACTGGGCTACAAGCCTCAAACTTGGGACCCTCCTGCCTTAGCCTTCCTTGTGCTGAGATTATAGGCTTGGGGTATCACATCTGGCTCTTGCTTAGTCATTTAAAGGCAGATGCACCTTTGTTCAAACAAAAGGTAGCTCCTGGCCTAACTGAACCTATCACATGGCAAGTGTTAGACCAGAGCAATTCACAGACAGAAGAAAACAAGGAATCCCCAAATCATACTTAATTAAAGATTAGAAATTCCTGTTTTTTCTGGCTGAGAGCTCTATCCCATCCCTTCTCCAAGGCTGCCTGGTTCCTCTTGCTCTTCCTTGGATGGGCCCTCTAGCACCATTCATTGTGCTTTACACCTAAGGTCTATATCAATTTTGTAGATAGAATTTAAATTACCGAGGTTGAGTAGGTATTGTACAGATGAGGAAGCTGAACCCTGGCATTTATTGTGTATGTTATCCTCTTCAGCTTTGAAGGAACTCATGAAAAGACTAAATAGCCTGTAAAAGGGAAAGCAAAAGTCATTGACCCATATCCTTCTAGCCTACGTTTGGGATGTCTAACAACTTTCACTGTCAACAGAAACACATGTCTGTTGTTTTGGTAGTCTATCACTAAGTTGAAAGATAAATGTAATTTTTTTTTTCCAGAGTTGTGTATCTTCTCCAATCTCGACCGACTGATTATAGTTCAAGAATGCTGTTTGTATTTGCAACATCAGCTACAAGTGTAAGCTCTTCAATTAATCAAAACCCATGAGGGCATTTTAGCCTAATATTTTTTTCCTGTGTATTTACCATGCTCGATTTCATGAACAGATGAGTCAGATAATGCTCACTTTCATAGTCAAAGTTTATCTTATTTTATAAACAAGGATTATTACACGCACCACACTTCATTTAACACTGGCCTCTCTAACATCTGTTTAGCAGACTGAAAGGTACATACACTTGACAACTCCCACAGGTTCGCTGCATTCTCGGTTAACTCCCTAGTCAGTCAACATTCCTGATACCAGAGGTCCAAACAAACTGGCCCATAGAAAGGTCTCCACCTTGGCCTCTTGTCCTTGTATAACATGTCTTCTGGCTCTAGTTACTCTCTAACCTGCAGCCAGACTAATCATTTCTGTGTGCCTTTAAAGTTGCATATGCATCTTTTTGGCCTCAGGCTTTTACATGCGGAAAGGTTGTCTTCCTCTTCTTTCTCCTCCTCCTTTCTTCTTCCTCCCCCTCCTCCCTTTTTCTCTCCTTCTTCCTTTTTCCTCCCTCCTCTCCTTAACCCTAACCCTAACCCAGGTGGAGAGAATAGAGAGGAAGGGTGAGGAGCCACAGGGCAAATGGTCCACAGGGCAAAAAGGACAAGGGAGAAGTCTAAGATGCTGAAGTCCATGTAGGAAGAAGGAAAAAAATCTTTTTTTTTTCTTGCATATTAGTTTGTCTTTTACGCATTCTTTCAAGCTAAGATGCTATACCAATTAAAGTGGCTAGTTAACATGCTTCCCATTTTGCTGTAGAGAATATTAATTGATTACATTATAATTAGTTAATATTCACATGTGTTCAAATATGAGTTCATACCAATATGCTATATATTCTAGAATTGAGGTTTAATAAAATTAATTTTTATTGCTTCATCAAAAACTTTTGTTTTCATGGCACTGGGGTTTGAACTCAGGTCCTTGCACTTACCAGGTAAGTGCTCTACCACTTGAGACACTCCACCAGCCCTTTTTTGTGATGGGTTTTTTTCGAGATGGGGTCTTCTGAACTATTTGTTTGGGACTGGCTTTAAACCTCAATCTTCCTGATCTCTGCTTTCCTCATAGCTAGGATTACAGGTGTGAGCCACCAGCACCCGGGCAAAAAAAATTTCTTAATGAAATGAAAGTCTTCTTTGGTTTTCAGTGCTGGCAATTCATGCCTGTGTACACAAAGGCAACTAGAACAGTTGGGGTCCCTGCCTCAAGTCTGCCTGCACTTTCGCCCCCCACTGCTTCTGTACCATAAGTGCAAATTAACACAGCGTAAAAGGCAAAAAAAATGTAGCTTAGTACTACTATGAAAATAGTTTTGACCCCTTCCCTTCTGAAAGAAGCTCAGAATTCCCCTTGTTGTTCTCCACTGTGCATTCCTTAAGGGGAGAGACTGACTTTAATTTAAAAAAAAAAAAAAATGTCACCTATGTTGAAGGTCATTTACCTAACTAGAACCTGCAGTTGTGTAACTCAGTTCTCCCAGCCTTTTTTTGGTTTTACAGACCTTGGGCATACGCCAGTTAACTTTTGCCCACAAAACACGAGCTCTGCAGTGCCTCCTGTATTTGGCTGATAAGGAAACTATAGAATCTCTCTTCAAAAAACCCATTGCGGAAGTGAAGTAAGTGGAATTTGATTCATTGTATTAAGAAGTGGGAAATAGATGTTTTTATTGCAGCTGTAACTTCTAAGCCCTTTAATTCATTCAACTGCTATGTAAACGTAACTCTGTTGCCTTGACTATTCTTGACATTTTGGCAAAGGAAGGAAGGAAACAAGGCCTTTGAGAACATCTTGTCCTCATTTCTTAATTTTGTTTAGAAACTGAATGTTTTCTTCATCTTGCTCAAATTGATTTCTATCTAATATTATACTCCGTTAATATATTCAGAAGGCCAGAACAGACATTAAATAACAAACTGGCCTCATATCTCCTTGTGGCACATTTTATCTCAAATGTAAATGTGCTCTGTAAGAATGATTCTTATGAACACCTCTGTTTTCCAGATCCTATTTAACATGTATAACTTTTCTGGCATCATTTGAGACGCTGAATATCCCCATCACATACGAATTATTTTGCAACAGTCCTAAAGAAGGAATGATTAAGGGCCTGTGGAAAAACCACAGCCATGAGCCTATGGTATGTGCAATCATCTGGGTGCAGGGGTCTCATCTTCACATATGCTGTTCTGTCCACTCAATCTTCTACCCCACTCAGATGCCTAAAACCCTCTATCCCCAAGCAGGTCCCCTACCCCAAGACCTTTACTGCTTTTCCTGTCTGGTGTGTGGGTGGATAAGGCAATTTGGAAGGTCCTCTCCTTTCTTCCTTAAAGCTCACTGGCTAAAATCATCCCCACAAGCAAGAAAGAGCTCATTAATACTCCTTTCTGTCTGTACTCATACAGACAAGGGGAAGAGACCATTCCCTGTAGGGAAGAGTGTCATTTCCCTTCCACCTGATTGCCTTTGAATTTAGTCTATGAGGCAATGAGAGCCCAGGGCAAGAATGAAACCAAAAGATAAACTGTTCTTGGATAGAGAAAGAAAAAGAAGAATCTCTTTGTTTCTTCCATTAGAAAGAGAGAACCTTCATTAAAATGAGGCAGTAGACATTTATATGTGTATGTTTTATATTAAGCTGCCCCATCTTTTCCAGAGGTTACTGGTGTTTTGAAACAACATGACTTTTTCACTCTTTTTTGTTGTTGTTGTTGCTTGCTTGCTTGTTTTTTTGTTTTGTTTTGTTTTGTTTTTTGGGCTTTAGGTGGTAAAATTGGTGGCAGAGCTTTGTTTGGAATACAAAATCTATGACCTGCAGCTTTGGAATGGACTCCTGCAGAAGCTTCTTGGCTTCAACATGGTGAGTAAGACTGAGGATCTCTTGAAGATTGTGCACAGCATCCCCCACACATTCAAATTAGCGCTTGCGACTGAACGCGCACATGCTGGAGACAGTCACTGCCCCTGAGATCCTGCCAAACTTAACCAGAGAAAGTGCAGCCTCAGTAATGACCTACGTCAAACTGGAAATAGATAGGTGGTTCATTGGCCTTTTTTTTGATGCTCATGGACTTGTAAGGGGACTGCTGGCAGTTCTCATGGAAGAGGAATTTCTTCAGATACTCTTTCTGAAACATAAAGAATCCAGTATTTCATGTTGAAACTTTATATTTTGGGTGGTCTTTAGAACTTTTTAATTTAATTAATTATTTATTTATTTACTTATTTTACAGATTTCTTATCTAAGGAAAGTTTTAACAGCTATTTCTAGTATCCATTCCTTATGGCAGGTATGTAGTTTCTTCAAGTAAATATCATGCAACTTAATCTTTGTGTTTGTTGGCCTGTGTCTCCTGGGCAGACTGGATTAAGTGGTCACCTCCTGAGTAAAGAACAGAAAGGATGAGCCCCAGGATGATATTCCAGAATCCTCAGCTCACATTTCACCCTCTTCACAACATTGCTTCCTGAGTTCCCCAGGCTTCACCAATCACATCATCTTATATACTCTTGAAACGCTGTGGCTCGACTCTAACGTTTATCCTAGGGCAATTTATCTTAATTACACGTTGGTCTGCCCCTCATAGACCTTGAAGACCTTTAAAGTCAGGGACCATGTGTTACTCATCTTTTCTAAATTTCACAAGTTGTATACCCACATAATCTCTATTATATAGAAATAAATAATTTATTTACTTGAATAAATCAGAACACCATGGAAATATGCTGAGTAGAACATGAAAATTTTCCTTACTATTTCTCTCCGTAATTATTTCCCAAAGGATAACCACTCTTTACTATTTATTTATTTATTTATTTTTGGTGGTGCTGGAGATCTAATCTAAAGCCTTGCATGTGAGAAGCAAGCACTTTATCCTGGAGCTACATCCCCAGACTTTACGATGTATCCTTCTAGAGCTTTCCTTATTGTATAGTCATGTAGGTGTGTGTTACACAAATAACATTTGTACACATAAATGCAATTGCATTTTACACAAAATGCTGTTTTCTATAACAGTGGTGTCTTGGATATTGATCCATATTAGGACAGATAGATCTATTTTGTTTTTTTATTATTATTAAGGTAAAATTAATTCAGCCTTTTAAGTGTACAGTCAAATGGGTTTTCATATATTCACAAAGTAGTTCTGTAACCATTACTATTGCCTAATACTAGGATATTTTTCTTACCCCAAAAAGAAACGTCATGTATTAGCAGTCATTCTGCATCTCCCAATTCTCCTCCAGCCCCCAGCAGCCATTAATCTACTTTCTGTCTGGATTTATCTGTTGTGGGCATACCATATTAATGGACTCATGACTCACGTAATTATACCCTTTTGTGTTTGGCTTCTTCCACTTGGCATACAACTACATTGTAGCATGTATTCCTGCTTCATTTCTTTTACTAAGAAATAATGTTCCATTGTAAGGATATGTAGTCAGTATATCCCTGGAGGATTGGTTTTAGTATTACCCCCGCAGATACCAAGATCTGTGGCTATTCAAGTCCTTTATCTAAAATAGCATAGCAGTGCATATGACTTACGCGGCCCTCCCATATACTTTAAATCATCTCTAGATATTTACAACACCTAATACAGTATAAATGCTATGTGAAAGTCAGGTGCACAGTAGCTCCTACCTGTAATCCCAGTACTCAGGAAGTAGAGATCAGAATTGTGGTTTGAGGCCAGTCCAGGGAAAAAAATTAGTGAGACACCATCTCAACAAAAAAGCCAGAACTGATGGTGTGCACCTGTCACCCCAGCTACACCAGTGACATTAAGTAGCAGAATCATGGTCCTTACCACCCAGGTAAAAACACTGAGACCCTACCTGAAAAACCACTATAAAGTAAAAAAGGATGGAGGAGTGGCTCAAGTGGTAGAATGCCTGCCTAGCAAACACAAGGCCAAGTTCAAATATCAGCACTGCCAAAAAATAAATCCTATGTAAATAATTGTTTATATATATATTATATTATTTATTTATTTATATATATGTCATATATATGTGTATATATTGTATAGGGAATAGTGACACGAAAAAAAAGTACAGGCACATTTTTTTGAGAGTGTTCTATATGTTCTATGCTTGGTTGGTTATACTCATGCATTCAGCACCTGAGCATAGAGAGGGCTGACTATACCACGTTTTATTTATCCATTCATTAGTTGGTGGACATTTGGATTTTTTTCTCTTTTTAGCTTATATGAGTAATGCTGCTGTGAACCAGTTTTTATATGGACATGTTTTTCTTCTGAGTATATTCATAGCCACAGGATTCTTGGGTCTTACTGGTGTCTGTATTTAGCCTTTGAACTATCTCATTATTTGTAATTCTTAATTATTCTCCATAATATGGAGTAATACCAGAAGTTATTTTATCACTCCAGTGATGGAAGTGTATATTCTTTCCTTACTCCTTTTCTCAAAGTTTTTTCTTTTGTTCCCTTTTCTCCTATGTCCCTAGCACAATGTCTGGCAAATAATAGGCTTAGTATTAATTATGTTTTCTGAGTTGAGTTCTGGTATTTTGTGCCAATGGAACTATAATGAATTATCTAAAACTGTATAAAACAGATGATCCTGAAATGTATAGTTATGAAGAAAATTATCCTAGACTCTTCATTTCAAACAGGGAGATATCAATTTATGCCTCTAGTGTTAGCATCCATTTTTTTCTTTTTTCTTTTTTGCAGTACTGGGGTTTGAACTCAGGGCCTACACCTCGAGCCACTCCACCAGTCCTTTTTTGTGAAGCGTTTTTTCGAGATAGGGTCTTGTGAACTATTTATTTATCTGGGCTGACTTCAAACTGCGATCCTCCTGATCTCTGCCTCCTGAGTAGCCAGGATTACAGGTGTGAGCCACCAGCACCCAGCTTTTAGAAGCTTTTGATATGCAGTTCGTGATTGCAAGAGTAGAGAGAGAGTACGTGAGACCCCAGACATGAATTCTTTAATACATTCGTTTCCACAGGCTCCCTACTTCAGCAGAGCTTGGCAACATGTGATACAGATCCCTCTGCTCTCAGGTATTTTTCTGTCCTCTGAAACACTGACAGTTATGTTTTCTAGTAGAGTGCCCATGTATATCACTGTTGTTTTTTATATCTTCAGCCTCTTGTCCTTTACAACCCAGTCAGTTATCAGATTGTTGTGAGAGTCTCGTTGCAGTCCTTGAGTAAGTAAACACTGTGTTCTTCCCAAGAAAGTGAAATGTAAATGTATGGTGTCTTTTGTGGCAATCCTCAATAGTGCTGTCTCGTAGATTTTGAATTTTCTAAGAATTTGTCTTATACATCTGTAGACTTCCACATGTAGTCATGATGGATGACAGTAGTCCAGTATTCCTGAGGTAGATTACTTTATTCTAGGTAGAATGCCATCAAAGACTCAAGTTACTCATTTCTAAGCATGTATCATGTACCAGCACTTTGTTGTTTGAAATTATTGAGAGTGTGGACAGGTAACATCTGTGGAAAGCTAGAAAAGCCAATGGGATTGAGTAAATGTGACAGGTCTCTAACTAATGCGCTGTCTCACAGATGTCCAGTTTCAGATGATCTCGACATGATGGGAGTTGCGAGGCAGTATGTCCAGTTAGAACTTCCAGCTTTTGCACTGGCTTGCCTAATGCTCATGCCCCACTCAGAAAAAAGGCACCAGCAAATCAAGGTATCTTGATATTGTTCCTCAGATTGCTAAGGAAATAGAAGGTCTTATACTGCATGTGCCTTGGGAGAGGTTGCTTTTCCTTTCACTAAGCTCACTAAATTCACTAAAGCCTGAACACATCAGTATAGGTTAAGTGGAGGATTAGTGGGAGATGAGACAGATTGAGGTCCAACTGAAGGATGTCTAAAGGAATTTGGACCTTATTCTTTATGTGGGAAACAATTTTCTTTCTTCTTTTTTTGATGGTCCAGGGGCTTGAACTAATGGTCTCATGCTTGCTAGGCAGGCACTCTACCACTTGAGCCACTCTGCCAGCATGTAGGGGACAATTATCTTGGAAGAGGAAAGTGAAATGATGAGGACAGTATTTTAGAAGGAACAGCCCATTAACCAATGTAGGCTTGATGGGAGAGGTGAGGTGGCAAGAAGAAAAACTCTTGGGAAACTTTGCCTTTCTATAGAATTTTAGCTCACTTGATCCACACTTAACAACCTGAGTAGGTAGCTCAAGCCCGAAGGGTAAGTTCCCAGGAAGGATGGTGGTAATGACATCAAACAAGATAGGGAAGGCTCCAAGGAGGAGCCTATCTTAGCAATTGGATGAGAGAGGGAGTCAGATTTTATGTGTGGGTGTTTAGCAAAAATAGCTAACTGTGATTTCTTTTAATACAAATAAAGAACAAATAAAACAAAGCATTTTGAAATATTGTTTCCTCCACAGGTAGATATGGCAGTAGGTAAAAATCTATATAAATGAATACGTATTTTTTTGGTTGTCATTTGGTCTGTCAGTTGCATTTTTCATGCCTTCTGTGCTTGCCTTTGACTTTTTTTTTTTTTTCCCCGTTTTGGGTATTTATAAACTCATCCCTTGTTGCTTTTCAACACTGCAGTGTTTAAAGATTCCTTTTGGCACTTATTCAACAAAATGTCTAATAAACAGCTCGTGCTGTTTGAATAAATAGTTGTAAAATATTTTTCTCCCTTCTTTCAGTAATCTTTTTTTATTAATAGAAGTGTTTTCTTTTTTCTTGGGCTGGTGGAGTGACTCAAGTGGTAGAGTACCTGCCTAGCAGATGTAAGGCCCTGAGTTCAAACCCCAGTGCTGCCAAAAAATAAAGAAATAAAATGAAAACCTCCCAAACTTGATAGAAATTAGTAGTAATCATACTTTTAATTATGCTTTGATTTTTTTCTAGAATTTTCTAGGTTCATGCAATCCTCAGATCATTTTACAACAATTAGAAGAATATATGAACACTGGCCAGTTAGCAGGATTTTCACATCAAGTAAGAGGCAATTTCATCTCCTTTTTGCTATGAAATTTTTAACCCCAGAGGGTAATTATTTTCCCCAAAATAAGATTAAGCTAGAAACTACTCTTTCTACTGTTCATAACATATAAAAATCTGTTTGCTTTTATTAAAACCTCAGTAGTTTTGTTTTGTTTGTTTGTGTTTTAAAAGCAGATACCCTGGCTGTCTATAGAAAATTTGTAGACTTAAAATCTTGTAATTGTAAACAGATCTTCTTCCTCATAGAAAATCCCAAAGTGCTTCATAATAGTGTCCTGTTTAGGTATTGTGCACTGTACTGGGGCAAACAACCTCCTCCCCGTTCCCACCCTTCAGAAAGGAGGCTGAGCCCCCATGCAATGATAATTCAGATTCTGATAATCAGAAATTTCCCATATTGAATAAGGACTTGAAATCTAATATATTTCTAACATGATACCTGACATTCTACAGATCAGAAGTGTGATTCTGAATAATATCATAAATAAGAAGGAGTTTGGGACTTTGGTGAAGACAAAATACTTTCAAGTGTTGAAATCACATATGATGAATGCCAACAGCATCACTGAACTGGTAAACTACTTAGCGAATGACTTAAGGTAAGCTAATTTGGGGGTGAAGAGAAAGAAAGAAAAGAAAAATCCAGCTTACTGTAGAATTTCCTTAAAATGTATCTTTATTTTGGAGAAAAATGTCAAACAATTCCAGAGCTATGTGGTTGTAATTAAAAGTGCCAGTATTAAGCGACAGCATTACTGCACATTCCCACAAGTTCATGTCCTAAAACGTGAACCTGCAATCATATAATTGAACAAGTTATCTAAATCCCTAAATAGGTATCTCACAGTCCTGCCTCGAATTCTAAATTACAACTTTCTACCTTAGATGCTTGCTCAGAGCCCTGGTGGCTCTTTGTAACACATAATTTGTGCTAAGCTTGCTTATCTAATTTTCTAGCACCTACAAGTTTAGAAACAAAACCTTGTTGGGATAGAGTTGGGGGTGGATGTGGAAAGTAAAAAGGAGAAAAAAGAAAAGGGCTGATCCTACAGAAAGGAAAAGTGCGGCAAGGATTGCAGTGGTAACAGGCCATTCCTGCATCTGGTCTAAACATGCTCGTCACTCGAGCAATAGCCCTTCCTCCTACCACAGCACGAATCACTGTCTCTCTGCCTGTTTATCCTTGTGATCCAGCCATCATTACCTGCTGTCATTCATGAATATTAGTTTTTGAGGTGTGATTGGTGCATATAATAAGTGCACATATTTGAAGTATACAATTTGATACATTTTGACATCTGTGTACACTGTAAAGCTGTCACCTCAATCAAGAAAGCAAACATTGATCACCCCCAGGGGTTTCCTCATGCTCCCCCTTTTCTTTTTTGTTTCCACAGTTTAGATGAAGCCTCAGCCTTGATAACTGAGTATTCAAAACACTGTGGGAAGCCTGTGCCACCAGGTGCAGCTCCCTGCGAAATCCTGAAGGTAAAGCCAGCTGATGGTTACTTAGGTTCAACCCAACCTTTTCTGATTTTCTAGAGGTGTGTCTTTACATGAGTGTAAAAAGTAGGCATCAAGCATCATTTAACTATGGGGCTACATTTTGAGAAATGTGTCATGCAAACCTCACAATGTATGTAAACGAGTGTAGGTGATGTAGATCAGTCACTCAGTATGGCCTCTTGATGCAATCAAGCAATGCAGCACACAGGACATGTATGAGGCTGCTCACTAGTGTAACATAGCAGACTTCTACAGTGAAGATTTCTTACATAGGAATACACTCTTAAATAATGACTTAAAAGTATGTGTAGGACTGGCTCAAGTGGTAGAGCACTTGCCTAGCAAGCAAAGCCCTGAGTTCAAACCCCAGTACCACCAAAAAATATTTATATGTATGTGTAGTAAGTATGTAAACTAGTAACGTAGTCATTTGTTATCATTATCAAATATTAATGTACTAAATATAATTATATGTGCTGCATTTTTATATGCCTGCAGCAACATCACCAGGCATGGTACTAAGGTTTGCACTCAGGGACTTAAGCTTACTTACTAAGCAGTCCTCCACTGTTGTGTTGTAGTCCATCATTGACTCAAATCATTACACAGCATATTATTTTGCATTAAGGAGTCTTAGACCAGAAATCAAGAGGCCATGGTTCTGTTCTCAGCTGGCTCATTAGGTGGCAAATGACTCATTCAAGTCCACTCAGCTTGTGTGGCTTCAGTCTTCAGAGCTGGTTCCCACTGTCTCTCAGGTGCTCTCTAGCTCTATGATTCCTTATAAGGAATGGTTTTTAATATTGAGCAAGTACAAAACTAACTTTTAAAAGATACCACTTACTGTCATGCCTGGTTATTAATTGGTTGTATTCACATGTATTACATATATATATATACATATATATACTATTTTACTGTACATCCTCCTAAATTTGTTTTTGTTGTTGTTGTTCTGTGGTACAGGGGATAAATGCAGGGCCTCAAGCATGCTAGGCATACCTAAAGCCTAAGTATGGTGGGGTTTTTTCCCTACTTTGATCCAGATCACATACATAATAAAATTAGCCTGCATTTTGTAAACTCCCATAAGTTATCACTTCTTGTTGGTTGGCTTTGTTACTCAGACTTTTTGTTACTGTGACAGATACCTGAAAGAAACAGTTTAAAAGAGGAAAGATTTTTTTTTTTTGGCTCACATTTTCAGTCCATGATTGGCTGGTTCCATTGCTTTCAGGCCTGTGGCAAGGGAGAACATCATGGTAGAAGGATGTGGGAGAGAAAAGAGCTGCTCACGTAATGACAGCCAGGAAGCAGAAGAACAGGCAGGAATGGGCCAGGAACAGGATGTACTCTTCAAAGACATACCCCAGTGAACTACCTTCCTCAGCTTGGCCCCTCCTAGTTTCTACATGTATCCATCCAACTAGAGACCAAGCATTCAGCACATGCGCCTTCATGGGGGTGGGGGTACAAGGAGGGACGACACCTCCTAGCCAAACCATAATAATGGCGTCTTACTTTTTTGAAAAGGAAGATATTGGTTCAGAGGCAAATTTGTGACCCTTAAAGTACATTTCTCTTTAGTCCTATCTGTTAGAATGAAATAATTTTATACATAGATGTTATGACTACTGTTAAGTCTCAAGTTCTGTAGTTTTCTGTTTTCAAAATTGACGTGTGACATACATTTCTTTTTCTTCCTGTTTAGATGTTTCTTAATGGATCATAGTAAATCATCAAACCATTTTTCAAAACAAGAAGAGGAAGCTTGGAGGCTGCTACTAAGTGACCATATTTATTACAGTCTTTAAATTGTGCAATCTGTGTCTTAGCTGCTTGTTAAATGTTTTCCTACAAGGAATAACTGAAGCATTCAATATTAGCATAACTACCCCATAAAGAACTCATGTCCTGAATTAATAAATATTTTCATTGTCAATTCTTACAATGTATAATTTTGTACCATACATAAGCAAAAACATTCTGCTTTCCCCCTCATGAAAAGTAACTGCATACTTAAATCTTACTTCCTTCATATATTAAAAACAAGAATACCAATCTTCTTAAGGTTATCCTAAGACAATATTTACATAATTTTAGTTGCAGGGTGTATGAGTAAATGGCCAGACAGAAAGGTAGAACCCATCCTGACATGGCAGGTGGGGAGGGTTCAATGCCAGTGATTAACTACAGATGTCAAAAGGACTGAAAGATCAGCAGGGAGATGGAGTGGGGAGCTGGAAAAAAGAGAAGTATATATCAGCCAAAGAGCAGGAGCTGCTCCAGCCTCTGGATAGGACCTGAGCCTCCAAGCCCCTTGTCATTGCTACCATCATGCCAAACGCAGAAGTCCAAGATTGTCCCCTCACCGGGGCCAACAGCTCCCCAGTGCCATCCTCAGCCATGGCTGCTACTGCCTGGCCACCACCCAAAGAGAAGAAGCAGCTGTTCACTTTCTCCTATTTTCTAATTCTTGTGCCAGTGTCCAGCACGACGGAACCAGAGACGTGCAAAATCAGTGTGGCCCATTGACCAACAGGATTTCCCTGGAGAATGCAGCTGAAACATTGTGAAAGGAGAAGAGTGAGAAAAGGTGTGGAGCTGGAACTGGGCCAGTACAAAGGGGTCAGAAACCATCCTGACACCTTGATCCTATACAGTGGGTCCTTTTAGGTATGGAAATAGCAAAATTAACTTGATGTTTTAGGAAGACACACTTGACAGCTATGGATAGAATGAATTGCCTGGAAAGCACTCCCAGATGGGGGCTCTATTTTAAATTGCTGGGGGAGGTGATAAATGTCTAGACTGGATGACTAACAGTGAAGCAGAGGCTAGATGAAGAACACATGACACCGAATGTGGAGACCTCTGCCCCTTATTCCTTTGGGGGTAGGGATGCAACCATATCATGCTAAATCAAAAAGGGAGTTCTCAGGGCTGCCAACCTTACCGTTGAGGTTGAGTGGTAGTATATTTCTCCTGCATTAAAAACACAAACCCAGTCTCTGGTGGTTCATGCCTGTAATCCTAGTTACTTGAGAAGCTGAGATCAGGAAAATCTTGGTTCAAGGCCAGCCCAGGCAAATAGTTCTTGAGATCTCATCTCCAAAATATCCAGAGCAACATGAACTGGAGGTATGGCTCAAGTGTTAGAGTGCAGGACTTGAGCTTCTGGGATATGGAACAGACACAGTTTGTGTGATTCCTCTTGCTCAGTACAACTGTAAACCCTACGTGTGAGAAGTCTGAAGGTAGAAAATAAGGAAAGTCTGTGAGGGGCCTCAAGACCCACAGGACAACACAGTGGTCAGTTTTCTGGATTTTGTTTTTGACTTTTATGTCCCTGGCTTGAAGCTCAAGAAGCCAGCAACCTGGAAATACCAACAAGTGCACATAGGAAAAGCCCCAGCAAAAGGTGTGTTGCGTTGTCCAGCCTAAGGACCAGGAAAGAAGCAGCCTGGCAAGCCATAACAGTTTTCCCCCAGCCAAACGCCACAGAAAACACAGCATCCCATCCCACCCTCAGCAAAACATTTATCAAAGTATACACCTAAAATGGGTGAGTCTTATGGAATCTAAATTATAATATGTCAATAAACTGTTGAACAACTCACACATGGGTGAAGTTATCGGGAAGGTTATGTAAGAACTCACTGTCGTTGTCTTTGGGGATAGAGATTTGACGTGAGAGGGAAATGTTTTGTGTGTACATTATTGCTGCAGTTGATACAAAGTTTTTGTTAGGAATTTATAAAGCAATTTATAAAAATATTCTGTATGATAGGAGCAAACATGTTTGTGATATGCCTTGTTTTTCTTGAGATGTAGGCTCACTCAGGCTTGATTCGAACTCATAATCTTCCCCCCTCAGCCTTCCAAGTATCTGGGATTACAGCAGTGCACCCCCACACCCAGCCAATAAACTATTTTTTTGGTGGCATTGGAATTTGAACTCGGGGCCTCACTCTTGCAAGGCATGTGCCCTTACCACTTGAGCCACTCTGTCAGCCCTTTTTTGTGATGGTTTTTGTTTTTTGTTTTTTGGGTTTTTTGGGGGGGGATATAGGATCTTTGGAACTATTTGCCCAGGCTGGCTTTGACCTGTGATCCTTCTGATCTCTGCCTCCTGAGTAGCTAGGATTTCAGGTGTGAGCCGCTGGCACTGATAATACTTTTTAATAGGAATTTAAAAGGAAATGTGTACAATGTGTAAGGAAAACAAATGCATAGGCATGGATGATCCCTGGGCAGAGTGCGTTTTTTGTTTTTCTTTTTGGTTGTGCTGGAATTTAAACTAAGGGCTTTGAGCTTGCAAGGCAGGTACTCTACCACTTGAGCCACTCCTCCAGTCCAGAATGCATTTCGTTACTTACTTTTATACATCACTTCATGATCCTACTTCATAAGCAATTTTTTACTTCATGTCCTGCTATTAAAAACTTAAAACTATTATTTTCAATGGTTGAATTTTATGTCATCAATATTGTAAAAGACCACAGGCTTGAGAGTCAGTCAAGCTTTGTTTACAAATCTGCCTGTGTTTATAGGTTTATGAGCTAGACTGAATTATCCACAATGCGAGGATAATAGACCCCCTTCCATGACCTCTGTGGGAATAAAATGGCGTAGGACAGTGCTTAGATGTAAGAGACCCTCAAAACTCTCAGGTGGATCCACTATTGGGTCTCCACAAACATCCTCTATTCCAGACTTTCCACAAAGCTTTTTATTATTATTTTTTGGTGGTACTGGAATTTGAACTCAGGACCTTGCTTGCTAGGCAGGCACTCTACCACCTGAGCCATTCCACCAGCCCTTTTTTGTGTTTGCTATTATTGAGATAGGGTCTCTCGAACTAATTGCCTGGGACTGGCAGTGAACTGTGATCCTGATCTCTGCCTCCCAAGTAGTCAGGATTATAGGAGTGAACCACCAGTACTGGCTCCACAAAACTTTTTCCTTGTTTGGAATCATTACTTTAAGATCCATTCCCAGGGAGTCTGGCCTTTTCTGCATGGGAGCAGGAATTGTTTCTCCATTTTTTTCCATTCTCCCCACTTTTATCCTGTTATACTAAATTACTTTCCTAATAAGCTTTACTATTATTTTTACAAAAAAAAAAAAAAGATTAATTCCCAGGAACAGACTTCCAGGTCCAACACAATGAAGGGAGCATTTTAAAGTCTGGTTACAAATTATATACATTCCAAAAGCTCTTCCAGCAAGAGAGAAGTCTTCCCTGGAGCTTCCCAATGCTGAGCAGTCTTACTTTGTTGCTAACCTGATAGGTGAACATGGTATCTTCACAGTTTACATTTGCGTTTCTTTAATATCTGTGTAATCAAAACTTAAGAAAAACCAAATACAAGGCTGAAATCAGGTGAAATCTAATCGCCTTGGTTATAAACTTGCAAGGACCAGAAAGGATCACGTGGTGGCACTAGAACGTAACAAATGGAAATGCATCTCAGACTTCCCTGACTTAGACTAAGTCAAAGGAGCAGTTGCCCAGTCTTAGTGGTTGCCCAATCTTCTCATGGGTTTCCTTGTGCGGAGTAAAGTTGTGACAGGGCAGTGGGTTTGCTTTTATTGTGCCAGAGAAGTCACTGCTAGAAATGTAAGTCCAAACAGAATTAGCCATTACTGACTATATTGTGACCATCTCTGTGTCTCCTCTGCAGCCATTGCTTGTGCTGTTTCCTATGTATGTTCTTGTACTGTGAGCCGAACTTGTCACTGTCCTACCTCACTTCTCTGATTCCCCACTTAGCATAAAACCCAAGCTGTTAACTAAGGCATACTGGCATCTTTGTTCAAATTAGAAGCTAGGGTGATCCCCAGGAAGATGGGTACAGCAAGACAATACCTGTTGGAGGGTCAGACTTTTTAAGAACAGAACTTAAAATGAATTTCAGGGGCTGGGGACATAGTTCAGTGGACAACACTTGCCTAGCTTGCATGAGACCTGGATTCAGTCCCAGCACTGCAAAAAAAAAGTCTGAATTTCACTTAGAGCCTGTTCTTAGTGTAGCTTATGAAGTCTACATGACATAGTCCTCACCTACCTTTCCACTCCTACCTTCTCTGATCAGCATTGTCCAACCTTTCCTGGCCAGCCCCACTGTCACCTTCCCCTTCATCCCCAGTTTCTCACTGTGGCATTACCATATTTACTTCCTTCTTACACCATCCAAAGTTACCTCTGTTGATTTGTCTACTGACTCTCACTAGGATGTGAACTCCATTCGATCAGGCACCTTAGGTACGGAGTTCATTCCCTGGATCCCCAAATCCCTAGAAGAGTGTCAGACATGAAGCAGACTCTTAAAAATGTTTATGAAATTAGTGAATTTTAGCTACTCATTCTCAGAGTAAAATTCCTCCTTCAATGTTTCATGGTCACATGAAAAAAATGACAGTACCTCATGATGTATAGAAAAAAGGGGAAGTTAGCAATGACCAAATAGGTAAAGGCACTATATTTAATTTTCGGAATTCAAGTGCAGACTTACATCATCTGCTTGGAATGAGGCAGCTAAATTTTCATTACTTTGACTTCTTTGAGTAGAGGATTAGTTGGTGAGGAATTCTTCCACTTGCTAGGGATAGAGAATCTGGCCTGATGAGACATAAGGTCTACTGTATGTCCTCAATGCCTGTAGATTTGCCATCCATTTTCTACATGTATGTAAACACTTTGGGGTTTGTATGCATGTGCATGTATGTGTGTGCTGGGTATGGAACCCAGGACCTCAAGCATGCTAAGCATTCACTCTGCCACTGAATGGCAATTCTAGTCCCACTGCATAGTTTTTGATAAATTATCTTTG